ATGTTGCCTGCGTGCTTATGGTTTTGTGTATGTGTGAGAGTCAAGTATAAAGGGTCTGGTTGTTCGATTCGAGATGACCTCGTGGGACTCCAAAGCACATCACGCCTCAATACAGCTCCATCTCCATACGCTCTGAATTTTCAACAAGCGGCTCTTCAGTGTCTGATTCTTTCAAGATGTCTTCCAGATATGCCTCTTCCCACGTTTCCCCTCAAGGTCCTGGGGATGCTCGTCCTACAGCCCTTCAAATCATCAAAGACGAGGGCCTTGAAGGCAAGCTCTCTGATAAGGTCGTCCTCATCACTGGATGTTCATCCGGCTTGGGAGTTGAGACGGCGCGTGCGCTGCTGGTGACAGGTGCAACCTTGTACCTGGCGGTTCGCAATCCCGCCAAGGCGAAAGCTGTCTTGGGCGACACGTTCCAGAACGACCGAGTTCATCTCTTGACGCTTGACTTGAACGATCTTACGAGCGTTAGAGCCTGCGCCTCAGACTTCGCGACAAAGAGCAAGACCTTGAACATCCTCATCAACAACGCGGGTGTTATGGCGACACCCGAGGGCAAGACTGCCGATGGGTTCGAGACCCAGTTTGGCACCAATTATGTCGCCCACTTCCTCTTCTTCCAACTTCTTAAACCTATTCTTCTCGCTTCCTCGGCCCCAGACCTTCCTTCGCGGCTAGTCAACGTCTCGTCCAGCTTGCATAGAGCTTGCGAGGTCCAATTTGACAATTTCAATTGGACTGGAAACTACGACCCCTGGAAGGCTTATGGCCAGAGCAAGACTGCTCTTGTTTGGATGGCCAACGATATTGAGCGCCGATATGAATCTCAAGCCCTCCATGCCTTCAGTCTCCACCCGGGGGGCATCTTGAGCGGTCTTCAGCAGCATGTCCCGGACGAAGTGAAGGCGGCATGGGGGAAGAATGAGGCCTTTGCCAAGCATTGGAAGAGTGCTGAGCAAGGAGCAGCGACTACTGTGTGGGCGGCGGTCAGCAAGGACTTGGAGGACCGGGGTGGAAGGTATCTGGAGGACTGCCAAATTATTGGTGCATGGGACCCCGCGACTGGTGATGTTGGCTCAGGATACGCTGCGTGGGCGTACGACCAGCAGAAAGCTGAGAAGCTGTGGTCATTGGGCCTCAAGCTTACTGGGCTACCAGATGCCGAATAAGGCCGTCCTTCGGACTGCCTGGAGATACTATAAATAATACGGGCTTTCTGATAGAAACATGAGATCCCAAACAAGACTTCAATAACTATATCATTGCATGCAGGATCAAGTAGGCAGGCTAAGAATGCGAAAGCATCACGTAGTGTTGTGATTGACAAGGCTGTGTTTCATCTTTTCCAAAGTTCCCATTTCAAGCCATGCCTTTGAAACTTTGAGTGACCAACTATTTGGTGAGGACTCCCACAACATGAGGGATCACGTCGCTGCTTGACTCATCCGGCGGTTGGGCCAAGTCCACCTCGCTCCATGAGCCAACTTGCCGCAAGGTCTGCCCAGTGGCGCGGCACAACTGGCAGGAACCCATCATATGCTCCCAAAAGACATTTGTGAATTCTGAAAGGAAATGTCAGTGTGATGCATGCCCGAAGGTATAGAGAGGGGTTCTTACGTTGAAAAAGTGGGATGAGTAGCCCTTGCTCCGCCTTGACATGCTCAAAGACGTACCACCGGCCGCCCTTCTTTAAGTAGTTATAAAGCAGCCGTATGTTCTTCTCCGGCTCCGGAATGCTGCAGAGACACTGGACAGTCATGATGCAGTCAACGCTACCGGGTTCGATCCGTCCGCCCCAAGCCGACTCATTCTGCAGATCCTCAATACCCACCGGCACAACCTGGTAAGTCCCTTTCAGGCCGACCTCCTCGACCCGTCGTTTCAGCGATGCAGCGGACACCGGATTCGGCTCGACGCCGTAGATCTTGGTCGGAGCTGCACGGGACTCGGCCTTGGCGGACCGGACGACGGTGGCGAGCGACTCGGTCCACATCCCACTGCCGGCTCCGATTTCGAGGACAACACCTTCGATAGACTTGCTGGCGCCCCTTTCGGATATCCGCCCGTTACGAATTCGGCCCTCGAGGAGCGGCAAGACTTTGTCCTCTGCGCTGGCTTTGGCTTTGGGCCCCATGAATTTCCAGAACTCGCCGAACCAGGCCTCCTTGAGTGCAGACCAAGACGATAGGGTCTCGACGTCACCGGTGATGGCGAGTTTGAAGATGGTGAACCATAGGTAGACCAAGGAGATGGTCATGAAAAACCATGGTAGAACGATCTTTGCCAACATTGTGATCATGTAAGGTGGTTTGATTGGTAGCAGAGAGGTGAATACTCGCAATGGATCACTATGATGCTTTTGATGCTTTAATACAACACAATTCGGAAACTTTACGAGATGTTTCCGTTGTCTTAGTCAAAAGCGCTGGAGCACGGATATTTTGGCGCCATAGGATGGCAGCAGAATGCAACGGAGACAAAAAAGTTTGCCCCTCAGTTTCAAACCCCGCGCCGTCTAAGGTGGATCGATCATCTCCAAGACGTAACGTGGGGCCGGGAAACTTGCTCGCTTAAATTGAGAGAGTGTGTGAGTTCTAGAGTGAAAGCAAAAACAGGGTTGAGCGAACTAAGAATACATCTTCATCACATATGATGTAGAGTTTAAGACAGGTTTTGGGACGCGCAACTAGATAAAGCAGTCACTAGTGGCAGACTTTGTGTCAAAAGGCCAAAAGACCCGAGATGGGATTTTCTATGTACAGTCTAATCATCGTTCATATTACAAATGGGATTTTTACAGGCGGGTACTAATGTTCAGAGACCCGGATTGCTGCTCAAAGCCAGCTGAAGCATTTAGAGCTTCTTGACAGGCTTAGCGGCAGGCTCCTTGGAGATCCGCTTGGCAGTCTCCTGCTCGTCGCGCTCGTGCAGCTCAGGCTTGGAGTCCAGGGGGCGGTCCAGGCCGAGGCGGTGGTAAGTGCTGTAGGAAGCGATGCCGCCCTGGGGGTCGGCCTCGGTGACGAGCTCCTTGCGGCGGGTGTCGACCAGGAGGCGGATGAGGTCGGGGCGCATGTAGTGGCCGGCGAAATCGGCGAGAACCTTGGTAAGGTGGGTCTCATTGAGGTCAATGTCGACGAACATGAGACCGTCAAAGTCCTTGTCGGGCTTGGGGACAGCCAGGCTGCCGTCGGGCTTATAGATGCGGGCGTGGCCATTGTAGTCGGAGGGGTCGGTCTCGGGCTCGACGCCCTCGGGGGTGTTCTTCTTGAGACCCTCGACGGAGAGGCGCTGGAAGGGGGCCAGGACCCAGGTGCCGGTCTCGATGGCGTAGGCCGGAGTGACGAGCTCGGAGGCAGTGTCGGCGTAGTTGGTGGCCGGGTCGGGGGAGACTTGACGCTGGACGCCGGGGTAAATAGGCCATCCGGCGACGTGGACCTGCTCGCCCTGAGAGACGTTGAGGGACTTGAGGAAGGGGTTCATGTTCTCCCAGCAGTTGAGCTGGCCGACGCGGCCGATCTCGGTCTCGGAGACGGACATGAAGGTGTCGCCGGAGCCATCACCGTAGACGAGCTTCTCAACGTGGGTGGGCTTGATCTTGCGGCGGTGGTTGATGATGGCACCGGTGGGGTCGATGAAGACCTGGGCGAGGTAGAGGGTGGCATGGTCGAGCTCGGCGAAGCCCATGGAGACAAAGATCTGGTTATCGCGGGCGGCGCGGCGGATGCGGCGCATCTCCTCAGAGTCGACGCGGAGGGAGTTCTCGCGGTACTTCTTGAGCATGGGAAGGGACTGAAGGTAGGTGACCTTCCACATCCAGTAGGGGTAACCGGGGATCCCTGTAGGGGTATTAGCTTGCTGAAGATTGTTTGGACGAGGAGGGGTCACTTACAAACTTCGGGGAAGGCAACGAGCTTGCAGCCGGCCTGGCCGGCCTCGTTGATGAAGTTGATAGTCTTCTGAACACCACCCTCAAGGTCGAACCACTAAGAAAGTCAGTCATATGTGGAAAGGGAGGAAGATGATATCGAGGCTTACACCGGGCTCGGAGGTGACGGCGGCGGCCTTGTACTTGGTGATAGGCATGTTGGCGGGTGTTGGTATCGAAAAGATTCGAAAGGAGTTGAGTTGATGGTTGTATGAGACTAGAAGTCTTGATGATTGATGATCTTGTGTGAGTATGATGATCTGGAGGGGAAAAGAGATGAACCAAGTCGAGATGCTGAAGCCTTTTTATGGTTTCTTCTTCCTCTCAAAACTGTCCTTTTTAGAATGGATTGACCACTTTGTCGCCGTCGGGCTTTGTAAACCATCTTGCAGACTGCATCTGACAACTTGCAGTTCTGAGTTCATCAACATAGGGTTGCTGTAAGTTGCTCGCTTGATCTACAAACGCCGTCTGTGGTAGTGCTTATTGATGCGATCCGGGGATTCGGGTCCAAGTTGCGCAAGTTTCTAGTCAGCATTTCATTTCCATAGGCCGCCCACACCTTTGTGGCGTGATTGATGTTCGAGAAGTCCCGAGCTGACGAACGGTAAACATACGGACAGGCTGTGACACGACTCAAGTAATGCGGATACCTACAACACTACTCACAGATGGTAGGTAGCAAAGGCTGGGAAGACGCGCAGTAAGCAGTCTCCTTGGACGTAATTCCGAGCCATGCGAACTTCGTCCGGGTGCCACGGGAAAGCTGGACAAAAGCCGCGCTGCAGAATGGCATGTTCCCTCTGACGTAAACAACACCCCGACTGCCGTTTTCCTCCGGGTCGATCAGACGAGATCTTGTGGGTGCTCTTAATTTAGTTCCCGTCTTCCCGGCAGCGGCGCGGTTCCCAACGTGCAGCTGGCCGGGGGGCCATCGCCGTTTGTGGATCTCCGGGATCTGGAGATCTGCGTGCGTTCAAACCCCGCCAGATCCAAACACCTACATCGTCTGATGTTCGGGGACGCCTCGATCCCGATATTTCTGTGGGGAACCGTGGATGCCAGTCACGGGAGAGAAGAAATTTGCTGAATACTACGTGGAGTTGTTTCTATCCACTACCGATCTGATAATGCCGTCTCTGCTGTACGTTTGGGCGACTTTCTGCTAAGCAACGAATCGAATGTTCGCAAAACACACCCTCTTCCTCCCGTTCGCGTATCGACCCATGTCATCAATGCGTCTCCCAACTGTTCTCGAACCAAAGCACTTCCTTGTAGGCCCTAACGCCTCATCCTATACTCAAACACAGTCTTCACCCTATGCTGCCTCACCCCCCGTCTCCAACTCTAGTGCTTCGTTTCTTGCTCTACGTTCTGCTCGCTTCTGCGAGCCGCTTCTACGTCACTTTTCGAGGAGATAGTCGCGCTTCAGGAGAACGCTCATGACCGCCTTGGAGCGAGAAGGCTGTTCCTTGTAGGTTGGGTTCGGGTTGCCGAGCTTGTCCCAGAGGCTGGGAAGGCCGGCAGCACCCCACTTGTCGCGGAGCTCATCGTAAAACTCCTTGTTGTAGATTCGCCAGAATTCCTCTTCCGTGTAGTAGTTGTCGCCGTAGACCACCTTGGTACCGCCGAGATCGCGAGTCGCCTGCTCAATCATCTTGTTATCCCGGATGAATCGCTCAAAGGCCTCGGGGTCGTCGCGACGTGGATTGTCATCAGGCCCGTGGATGGTCTTGGGACCCCACAATCGTACGTTGACATTCATATGGTGGTAGCGTCGACGGTTGCGGCTGTCGGAAATGACTCTTACAGGGCAGATCCAGAGAGGATAAATCCCCAGGTTGTTGTTGACCCAGTCGAGGAAGGCCGCAACCGTGTTTCCCGGCAGCGTAATATCTTGAAAGAACACTGTACGGTTCTGTCTGCTGTGATGTATACCGGCGAACAAGCACTCAGCCTTCACAGTGGGATTGAGCAGAAAGCGTGTAAGACCGTTGAAGGTATCGGGATTCTGACCGTAGACTCCCATCCAGAAAGAGGCTCTGTCGTATCGGAAGAGATAATCCTTGATCGGTACAACGTCAGTGACGATGCCTCTCTTATCAACTGAGCGAGATTCTGAAAGCGTGCACAGCATGCAGTTGGTGTCTCTGACGTGAGGGACAGACCCGTGCACATGTAGAGCGAACCACTGATCATGAGCTCGGCTGAAGCGAACAACAGGCATGCCCTGCTTCTTCTCATCCGTCATGGTGCCAGTAATGATGGCGCCATCGTTTAGGCCGAACATTATGCCATCGACGAAATCGACGGGCGAAGTGTCGGCGGTGTAGGACTGGATGGTGTTCAAAGCTTCGGCAGCGGAGTGAACTGGGAGATAGTTGAGCTCGACAAATCGGCGAGCTGGAACAAGCTTGACTTCGATGATTGTGCAGATGCCGAGCGTACCACAAGAGCCAGCGAGACCACTAAAGAGGTCCGAGTTCTCGACGGTCGAGGCGGTGACGATGTTGCCGTTTCCAAGGATGACCTCGAGAGAAGCGACAGACTTTTCGAAGTGCCCGTAGCGGAATGACGAACTCTCGAGCGCAGTGCCGGAGAAGGCGCCGCCCACGGTGATGCCAGGGAACTCAGGAACAACAGCGGGAATCAGGCCGTGCTTGAGCGTGGCCGTAACGAGAGTCGCCATTGAGACGTTTGGCTCGACCGCAGCGCGGCGCCCGCGATGGTCGACAGTGATGACATGATCCAACCCACTGATGTCGATGATCTCATCCGCCTGTCGAGTGCTGGGCCGAGTGCTGTTGGTGGTTTTGTGATAAATGCGATACTTGACCCCGTCACGAGCGAATCGTCTGGCTTTGGCAGCGATGATGCTGACGCGCCGGCGATGCTTGATCAAGCGATACTCCGTCTCGATGGGTCCGGCCATTCTGCCATCGACTAGACGCGGAGTGATTGAAGAATGATGATGAGATGTCCGACGAATTACTTGAAGCTTCCGACGGTGAAATAAAAATGTGGTGGGAATTGGCGATTGGTAAGGTGAGAAGTTTCAAGGAAAGCACTTCGACTGGGAAATAGAAAGTTGGAAGGAGGTAAAAGCAACAGTGAAAAGTTCTCTGAATTAATCAATCACGGCGCGGTGAGGGTATCGAGACGGAGGAGGCCGGAAGGATGAAGAACTTCTTGGAAGACCAGTTTCGTGCCATGTACCCTGGGCATCCTAAGGGCATCCGTGGCCCACTCGTGAGAAGGCATAATACTTCTTGCCCTGCCACATGTTGTGCGTGAGCATGACTGAGATGGCGAGTGCAGGGGATGACTGTGCCTTCATTGTCTTTCTTTGGTGGCCTAAAGAGGTAAGACGGGAACCATCTCATGGCTCTTACACCAAAAGGAAGAAAGCAGGGAGGTTCTTTGTGACAGTGTCCACAGGCCTGGCAAACGTCACTGTTTGAAACTCACTCGGCATACCAGTATAGAAGGCATGACTTAAGGCTACTAAGTATTGGTCTCAATTTGAACTCAAGCTCGTTGTATCAAAGTGCAACATATTCCTGATAGTTGAGGGGTGAATCAGAAGAAAGACTTCAATCGAGGACTCGATCACTTTCAATTGTATTACAAAAGCCTCATAGCTTTCAATGGATAATAGAGTAGATAGAGAATATTTTAAGCCTTACTTTCTTAGTTTTACATAAATGTTTGCTTCATCATCTCAAATGGGCAGATGTAAAGCCAATTAAGGGGGTACATTTAATCAGCGTATCACATCATAGATGCGATGAAAGTGAAGATGTGACGAAGTTGAAAACGCGTAAAGGGTGTTGGCAAACAGCTGTCCATTCTGTTCAGGTAAATTAGTACACATTCACTCCTAAGCTTCGGACGAAAGCTCAAATGTGATTCACTACAATGAGCCAAGTGCGGCATGTAGTGAGTATATGAGGCAGCTCATCCTGCTGGGATGAGACCCATATTGACTAAACACCTCAAATCTATGCAGGAAGAAGGGGAAAAGGCAGTCACCAGTGCTCTTGAACTTTGCAGAGCATCTTGGTTTGCTTGGATGGAAGGAGTCATCCGGATCCCACAAGCCGTCAAACACCAGGCAAGAAGTATCAACACCAAACACTCTGCAGGAAAGACTGAATCACGCAATTTCCTCGAGAGTTTCTTTCCCATGTTTGGAAACCACTAGTGAAACAGACGAACTTCCATTTCCACGCTCCCTGGTGGTCGCCCAACAACAACAACATCCATTCTTCAACATCATAGGTACCATCCACACACGCACCAGTCTTCAGACTTCCACCCAAGTTCCCCCCAACATCCGACGGACGCCCCAAGCATCTATATGCACAGGCCGAATACGACCTTCTGCCTACTCTGCCATGTTCTCGTCGACACTGCGTGCGATGCGAGTCAGAGATGCCCGGAAACAGGCCGAAATGTTCGAAAATGCATTTGAACGGGCGGTGGAACTGGCCAGCCCTGAAGTGATAACCGAGTTTGCTGCCTCCAATCTGGAGGTGTCATATGATTTCGACTGGGATCTGGAAGAGGGTGTAGAAGAGAACATGGAGTTTTGGGATGAATCACCAGTACAAGATTCCGAAAACGGTTCGAAAAGCGGAAAAGGAAAGGAACCCGAGGAACGTATACCATTCGTCTATCAACCTCCCGACGAGAATGACCCGGCGGACCAGCGTTCAGATATGAACACTCTGCTATGGTTACTTGCAGCCACAGACATCGGATCCAATCAGGTCAACCGCAACACACCAAAAACGGAACCCAGCAGCAGCTCAGACGTATCCATGGGTGATGCCGAAGACCTTGAGCAGCGCGATACAGAGATGGCAGACATGCCAGCCGAGCTAGGGGCTCAAAGTTGCAAGCGAGAGGGTACATCAGTTACAGAAACATCGGCCTCAGGGAACCCACTCGAGGCGGAAGCCGACATACCAATGAATGACGCACTATCGGCAACGGGTCAAGGAGATCCTGGAAAGAAGTTTCCCCCAGGGGTTTATATCGAACACGTGGAGAATGTTGAGAGTGAGGGAGGCTTGGAGCGGAAAGAAGACGACGGATCGCTTGAAGCGGCACAACTCGAGGGTTCTTCCGAATCTGCCATGACACACAAAGACGATCAACAGCAAGTAGAGTACTCCAGCATGGAGAAAAGACCTTCCGCCATCTCGGTTGAGTTCTTGGAGGGCATCTGGCACCATTATCACGAGCTGCAAGAGTTTTGCGAGTGGGAAGAGGCGCACGAGTGGAATCGAGAGAACCTTCGCAAAATGCTCCGACAACCCTTGGATAATAGTCGAGCCCGCCATCGACAGCGCTCGCCAATGCCATACCCCCGGTATGGCAGGTCGAGAAGCCCGCTAGGAGTCACTGTGATGACGGAGGGGATGGAGGAAGACAAACAATCTGCATACGCGGCAGGAAATATGAAGTGGTAGTGACATGGAGACTGAATGGCATCTTGGAGTATGGAATGCTCGACGCTTTGGGGAGCCTTTTTGGTATCGTTGGATATTGGCATCAGCGGTGCTGTCTGTAAGGTGTAGAGGGACTGGGTGCAACAGCGAACATTGCGGTTTTATGATTTTGTTAGACACACACTGGTAGGTAGCGCGCAGCTTTGGGAATTCATATTGGCATCTTTGACTGAACTCTCTGTCTTAGCCAACATTCTTCGCTTCCATAGTATTGTAGCCCTTGAATGATGCCGAATGTGACACTTGCTCTCACTCAATTTTCTCACTGATGTTCCCCAGAACCGGATTGGGCTCCCTTTCTTCGCCGTGTTCTTCGACGAAAGTCTCTGAGCCGTTCCTGATAGAAGTTTTAGAAAATACTGGGAAACCATATTAGCCTTTTGCTAGACGTTAAGTTGCGAGAAACTGACGTGCGTCCATCTCTTCAAGAGACTTCCCCTTAGTCTCCTTGATGAAGAACCAGACAAATACGACGAGTGCCCAATTGAAGATGCAAAACATCAAGAATGTCTTCCACCCGAGGTTCTGAACGGCGTGTGGTGTAGCTTGGGAGAAGACAAAATTGAAGAGCCATTGCGTTGAAGTGCCGATAGCGATGCCAGCTTCGCGGATCCGAGATGGGAAGATCTCACCCATGTAGACCTGAATCTCGGTCAGTGGCGTACTTTGGATGTGCAGGAACTTTTCAAACTTACCCATGGTGCTGGACCCCACGAAATGTTGTACGACATAGCTTCGAGGTAGATCATTGTCATTGAGGCGATGGCTGTCGAGGTTAAGCCCTGGTCTGCGGATTTGGGCGGGTGGGTTGCGGTGAGGCAGGCGATGATGAGCATGTAAGTCCCCATCAGTAATGCTCCACCCAGCAGCGAGCCGCGGCGTCCGATGCGTTCGACAAGGAAAAGAAGATAGAAGAGACATGACACGACCTTGACCAGACCGAAGAAGCCTGTGATGAGGAGGTTATTCTGGCCTGCACCAACGGCTGCAAAGACTTGAGGGGCGTCTACGGAAATTGTTAGGGTCTAGAAGTTAGGAAAGATGAGGATGGTAACTTGGGACTCACAGTAAGCTAAAGATGTATTGCCAGTGAGTTGAACACCTAGAGAATATGTCAGCCCAGGTCAAAGGAGTGTATGTTGGTTTGAGTGGTACCGATTTGCAGAGCAATGATGAGGAAGATGCGGTATCGGTTGACAGGCTGGATCAACTCTCTCCATGTGAGCCCCTCTTTTTGGTTTCTCTCTTCTTCGATACTAGTAATGATCTCGGCAAACCTGTGGTCTTGTCAACAATTAAGTTACTTCATGGAACTGAAGAACTCACTCTTCTTGGACTTCGGGCGCATCACCTCCGCGGACCCAGATCAGAGACTGCAGTGCTTCCTCCCTCCGTCCAGTCTTGGCCAGCCATCGTGTACTCTCTTTGCAAAGCAACATGCCCAGTCCGAGAATCGCCCCAGGAACGAGTTGCAAGCCAACAGGGATCTGCCACTGCCTCGTTGAAGACTTGACATGCTTGCTGACACCATAGTCAACAAAGTAGGACGTCATGACACCCATCGTGAAGAAGAACTGGAACATGCTGCCGAGCATTCCGCGGATGTTCTTAGGGGCCATCTCTGCTGAGTACATGGGGATCACGACAGTTGCCATGCCGACACCAACGCCACTGACGACTCGGGCGACGTAGAAGGCGGCGAGAGAGTGGGTGTTGATTGTTTGGACGATTGCGCCGGCGCAAAATATTACTGAGGCGAGAATGATTGACCACCTTCGACCGTATTTCGCGGTGAAGGGCCAGATGAAGAAGCAGGAGAAGAAGGCTGGTTGGTTAGACTTTCATTAGAAGAGGCCCTCTGACTGACGACAAGTTGAGAAGTGACAGACCTCCCGCCTGTAACAGACTTGTCGAGTTTGACCCGACGTTGGCTTTCTGGGACGGTCCATAACGAAAGTCTTCTTGGAAACCTTGAAAGGTGAGGATACCACCAATGATACCAGTGTCGTATGCAAACAAGAAAGACCCTACGCAGCACAAAGCTACGAGGTAGAATGCTCGAAATGTTCCGAGTTTCGACATTGTCAACGGCGATTTGTCAAAGGTCAAGACTCGATTTGTTTTACCAGCCTGTCGTCGAGGGATCATGAATGGCCATAGGCTGTCTTATGTACGGAGGCGTATCCTAGATGCTAGACAGCAAACCCAAGACTCTGCATCTCCCGAATGAGATAGGACTGAAAAAAATACCATAGGGGAAAACAGCTCTAACCAATTCGTCGTCGCCGGCTCAGCACGCAATTCTAGAGCACCCAATAGCTGACTATCGCAGCATCAAACAGACAAACTCCTCGGGCCATTTCCAGAGTGCTTCCAGCACGCCATACGGCCCCTGTTCCCAGAAGCAGGGGTCAGCCATGGACGAACAGAAAGAGGCCCAGTGTTTCCTCTCTTCCCTGGGAATGTGGATGTCGGTAGTCGGCCGGGACGCTCAATCTGGGATGGCCTTGAGGCCGGATGTGTCCCCACCTACCCGTTTGGGATGCCGGACCGACTACCGAAGCCTCCGGGAGAGCGTGTGGGGTAAGCTCCGGCAAGGAGCAGGGGTGCCGGTCCTCCGTCCCGGTTGATTTTGCGAGAGATGCCTTCTGAAGATGCTTCGGCAGGGTAACACGCCATGTTCGATTCGCGTCAACACGTGTTCCACATCGCTTGAGCAGCTCAAGAGGTTCATTGCCGATGGGTAAGATTATGGGGCACAGCTTTGGAGGGGCTTTGCTGCAGGGTCGTTGCCATCCCAAGCTTTATCGGATGTCCCTCCTTTCAGTCACTCATTGTCATTAAAACCCTGCAAGCAACTGAAGTCTCACCTGCATCTTCCACTTTCCAAACCTCTCTTGTTGCTCATTCAGCTGCCGCAAACATTGAAAATGACGAACGCAAGGCCCAACATCCTCTTCATCATGGCTGACGACCATGCCTCCAAAGCCATCAGCGCTTACGGAGCTGGCATCAACCACACTCCAAACATTGACCGCCTCGCAGCGGAGGGAATGAAGTTCAACCACTGCTATGTCACCAACTCCATCTGCACTCCGTCCCGCGCGGCCATTCTCACGGGCACCCACAACCATGTCAACGGCGTCATGACGCTGAACGACAACATCAACAAGCACTTGCCCAACGTTGCGAAGCACATGCGCACCGGAGGATACAGAACAGCAATGGTCGGCAAGTGGCACTTGGGTGAAGGCAGACCACATGAGCCCACCGGTTTCGACTACTGGTCTGTCCTCCCCGGGCAAGGGGATTACTGGGACCCCGAGTTCATCGAGCCAGCGGGCGAAAAGGTCGAAGACGGCTACGTTACAGACATCATCACTGACAAGTGTCTCGACTGGATCTCCAAGACAAAAGACACCGACAAGCCATTCTTTCTCATGTGCCACCACAAGGCGCCGCACCGCTCGTGGGAGTGCGACGAGAAGCACAAGGACCTATACAAAGACCCGATACGCGTTCCCGAGACATACGATGACGATTACAAGAACCGCGCAAAGGCTGCAAAGGTTGCAAAGATGCGCGTGGCTGAAGACATGACATACCAGGACCTGGGTCTCGTGCAGCCAGACGGTGGCAACAAGATCGGCGAGCGTGTCGTTCAGGAAGCGGGCTCTGCGCAGCGCAAGATTCCCGTTGATGCCAAGAGACTGATTGATAAGGAGGACGGGACGGTATTCACCTTCAAGAGCCAGGACGACCTGGCTCATTTCAAGTTCCAGAGGTACATGCAGCGATACTTGCGTACCATCCAGTCTATTGACGATAACGTTGGGCGAATGCTTGACTACCTCGAGGACAACGGGCTTGCGGAGAACACTATTGTCATTTACACCTCAGACCAGGGCTTCTTCCTCGGCGAACACGGCTGGTTCGACAAGCGATTCATGTACGAGGAATCTTTCCAGATGCCCTTCCTCATTCGATACCCGGCGGGAATCGCCAAAGGCTCCGTATGCGACGACATCATCTGCAATGTCGACTTTGCGCCCACCTTTCTCGATTTCGCAAACCTCCATATCCCGAGCTACATGCAAGGCGAATCTTTCCGCCAGTTGCTGCAGGGGAATACACCGGCAAATTGGCAACAGATCGCATACCACCGGTACTGGATGCACAATGACATTATCCATCACGCCTACGCGCATTATGGTGTGAGAGATCAGCGATACAAACTCATCTACTGGTACAACGAGCCGTTGGAGGTTAGTGGCGCCAGGCCGGGTGGGGAAAAGGATAAGGAGTGGGAGTTGTTCGACTGCGAGAAAGATCCATTGGAGCTGTTCAATGTTTACCACGACCCAGCTTATGCCGAGACAGTGAAGCATATGAGGAGATTGCTAGAGTTGAAAATGGAACAGATTGGTGACGAGCCAGTTCATCCCAGAGGTGGTGATGTTAGTGGGGTCGGTGGGTTTAGCCAGTAAATTATGAAGCAGAACACGGACATACTACTTCGAATGAGCGGGAGTTGTCGACTTTGATGATAGAGCGGGGGTAACATGCTGATGATAGTAGGGTATCTGGAGATTCACGGATAGAATTCAATTCTATGTCGAACTCATAGTCAATTACCTTGGAGCGATCATCAAGAACCTCACAGACTCGCAGTGACATCTTGGAGAATCATGGTGGATAGGTAGACTCGATCTTGGAGCAAGGGTTCGTTGGCGTGAACAAGGATGAACAGTTCGTCAACTCCCGTAATTGGCTCAACGAGATCCATTCCTGGATGTCGTTACCCTATCCACTCCTCGCGTCATGGTAGTCTAGCTCGAGTAGGTAAAGTGTAGACTCCCTCCGTATTCATGTTTGCACTTTCCTGCACAGAGATCCGGAGAATCATTCAGCAAACCCGGTCCCGAGGACGAAGGAACAGACGTCGAGTGAGAAGGCGGAATCCAAACTTGTCCCATCCTGCATCCACTCCCTAAAATCCATCCCGCCGGCTTGCTCAAACGACTCCTCAGACAGATCATGCTTGCTCCAACTCCAGCTTCCATGGCATAGAATTATTATCAACTTCTATTGTAAACTCACGGAACCGAACGACGCTGAGTTGCGGCAGGGCGCTGCAACATGAGACGAGGACGACAATGAAGTGCCAGGATGCCAAAGTTTCAACAACAACATGATGGACTCTTTCGTTGGCTGCTTTCAAGCTGGCCCAAGCACGACGCGTCAGACTTGTTCTCAATGCCGGTGGCGCAAGGTCAGTACGCTGGAATCTCACCGTTGGTCTGTGGCCGTGAACTGACCTGGATCAGGTCAAATGCGAAGGTGGCAGTGAACTGTGCTGCGGAACCTGTGCTCGTCTCGGGCTCGACTGTTCTCTTGCCGCCATTGACGAATTTGGAAGACAAACGGATTCTCACTTGAGTCAGCAACGATTGACATCCGCCAAGCCGCGACGCCTCAGAGGCGCCCGGGCGTGCAAAGCCTGTCGAGAGAAGAAAGTCCGCTGCTCTGGCACAACACCGCGATGCGCAAACTGTGCGCGCCATGCTAGAGAGTGCACATACCCGACGTCGGTACGAAGTGCGAGGGCATCTTCCCCGCAGAGCACCTCTACCGAGGGAGACGAAGCCTGCGGGGTTGAAGTCGGCCAATTCCTCTCCGGTGCCGTGGAAAGCTTCTTCGAGAAGGTTTACCCTCTTCCATCTCATGCGTTTCTGCACCCCGAGACGACCAGGGAGCGTTGTCGAGAGGGGAGGATTGACTCGGCCCTGGCACACGCCATCTGTGCTTTGGCGACCCTTCACTGTGGTTCGGATCTTCAGACTCGCGACAGAGCCACGTCGTGGGTTCAGACGGCGGAGCAAAAGATATGGCAGCACCTGGAGAGCCCTACCATACCGCGTCTGCAGGCCCTGCTGCTCGTCATCCATTATCAGATGGAGACTGGAAAGTTCCAGAGAGCGTTCATGCTTACGGCTACCGCGGCTAGGTTCGCCGCTGCTATGCGACTGAACCACGAGAGACCTGATCTCGACTTTGTCGCCCAGGAAATTCGCCGTCGGATCATGTGGTCGCTGAAGATTACTGAGAGGTACTTCTCGGTTGGCTTGCCCGAGTTTGAAGCGTGTCCAATCGAGACGATATACTTGCAATACCCCTCGGCTGAGAATGACTTCACCAACGATGGAGACTCTGGTGATGGGAGCTCCTATAGACTCTACGTAAGACTAGAGATAATTCGGAGGGACATCATGAAGTTGACAAGAGGAGTCACTCTTTGCGATCAGCCTTTTTTGCCTTTGACGAAACTCATTGGCGACTTCGAAAGCGACTTGAGCGAAATTGGGTCGTTGATGCCAGACGGAAGGGAATTCTCATCTATCAACATCGAAGCCCTCAACGGCAACCGATGGCTGAGGAGGCGGCTATCTATGCACATTTCCTTCCACCAAGCCCATTGCGACTTGTACCGGATCTTGCTTTCAGGATATCCCGAAGCAGCACCTCGCGTGGTTCTCGAGGCGGTCGACATGGATTCCATCACCGCGGCAGAACAGAACTGCCTCAAACATGCCATCGCCATCATCCAGATCTTGACCAGTCTCAACCAACACAGCACAGAGCATTTACTTCTCGAATTCGACATGGCTATTTGCGCCTACCACGCGACAAGACTCTTGCTCTTCATAGCCCGAGCACAAAGGACGCCGGGCTGCCCCTCACCAGAGTTTGCCTTGAGCCGTGCGGCTCTGTGTCTGGCTGCCCTTCAGCGCTTCTTCCCTTCTTCCGCACTGGTCAAGCCCATCATCGACGACATGGAGCGACTTTCCCGGGGTCATGCACCACAAGAAGCTGGAATAGGCGGGCTATCGTCGCCAGAGTTTCAAGAAGGAAGACGGAATCTAGAACAGCGACTTTCAGAGGTAGCAAAAGCGAGACAGAGACTGGCGATCCATAGTCTGCTGAGACAAGCCGACTTTACCGATGAGGACGAGGGAGATGATTACTCCTCTTCCATGTCTGTGTCCGGGTTGTCCCCAATCATGACGAGGCGAACGCCATAGGCTCTGGAGGCAGCTTCTAGACTCGGACAGTGTCGGCAGCAGGTTCAGGATTTGTACCCCCACAAAGAAGCAGAGTTTCTACGTCCGCAGTTTGAATAGCTGCGGCCGGCCTTTCTGACGAGTCACCGTTCTGATGAAACTGGTCGAGACGCCTGACTAGCTGTATACCTATGCATTTGGACTCGTATGCTGGTGTTGGCGACAAAATTGTTAACCGAGTATGAACTTGTGGCTCCTGTTACCATTCCTGAAAATGAAAACTCTCTGTTTCTCTTCAAGGTCGAGCTTGGTGTGTTTAACTTTGGCACAGGGAAAAAGAAACCAATAGGAAGTTGTGGAAGTTGGAGCCTGCGCTTGCGCATAGAGCGAAGAGGACGGTGTGACACGCCCCGCGCAATATTTGCTCATACCAGGCGGGCAATATGATCGAACCCAGTAGAGTGGAAAGCGACATTCAAGCCACCAAGACGGCGGTTCGTGGAGCTGAAATAGAGTTTATCTTCTTCCGCAGATCACTTAAGCAATTCTCTAGTATTATGTGTTGTTCTGTCAAGGCCCCTCTCCTCTGTAACCTCTCAGCGTTTCAGTCCGGCCTCACGGCATTCCCGTTCTCTGGGTTGACAAGAACGTACATGTCAGGCGCCGGCTCATTTCCCCTGTTGACATGACTCAACAACAAGACAACCGCGTTGATGGCTCAGAGAAACAAGTCAAGAACAACATGAATTTCAAGGTGGCGGGCAAGCAGAAAGAGATAAATATCTTTAGAAGCCCGCCAAGATGATTGGAATAGAGATCATCTCCAGCACACCATCTTACTATCCACTCAACGATTTCATCAACTTAAGTTTATCACACATAATACATAAATCAGACTTTCCGGTTAAAGTCCAGCAAAATGAAGTTCTCCGCCGTCATCCTCTTCGTTGCTTCCGTCGCCGCCGTTGCTCTCGATACCGATGTCCCTCCTGCACTCAGCCAGCCTGGTCGCCGTGGTGTTGACTGTGGGGCTTGCGACAGACTGAACTTTTGCCCTGGCAAGCCCAACAACAATGTCGAGTGCGAGCTTGACGGCTGCTGCAAGAAGTAAACGACTTCCTCGGGCTTCCAACTGAATACTGAAATATCAACGTGTATGTCATAGCTATTATTATTTTTAATTGAGGTATGATGCACAAGCTAACAATCACGTAGACGGCGTGCTTCGGATACCCATCATGGTTGCTATATCTCTGACAGGTGGGAACTTGGTAGAATCACCGTTCAAATGGTCAAAAGCTATAGAAACCTGGTCTCAACTACCTTACCCAATACAATTATTTGGCCAATTTCTTTTTGCCAACTCTTCTCGGATGATAGAGTGAGCTGTGCCGCTTTGTAAGGATGTGTCTAAAGTGCTGTGCCACATGCGAGTCCTAAGTGTTGAGTTGCTTCTGGCGTTGCAATCCTGGCAACAAAGTTAGTCTTTGATTGGTTGACACTCAAAATCCTCCAACATGATCCAACGGCCTGGAGATATGCATATCGTATAGTAAACCATATGCCTCCGGGCGTGGTGGTCGACTTGAATAAGTTGTATCGATCGTTTCTGCTTTCGATTGTTTGACTATAATCTCAAACTGTCGACAAGATATCTGACGATTATTCTACACCAAAGTTGCATTCACACTCTGCAAATCCTGGGTCCTCGAACTGTTCCCGATCCAGAAATTGTACAACCCTGTTTCGACTTGCCACTCCCCGTCAATGAAGTAACCCAGCTCCGCGTAAGGTACATTCAAGCTGACATTTCTGGAACTGCCTGCTGCAACTTCAACCTTTTCGAAGCGTATAAGCTTCATGACCGGGAATTCGATCTGGCTGTACTCTGGACGATAGTAAAGCTGGACTACCTCCTGGCCATCACACGACCCCGTGTTTGTGACTGTGGCAGACACAGTGACTTGGCTGTTCCTATCACACTGACCGACAGTACTGCTGTTGCCGAGTGAATGGCATTGGAGAGAGATGGAAGAAATGTTAAAAGTCGTGTAGCTCAAACCGAAGCCAAATCTCAGAGGAGCATAACGTGTGAGCTCTGGCAAGTGCCAATCATACTGGGTCGCCGTCCCGAATCCGCCCTGATCATCCGACGGAAAGTAGTCGTAGGCCACGGGGAACGCGCCGTCGGCTTCAGGAAACGTGATTGAAAGCTTGCCACTCGGGTTGACACTTCCGAATAGGATTTCGATCAAGGCTTCAGCGGTGAATTCTCCGGCAAGCCAAGTGTGAACGATTGCCTTGGATTTCTTGGCCGACTCATTCAGTAGGAACGTCTGCCCCCCGCTGAGTACCAACACAGTCGGCACGCCGGCATCAACCACCGCATCGAGAAGTTGCTGTTGCAATCCGGGAAAGCCCAAGTGCGGATGACTGAAGCCCTCACCGTCGGTTCGGTGAAGGGACTCGTAAGAGTTGTCAAAAGATCCCCAGCCTGATCCCAGAACCACAACGGCAAGACCCGCTTCCTGAGCTGCGTTGACAGCAGCTTCGATGCCTGAGCTGTCATCCGTACGCAAAATATCAACTCCTGCAACATACTTGACGTTTTCCGCACCAATTTTTCGCTCTAGACTTCGACGAAAGGTGTCGCCATAAGAGGAATCCGAGGCGTTGTTGGCGGCATATTGGCCGGTATTGAGAATGTCGGCATAAGGGCCCAGCAGGGCAATCTGAGAAACTTGACTTCGTTGCAACGGCAGAGTGCCATCGTTTTGAAGAAGCACGATTGCCTCGCGCGAGATGTTTCGGTTGATCTCAAGATGCCTCTTGCTGCGAAGAGTTGCGTTCAAAGTCTTGACCGAGGGAAGAGGCAGATCAAAAGTTCCGGTGGCGAATTTGATCTCGAGAATCGCTCGGACAGAACTATCCACAAGGTTCACGACCTCGGTATTGTTCGAATACTCGATGAGCGTAGGGAACACCGAAGGGGGTCTCGGTGATAGCTCGTGCTCCAATCCACTCCGAAGAGCCTTCAATCCTGCGTCTGCGAACGACTTGGCGACTTTGGATTGAGTGTACATGTTGCGGATCGAACCGGCGTCAGACATAATGAGACCTTTGAATCCGAGCATTTCTCGAAGAACCTTCCGGTTCAGGTACTTGTTCATGGACATGGGGGTCTGATCGACGCTGGCATATGATACCATCAGTGAAAGGGGGTTCGCCTCTCTGAAGGCCTTGACGTAGGGAGCTCCGAGGTCATTGAGGATGTAGTTCAGGCCACTCTGAATGCTTGCAGTGTTGACACCTCCGCTGCTGGAGCCGTAAACCCAGTGCTTGATTGTCGTTGCGACTTTGACGAAGCCGTTCTCATCTTTCTCCTGCATCGTGTTGATGTAGTGCGTGGCAAACTCTCCCACGAGGTAGCTATCCTCACCGAACCTAGCAATATGCATCAGAAAGAGGTAATTCAGCAGTTCTAAAGCACTTACATCTCGCCGTTTCTGCCATTTCTGGGATCTTTAGCGAGGTCAACCTCTGGTGATAAGACCCAACGAGTACCCATTGCTATGTTTTCATCGCGAATAGTAGCAACGGCTTGCTCATAGAGGGGAATGTTCCAGGTTGAGCCCATGGAAAGGGCACCGGGGAATAGCGTGCCACCGGAAATCATGAGACCACTGACGGAGTCTGCGATTGTGATGTACGGAATGCCCAGTCTAGTGTTATTGATCTGCTCGGCTCTGACCTTGTTGGCGATGGGCAACAGATCAGGCGCGTAATTCTGAGGCGCTCCGAATCCTGCAGTATATTCAATATTGACGCCGAGATGTAGTGCTACCAAATTCTACTCACCAATTTGCCCATTCTGGGTTTTGCGGATCTCCTCGAACAGCGTTTCGTTGTATGACACCTTGCCGTTCACGGTCTCAGCAAGTCGCCTTATTCCTACGAGTCCAGGTTACTAACACAGCCCGGCTCTCGCAAGCTTTCCGACTTACCTCCGAGCTGGCCAATCTTTTCCTCCCATGTCATGAGACGCAAGAGGTCGTCAGCTCGCTCTGCGGGAGAGCGTGTCGGGTCGAGATAAACCGATCCTTTCAATGCAGCTGTAGCACAACTGATATAAACAAGCTGGCAAAGGGCCAGGGGAAATAATAAAGTTGCCGATTTGACCATCTTGACGACAGTGCCCAAAATGATGAGCGAAGGACTGAGCGGAGTTAGAAAGTAAACAACCACAGTCCCCAGTTTCTTCGCTTTCCCTTTGAAAACCTTATATCTTCATTGAAAAAGCACGCCATTGCTAAATGGTCCACCATCAACCAAGAGTTCGGGCCAAGAATCCACTCAAGAAGATGACCCCATGATTCCGGCAAGCGAGGCCGGGTCCGGTGCCCCACTTGGTTCGCCGGGGCTCCGGAGTGTCAGCTCGGATGTCGGTCGGTAATCCCGAAGGGGAAAGACTAGGCCGGAGTCTATCCAATCATTCACGATCGATGCCGCGCGGTGAGGGATTGCATCATCCTATCCATGAAGAGTCATCGTGCGCGGGAGGCTATGTGAATTGGTCAGCGACAGCTACTTACCGTCCCATGCTACCAGTTGCCCCATCTGTAGATGCGGTCATTCAACAGGCGTCCTGAGGGTGTGGTTAGAGTAGTCCCCTCGAACTATGAGGTTCATGTTTGAATCTTTGTTGACATCACGAGAGTGTCGTATTGCAACTAAGCTGGCATGGACCTCCCAACGATGCGCGTGATGTCATTGGAGCTTCGTGTGCGTACAGGAAACGCTGAGAGTGTCTTAATGAGTTGTGTATTGCTCTGATCATTTATGCTTCTATCCAAAAGCTATCGATACCATCCCTATGCCTTGCTGTCGCTTTTGATGTTCTCAGGCTGCCTGACGCTCCTCCACTCCAAAGCCAAAGCACCAAATATGGCAAGACACACGAGGACCAGGCCGACCAGGAATACATGTCTAATTGCCTCGTTATACGCAATCAGAGCCGTCGTCTTGACGGCGGCGGGAAGATTCGTTAGAGAGGTGACACCATTGTCCAAAACCTTCTGTGCATCAAGCCCGGGAACCGAAGAGAGTCGCTCAAGCAGCTGAGTGTTGAGGATGTTTTGAGCGACGGCGAGGAAGATGGCTCCTCCAATGAGCTGACCAAAGAACATAAGTGATATTCCCACCGGTACATCCTTCTTTGGCAAGACTGTCTGAGCTGCGAGGTTTGGTGCTTGTGTTGACAAGCCCAAGCCGAATCCGTAGATGATTTGGTAGCCAATCCATTTGCCGCTGTCAGTGTTGACTTCGAAGGTATAAATCAACCCAGCGCCGACAGCCATAAGGCAGATACCTCCGATCATGAATGGCGTGTAGTAGCCGATGCGACGAACAAGGGCGCCCGTCATAAGCGTGGCTACTACCATTGACAGCATGAGAGGTAGGAGACGGATTCCGGACTCGACAGCGGAGACGCCTTTGATAGCCTGGAACCAGATTGGGAGATAGTAGGCTGAGTTTCATTAGTTTCAGTAACGTGCAGGGTCTTTGCTATTCGTGTAACTTACAGAATATCATCAGTTGCGATCCGTTGCAGATGGTAGCATAGACACCTGCTAAAATGCTGCGCTGCTCGAAAATTCGGCCAGGGAGTGTGGCTGTCTTGGGCATGAAGACCTGGACTAAGGCGAACCCGGCGAGAAGTACGACTGCGAGCACCAGCAGAAGGATTATTCTCCAGTTGTTCCACTAAGACCCGTGGTCAGAATTGGAATCACATGTTTTCCGGAGATGTAAACTTACAGCATACGTGGAGCCACCCCATTCCATGGCCAGAATCAGCGACACTGATCCAGGGATAAGTAGAGCGGTACCAAAGAAGTCAAGCTGCGCTAGCTTAGACTTCAATTCAAGCTTTGTCGTATCTCTGTCAGGAATGGCAAGGATCAGGAAGATGATGATGCCTGCCAAGCCTCCCAAGGGGAGGTTGATGTAGAAGCACCATCTCCAGGTGACCTTTGAGGTGAAGACGCCTCCAAGTAAAGGCCCGACAACAGAAGAGACGCCAAAGATGGCACCGAAGAATCCTTGATATGTGGGACGTTTGCGAAGCGGGACGGCGTGCACGATGATGACGACCTGGAGAAATGCGGGTTAGACCCTGATTTGACTGCGGGATATCAGATCCAAGACTTACCACGCCGCTGAGAATACCAGCTGCACCAAGTCCAGCAATGGCTCTTCCAATGATGAATGACACCGAGTTTGGTGCCGCGCCACAGATTGCGGATCCAACCTCGAAGAGGAAAAGGGAAGTAAGGAACGTGCCCTTGACGCTGAAGAAGGTGTAGAGTTTGCCGAAAAGAAGCTGTGAAGCGCACTGGGTAAGGAGATATGCCGATCCGTACCAGCCTATGTCGGTAACAGAATGAAACTCGTCGGTGATTTGTGGGATGGCTGTGGTGATAATCATGCGATCCTGTGAAACGGTCTCGTCAGGTTCTTGTCCTTGGTTATACGTAGTGTGGTTGTGTAAAGTTAACTTACCAAGGAAGTTAAAAACATGCACATGAAGGCAGACGACATGATGCAAGCGAACTTGAGTCCTGTCGGATACTCTGTGTCATCTGCGGACTTTCCTCCGTCCTCGAGCTTCTCCGAGATGTTCTTCTCGGTCTTGGTATCGTCGTTATTTAGCGATGGCTCCGCAATAGTCGAAGCTCTTGACTCGTTGCCTTGGGATGGTGTTGGCTCGGGATGTGTGCTTGATGGAGTTGCCATCTTGAAAGTTTTGTTGACGTTAAAACGTGTTAGGATACTGGGGTCGGAGTTTTGGCGGACTTGGTACTAGACGCAGAGTACTTTAATCAGATTAAAGTATTAGATATTGTGTGGACCAAGTGATTGAGACTTGAAGTAAGGTTGAGGCTATTGAGGTGAAGAGACGAGAAGCCAAGACCTCGGGATGCCATTTCTTTATACATGTGCAGGAGAAGTGATTTGTTTCAAGGGACTGACTTTTGAAAAGTCCGTTGACGGAAAACGGCAAAAACAACCCATCGCAGGCCCATTGTTGATGCATCTTTGGTTTAGACCGTCGATCCTCCCAGACTATTCGGGCCCGAAAGATCCAAAAGAAGTTAGACTATTCTCAGAGTCTCATAGTAAGAATGGAGCAACTCATCAGACGGAGGCCGAGAGAAAACGCTAAACTTCTTTGAGACCCGAGAGCCCCGACATCTTCCTTCGCGCCATCCCGACGCGCATCCTTCACCACAAGTAACCTCACAACCGTACCGGACATCTTCCAAAAGTCCGGGAAGAGTCCGAATATCTCATGAAAATCAATCAATCGAATGTGCATGGATATTTGTTTCGCTCCAAGCAACTCGTCTCTCATTTCTCAGACTTCTGCCCATGGCGACCCCGCAACCGACAGCTCTTCAAGGGCAGCCTAAGCACGCATGCTCGCTCTGCGCAAAGAGAAAAATCAAATGCGACAAAGCTGAGCCATGTTCAAATTGCACAAAGGCACAGGCACACTGTCTCTACGAAGTACCAGCTCTACCGCGACCTCGCAAGAGAGCGGCTGATGAGGAGCTTCTGGCGCGCTTGGCCGCATACGAGGACTTGATGCGGAAGCACAATGTCGACTTTGCGCCGTGTTCTCATGGTTGGATTACGTCTGGGCCTCAAGGGCGTATTAAGCAAGATAAAACTGAGGCGATGCCTTCTGCAATATCTCCGCTTGATTACCAGAGCTCAGCGACTCAGGTGTCGAAGGATGTTCCCTTGGCGACAGAACGGTCAGTGTTAGGACAGAGTAGAACATGGCCTTATTTGCTGATTAGTAATTTTCAGTTGTCTTTGGTCGACTCTCCCGACAGAGGTAAGAGCCTCCATTCTCTGAAAAAACCGGCTTGGATCTGACTTCTATCACCAGCTCATTTACCCACCCGTCCAGTGTTTGACCAGAAGGGAAGATCCTTTGCATATCCCAACGCCATCGCTTCATGTTCTTATGACGACAGTTCAACCCGAACTTTCCCAGTTGCACCCGGACCCAAGGCACATTTACCGATTTTGGCAGATCTTCGTCGAGGCCGTCAACCCGTTGCTGAAGATCATCCATGTGCCGACACTACAGCAGCAGATCCTTGACGCAAGTTGGAATCCGGCTGCCGCCTCAAAACCGCTCACAGCCATTCTGTTCTCCATCTACACCCTGGCTGTCACCTCCACGTCCATTGAAGGCTGCCAGGCTACCTTTGGCGAGGCCAGAAACACGCTGATACTGCGCTATCGGACAGCGGCTCTGCGTGCTCTCATTGCAGCCGACTTCCTCACCACGCGAGACTTTGAGGTCTTGCAAGCTTTTGTTCTCTTTCTCTTCTCTGACCCCGACTCGGAGTTGACGTCTACCCTCACTGGTGCCGCCATTAGGATCAGCCAGAAGATGGGTCTGAACAGACCAAAGCCGGATCCAAAAGTATCGGTGTTCGAGACTGAAATGCGTATACGTCTATGGTGGCAGTTGAACGGATTGGATTCTAGAGTGAGAATCGTCAAAATTGCGGGCATGCGACTCCCACCATCCGAGAGTGAGTTCGGCGACATCCGCCTCCCACTCAACGTCAACGACGCGGACTTGCATCCGGAAATGACGGAGCTACCACCGGAGCACCCGGGCGCAACGGAAATGCTCTGCGTGTTGATGAAGTTTGAGACCTTCAATATTATCAGATCTTCCAGTAGAGCTGTCAAGGTCTTTGATGTCATTATCCACGGTCCTGGGAAAGACAAGCCCCCATCAAAGCTGGAAGACGACGCGATCAACGAGATTGAGGCCACTTACCATGAAAAGTTCATTCGACACCTGGATAGGAATATTCCTCTCCACGCTCTAGTTTATACCATGACGAGGCTCACGCTGGCTCGCTTCCGGTGCAAGGTGCACAGCCCGCGTGGCCGGGCTAATAGCAACGGAGAGGTGTTCATGACGCGCGAGGAGGGTGACCTAGTCTTTGACTGGAGTGTGACCTGGCTGGAAATGATGGAGATTGCTATGAGCAGCAAGTTCTCTTCGCACTTTATCGCGCATATGACGACAAAATTCACCGTGGATGTCTACATCTATATCCTCAGTGATCTCCGCAAGAGAGTCTCTGGTGAGCGGGTCACCTTGGCTTGGAAGCTCATAGAGAGTCTTTACGGATATCATCCGGAACTGATTGAGAACACGCAAAGTTCCTTTTATGTGGCTCTCGGGGACCTGACATTGGAAGCTTGGGAAGCCAGGAGGAGAGAGTTGGTCAACGTCCAGGGGAGTCATGAAGCCGATAATGCGCCTCGCTATATTCAGTTGCTTCGGGAACAGAGGCAACAGAAACCTGCGCCAGTTCCACACGTGCCAGCGGCAGACTTTCAGACTCTTGACCCGCTGGGACTTACTGATCCGGCAAACCTGGATTGGGATTATTGGAATGATTTCTTGCGATTATAGTTATGTTCTCGCAACGGCAATCCCAATATCGGCTAAATTTCGAGTGTTGAAATGCAATTGTTTGCTCGGGAGATTAAAACTCTTGGAGGTGTCTGGTGGTTGAAGTTGCGGTGACTCTAGCTCGAGTTCACGTTCCATCGCCAATGCGGGTCAACGCATCCTTGTACTCAAAGCTAACGACCCCTTCGCCCTGCTCAGGTAGTAGTGAGTAAGCACATCGTAGCATGGGAACACCAAAGTCCCGTTTCAAACCTTGCGCTCCATGACTGAGAGCCAACAGTTGCGGTGGACCTAGGAGGATGGGAACGAAGAGACAAAGTTGCTAACACATCATCCGAATATTCCCCATCCAGAGGTTGGGCCGCGGCACGCATCTAGTCAGCAACATCTCTGCGCGGTCCACGAGTACGACGTTGTCATTGCTAGTCTACGATCATCTTTGATTCTTCAGCGGCACTGAGGGAACCACTCAATGTCTTGTCTTCTGTGATGCTCTACGAACCTAAGGTATTCCTCCCTGGCACAGGCAATCGACATTATGAGTTTTGCGTCCCCTCGCCAGACTATTCTTAGTGATCTTCCCCCGCATCATCTTTGGTCCCCTCTTTTCCCCCATGATCGTCCGTCAACAGCCCCATCCCGACACACTAGATGCATCCCTCCTCAACGCTTAACTCCCCGACGAGTCAGAAGACTTCCATATGGCGGCGTATGAATGCCTCTAGGACCTAGGCTCGCTATACAACTCGAGAATTCGCGCCCGAGTCCGAAGTTGTCTTGCCAAAAGGCACTAGAAGAGACCAGCCCACGAGCCCTGAACTCAAAGCTGCCAGCTGCGCCATCCGGAAAACATGGAGCGAACTGGAGCAGCCCACTTAGTCTCTCATAGTGTTGGGGAACCCTGGAGCTGTATCTAGCCAAGTTGGTCAATCAAATAACCTCAATTGGCTGGCTCGGCTAAGCGCCCACACCTCAGACATGCTTCCCCGTATCAACTTCGCCCCATAGTTGTCCTGCCTAGTGCAACATAACATCAACATCCGTACTCTGTTCAGTCTGTTGTGTCTGGTTTGTCTGCACAATCACTGCATGTGCGTCTCTATGTGTCTATGTATCATTGCCATCCCATCCCCGCACCCGATAACTAGCTCCTCCTTCAGGGTTCTGGTCACATCGTAGCCTTCAGTAGCCCCTCCGCCTGTCCGCAACCTGCGACGTGTTCGCCGCCATCTGTGCGGCCATGTGGCCCCTCGAGCTTCTCGAAATGCAGCCCCAAGCCTTCAAGGGCCCCCTCCACTAGGCCTTTGTCTCTTTCTTGTCAAATAGATCAGCGCAACGCGGAATCTCGGCGGAATACACCCTGCTTGCATTCCGCCCGAGCGTGCGTAACAGCCCTGTGGACTTGTCTCCAAACGCTGCGACGTGGCGTGCGGAGAAGGATATATAAAGTAGAGTAACCATCGCGGTCCGCGAGCCATTCGCATGTGCTGGTTGCTTCATCTCGACTTTCTGTTCAACACACTCAATCACCCCCACGCGCGTGTGTTTCTGAAATCTTTCGTCCCTCAATTGAGTTCGCATTGACTTTGCGCGAAACCGTAGCCATGGGTCTCTACAGCAAGCTGGCGGATGATGTTACAGAGGTGGACGTGATCATTGCTGGAGGTACGCATCACGACTCCTACTCCCCGATGAACCTCAATCATGGGTTGACTCTTCGTTTCCAGGTGGGACAGCAGCTTGCGTCCTCGCTGGTCGTCTCGCGGCCGCCGATCCTCAGTTATCCATTCTCGTCATTGAAGGCGGCACCAACAATCGCGATGTCCCCAATGTCGTCCACCCGGCCTTCTTCCTCGACCACCTTGCCCCGACGAGCAAGACCGCAATCTTCTACCAGGGCAACGTATCCGACAAGCTGGCAGGCCGCGGTCCCATTGTCCCGGCTGGAGGAATCCTCGGTGGCGGTTCCTCGATTAACTTTATGCTGTATGTTACCGAATCTCTGTCTCTCCCCTCCCCTCCATGCCCCCTCCTCCGTCTTCATCTCTCTCGGATCTCTAGCCCCCTCAAGTTCGTAGCCTCAACCCTGCATCCGATGAGACTTCCCCAGCTTCGCCTGCTTCATCCCCCCATATCCGCTCCCGCACGATCCATTCTGCCTGGACCGTTTCATCCCGTACCCCGGATGCGGGGGCGGCAGTTAGCACCGGGATGGAATGAAAAAGTTGGGGTAGCTCCATTCTAGCTCGGAACACATGAGCCCTTCTGACTCTCTCACGACGATCGATCTCCCCTCCACCAGTCAAGCTAACGAGTCATGCTATTTCCAGCTACACCCGTGCCCAAAAGTCTGACTTTGATTCATGGGCGACGCCCGGCTGGTCTTCGGCGGATCTTTGGCCTTACCTGAAGCGCTTCGAGACGTACCACGGCAACGGAGACCCGGCGCACCACGGCTCTTCTGGCCCGGTGCATGTGTCGTCTGGAGGCTTCCGTGTTGAGAGTGCAGAGGATGATATCCTGGCCGCCGCAAAGCAGACTGGCTACCCTGAGATCCGCGACTTGCAGAACCTAGAGGCCAACAACGGCTATGAAAGGTGGATGAGATACGTCTCCCCCGATGGCAGACGACAGGATGCCGCACACACTTTCCTACACCCACTTCTCGAGGATGGAAAACACCCGAACCTTCACGTCTTGGTGGAGTCAAAGGTGATCCGCGTCCTCTTTGACGACCACAAGCGCGCCGTCGGCGTCGAGTACACTCCCAACTCAGACTACCAGGCCGTTTTGAACACCACACAACAGCCTGTCCGGAGCGTCAAGGCAAAGAAGATGGTCGTCGTGTCATGCGGCGCCTGCGGAACCCCCGGCGTTCTCGAGCGCTCTGGCCTCGGTAGTAAGAAGATCCTGGACAAGGTCGGTGTCCCCGTTGTAGCGGACCTGCCCGGCGTGGGAAGCAACTATCAAGACCACAACCTGGTTCTGATGCCGTACAAGACCGCGTTGAAGCCGGAGGAGACGTTGGATAACATCTTTAGCGGGCGCATAAGCCATGAGGATGCGATTGCCAAGAAGGACAAGATGCTTGGATGGAACGGAGTAGACGTTGTCAGCAAGATCCGGCCCACCGAGGAAGAGGTGAAAAAGCTCGGCCCCGAATTCGAAAAGGCATGGGAGAAGGACTTCAAGAACGACCCCAACAGACCTGTCATGCTTACTGGTTTCCTTCACGGGTATGTACAACATGCCACACATTCTCTGTTATTCCTAGTATAACGAAACTGACATGTACAGGTTCCTGGGTGACCACGCCGCCATCCCGCAAGGCCAATACACAACAGTCGCAAACTACACGGCGTACCCCTACTCCCGCGGCAGCATCCACATCACCGGCCCCGCCCTAACAGACCCTCTCGACTTCGAAACTGGCTTCTTCAGCGACCCCGATGACCTGGACCTCAAGAAGCAGATCTGGGCCTACAAGCACTCTCGCGAGGTCGCCCGCCGCACAGCACTCTACCGCGGCGAAGTCGCCGGCGGACACCCTGCCTTTGCCGCGGACTCCAAGGCCGCGCTTGTCGAGTCGGTCTCGGCGGACGCGTATAAGAATGTCAAGCCGATTGAGTACTCCAAGGAGGACGACAAGGCGATTGAGCAGTTCTTGAGGGAGAACATTAACACGACGTGGCATTCGCTTGGAACAACCAAGATGGCGCCGCGGGATGATGGGGGTGTTGTTGATTCTTCATTGAGTGTATACGGTGTTGAGGGCCTGAAGGTGGTTGATTTGAGTATCGTGCCTGAGAATGTTGGTGCCAATACGAATAATACGGCATTCGTCGTTGGTGAGAAGGCGGCGGATATTATTGCAAAGGATTTGGGCATTATCATCGCGCCAAAGTTGTAGGATGATGACAGGATGAGAGATGGACTATCTAGCAGACTGCATATCAGCGAGATGTAATGAGCGCGAAGCAATTGAAGACTAGCCCGTTCTAAGGACAATCCCTTCTCGGCCCTATTGTTGTTCCTGATGTCTATTGCAATGGGTAACGGCAGATTTCACTCTGGAATCTTGACTAGGAGAGTTGCCACACAGCACGGCAGATCCAAGGAACTGGAGAAGTACGTCTCGTTCTAGGTGATGTAATTTGCGTATATCCAAATCTTTCCGGAACGTTTATTTCATTACTAATATCGTGACCGCACAACATGCAGTCTTAGAGGAGTGTGGGTATCAAGCTCTTCAGCGAGCACAGTTCTGGGATGAGATGGCAGGTCTTCAAGCAGACTCGTGGTGGGACTCGTGAAGCCCCTTCTTCTCAGCGTGGATAGCGCTGTCCTCCAAGTCCTCAGTCAGGCCGACATCCCGTCTGGCCTGCTCGAGGAGAACGCTGTCCTCGGCACCCGCATTGCTGCCAAAGACGCGGTCCATCTCCTCGAGGGTGGCGCCCTTGGTCTCGGGCAGGGCGAAGTGCACCCAGATGATGCTGGCGCCGAGGAAAACGGCGAAGAAGATGTAGGTTCCCCACTTCCAGCTCTCGAGCATGGATGGGACGTAGAAGGCGACGGCAAAGTTGTTGAGCTAGTAGCTTCGTGTTAGCCTGATGTCAATGTCTAAAAAGAGGAGGGTTAGGGTACATACCCAGTTGCTTGACGCGCCGATGGAAGCACCCTTGGCGCGAATAGAGAGGGGGAAGATCTCGGAAACAAGGGTCCATGAGACGGGACCCCATGAAGCTCCGAAACCAGCGACTAAGGTGTAAAGTTAGCAAACCGAGTTCTGAAGAGATCTCGACTAGAGACGGAAAGTCTCGACGTACTGTAAATCCAGATGAAGGCGACGGCAACCCATCCCTCAACGGGGTGGCCAGGCCAGTCGTGGCTGAACTTGGCGACAATGATACCGGGGATGACCATGGAGATCAACATGACGATGGAGCCAACAATCAGGATGGGCTTTCTGCCGACCTTGTCGATGATTGCCATGGCGGGGAGAGTGCTGATGAAGAAGACGACACCGGTAACACCAGTGGCCAAGAGAGCAGTCGTGCCGCCGGTGAGACCGAGGCTCTGGAAGACGTTGCTGGCGTAGTAAATAATGGCGTCGATACCGGACCACCTAAAGACACAATAATTAGTTCCGTTGCGGAGACCGAAGAAGTTCATGGTAGACTCACTGTTGCCAGAACATGACCAACCAAGCATACGCAACACGCTTAAAGTGGTCCCAGGAGCGGAGGATACGCCAGTACTGCGCAACCTCACGCATCCAAACGCTCGTCTTCTCCTTCTCGGCCAATTGAGGGAACGCCTTCTGGAATGAGCGCTGCTCGAAGAGAGCCTCGGCCTTGATCTCCTTGAACTCAACCTGGACGAGCTCGCTGTCCTCGGGAAGCTTGCGGAGATACGCGATGGTCTTGACGGCCTCCTCGTCGCGGCCCTGCTTCACGAGCCAGCGGGGAGAGAAGGGCAGCCACCAGATGCCGAGAGCGAGGAGGGCGGCGGGGACACCCTGGATGTAGGAGGGGAGTCTCCAGGCAAGGTCGGATTGGCCTTCGCCGATGCCGCCGATATAATTGCTGCCGTATCCGATCCAGAAGGAAAGCATGATTCCGAGAATGGTGGCAAATTGGTAGAAGGAGACGATGAAGCCTCTCATTTCGGGGGCGGCGAGCTCGGCGTTGTACAGGGGACTAAGAGTTGATCAGCATTGTGTCCTCGGTGCGAGTTCTTAGACAGATGGCAGGCTTACCCGACACCACTAAAGGTTCCGACACCAAGACCGGTGAAGAAACGGCCGGCGTAGAGAAGCTCGGGCTTGTGGTAGCTTGCACCGGTGTAGAGATAACTTCCCAGGACGACCCAGAGACAGGCGGAGAACATGGTGTACTTGCGGGAGAAGACCTCGCCAAAGACACCGGCGCTGACGGAACCCAGGATACCGCCGAGTTGGAGGATGGATGTCAGCCATCCCGTCGCGCTGGACGAGTTGACGACGGAGGGGAAGTTATCCTTGAAGCGCGTCATGACGAGGGATTGTCCGAGGACACCTAGGAGGACGGTAAGGTTAGCGACGGAACGGCCATCACCGAGGTCGAAAGGTACAAGACATACCCTGCTGGTATCCATACTCGAAACCTCCAAAGGATGCAAAGAGGGCAATGACGAGGATCTTGGGGTTGTTTGCCAGTGACTTCCATCTGTTCTGGTAGGCAAGCTGCGTGCGCGCCTCGGCGGCAGTGGCTGCTTGGACGGCCATGACTGCAAATGGCGATTGACGAGCAAAAGAATTGATCCCGTAACGCAAGACAACCGAGTGACAATCACGGGAAGCAGGAGCCGGGAAATAATAAGACGATCACCTCACCCAACAGGCCGGGCCATCGTCTGTACTTATTCTTGGGAGCACCGACGCTAAGGACTGCCTTCCTGGGGGGCGGTCGACCAGGGAGACGTCCTTTGGCAATGGGGCAACTTTTGCCAGATGGGGACAGGATGTGTCAAGTTTTTGATGCGACTCTGTGTAGACCGTCCCGCAGAGTCGAACGAGATGGGTCCCATGGGCTAGGTTCTTGGGTCGTCCGTCGTGTCAATGTTATTGCTAGCTCCTTGGGTCCATCGCTGACATGTTTAAACCCAGTGAGGCCTCGTCTGGCATGTTCCAGATGTGTTGCTTCTTCGACTGCGTGTACATGTGAGATTCTCAGTTGCTGGAAATCCGGGGTATGTCAGATACATCAGCGTGGTGGGATCTGAGTACTGATCGACATGGTGCTTATGGTTCCCAGATCCGGACATCGGCTCCAAATACGCGTTTTGCTACCGCTTGCTCTTTGCCCGATGATCACCTCCCCCGGGTTTGGCATCCGTCGGCATTCGCCCAAAGGTTTCCGGAATCGAAGCATCTCCAACGCTCCAACACCTTCAGAAATCCTCTGGCTGCTCAAGCAGCTGGCGGGCCAAGCAGCGGAGTCCTCCGTCTTGTTTCCACTTTGAACCCCCTGGTTCAGAACCATGGAGTTCATACCCCGCCCACCCGCACACAGAGAAGTCTGGCACATCACACGATTTGGTCCACCCCCGCAGCGGGTTCACAGTCGTAAAAAAAAATACACAGTAAAAAAGAATTACGGCAAAAGAAAAGGCCAAGGCGTGTAACGTCGGGGAAAAGTCCCGGGGCTAACGCCAGAAGCGGAAGTTGGCCGAGTTGGCCTGGGATTCTGGGTGGATTCAAAGCAGAAATCTTTACCACTTCCCCACCGCCGGCAGCAGAGTGCTCAGAGGGCAGAAGTGTTCGTGACTAAGGTGTTTTTCCCGTGGGGAACGTTTTGACTTCTCTGGGGATCCCGCTGGCCCAGACTCGACTGAGGATTGTGAGGGGAAAATCCCCCATCTTGTCAGCAATAGCACCGAGAAGAGGCCGTTGAGGCGACGACAACAACCGATCGACTTGCAGATATACCGGCCACAATGACAGAACTTTGATTGTCTTTGAAGTTTCAAATGGACCGCCCACATGGCCGCCACGTTAATTTGATGGTTCCCGGAAGAGAAAACATCCCTCATACCGGAACTCATACCGGGATATTCGTCGAAGCCCCAAAGTAAAGTCAAATTGAGCCGCACCCTTGGCAGCGATGCCGGGACCGCGCTATTACTCAACTCGCCCACTCCTCGACGCTTCCAGACTTTGCCTTTATGGTTATTGAGCCCGGGCTCTTGTACGTCAGGAGTCATGCCATCCCCGGCGCCATGCTGCTGCTTGACTAAGAAGTCCCACAGCAACGTTACCTAGCAGGCTAGTTCGCGTGTGCTCGACCTCGTTGCCCGCGGGGTTGGTTTCTGACTGGTCCCTGTAATCAAAAAGCAGAATTTTCTGCAGGCGACCCTTTGCAGGTCAATTCGCTTCTGCAATGCGCTCGTCCAGTTGGGTTTTCGTGTCGGCAGGGCCCGGCCGAGAGGCTCGAGATTTTGATGTCTTTGACCGATGAGGTTTGCGTCATTGAATCGCGAAAAGTGAAAGCTCGGTGTTCTCTCCGTCGATGCTTGGGTGGTCGGCTTTTGTTGCCGGCGCTAATTATGTGAGATCCATAGTTGTGATACTGGGCAAATGTCTGTTCATGATCCCACGATGGCATCAAAATTTGCCCTTGCCAACAACTCGTCACCGCTTCACATCGGCATCGATGCATCGCGGTTCGCGCATGAGATCCCGGTATTACGGGTGGGGAGCACGATTGGACCCATTTCTCACCTGCGGGCGAAGTCGGAAGAGCAAAAATGAGCGCCCCACGATATCGGTTTCCGAGTCTTTTGGGACATGCTCGAGAGCAATAGCGGAGTTGATGGCTTGTTCCCTGACTCGAGGCATCTTGTTCTCGGCAATCTCTTGCGGAAAGTGTAGATGGAACCGATGGCGCCGCCAAGCGTTGCAACCTGCCAGGTGTATTCCCTCAGCATTCGCGCCATCGGGGGGACTTGAGACTGTTTCACTTTGCAAAATCACACTCCGGCTAGTTGTTCGTTTATAGATCATCATAACACAACCTCAGGTGATGGAGGACTTCGCGCCTTGTGTACTGTTCACCCTGTAAGGCCAGCACAAGTTGGGGAGAGCTCTACTAGAGGACAAGGTGATCTGCATAGAGAGTTGCAGACTCGATCAGAATCTTCATGCACCGGGGGTCCAATGTTGATCTAAGAGGCTGCGGCTGCGGCTGCGGCTTTGGTACGTTCATCGTAATGACCATCAATAAGTGTGAAAGTCGTTCAACATCGTGACATCCGAACGACCTGGGGAAACAAGATCTCGACATTGTGTAGTGTCTGTGTATTCTCACTCAAGAGCACTAGACCTAATGTTCATGCAAATATCGTTCAGAACTGACGGGACCAGAATCGAGACATGCAGTAGGGGACTATCCTTTCCTTAATCTCAACGTCACTCTGGGAAGCGATCATCGGCGATGTTTGATCCCGCGGTTACGACAAAGCGGACGTGTAGATTGGAAGCCATCCGAAGTGCGTTTGGCACGTGGATGGACCGCGCTGCTGGGTCACTAGCCTAAGGATGAGTATTTGTGACTCCTAGGACCCATCGACGGCAGTTGAGATGAAAATGGTTCGGGACATTGCTCATGCAAGGTAACCTCCAAAGGCGGGTAGTCCCGCGGGGACGGCCACACAAGACTTGGCTCTAGACACAACATGCAGCATAGACATGCATGAATAGAGAGCCCATGCGGAAGGGAGTGCGAGGCGTGTACCCCCGGCAATATTCCCTCCTGAGGCTGGAGAGACGTCCGGAGAGGCCGGGGTACATTCTGGGGTTCTGGGGTTCTGTGGGGTTTGGTTTAATTGATTAGTTGACAATATCATAGCATTACGGCCGACCGATGATGGCGTTTGGCGAACATGAGTATTCCACGAAAGAGTCTTTCTGGTAGCTTTATTTCTGGTCGGGTTTTGGGTGCCATAGCCAGTGATTTTAGACGCCGTGGTTCACCCCGCAAACTTGGTCTGCTATTTTCACAACTTGAGATGTCGAAAGGCAGTCGCAACTAGCTGTATTACTTGAGTTTCATGACGCTTGGTTAATGTTCTTCCGTGACAAGCGAATTCAGGCAGCGCGAAAGTAAACGCAGTGAGAGGAAGAATTCATAATAGGCGAAATGATATTCTTGACGATGGCAAAGTTGTCATCACCGAGATGTTACTGACTGGAAATCCTATCTCTAGGCTCGGCTCTTAGGCCTGGCTACTTCAGTGCAATCAACTACAAAGTCAAGATTTGTGATTCGATACAATCTGAGTATCGGGAATATCAAAGAATCTCTACCTAGTCCAGGTAGTCAAAATCATGCAGATGGTGCCTCTTACCGCATTTTGTTGGTATCAGACCAACTCACAGTAGGCCGACATCTTGGGCCATGACATATCGATCGTCTATGCAGACTACAGTGAGTTTTCTTGTACCTGAATCATCAATCGACTTTGAGAAATGCTTGAACTTTGATGATGGCGCGTACAAGATCCATTTTGAAGAGTCTGGAATCAAGGACTGAAACGGCCGCGACAATTCTCGACGGGGGCGAACCGAGGGGCGGCACGTGCCGTGGCACCTGCCATGTCTATTTTCGGGAGAGTTTGTCGGATGATTGAGTTTGGACAGGAAATTTGCTTTATTCAATCTCAATCCTGTGAGAAAAATAGCACTGCTTGGCCAAATGTGATGAACAAACGGTGATATCGGTGAGATTTGTGAGATGAGAGATGAGGTATGAGAATGGAAGAGAATGAGTGAACAGAAGCTGGATGTGATGAGATAAGCATACTGCCCGGGCTGATAGGACTGATAAGGATAGGTGAATGCATTTATCAGAAACCAGGGGCTTACGTCATTTCGCTCGATATTTCTGTATCGGGGATGTGCCCCGCGCTAACCTGGAAGGAAAGAACCGTGCACGCAGCCCCTGCCCCACCATGGCGGGGAGCTGCTGCCGTTTTGTCACAGAAACTCGGGCGGGCGACGTTTTGGCACCCAAAAAAGATGAGACACGTCGTCGCAAACAAATTTCTCGAGATACTCTGATAATCTCGCTGCTTTCCTCTCTTTGGCCTTCTGAATTGCATCTTGTTTTCGGTCAACCTCTGCTCGACTCTTTAGATACCCATCCTTCATTCAGATCCAAGATGCCTGGTATGGTTCCCCGCCATTGGCGTCTCCAGCCCTCACCACAAACCTCGCACCAAGCTAATCACCACGCAATTGACAGCTCCCTACTCGACCGGCGACAAGACCTCCTTTGGCTGGGTCACTGCTCGCGAGCGTTGGCCCGTCATCATTGTACGCCTGTGGCATCCTTCTTGACAATTCGCGTCTTGCTGACAGCTACCCTATAGACCCAAGCCATCGACGACCTCTACCGATCCGTCACCCAGACCAAGGACGCCGAGAAGGAAGCCGAGGGCAAGAAGATTATCGAGGAGATTGCCAAGGTCAAATACGAGGTTCAGCACGACCGGGCATTGACGTATGGCTCTTCATGGACACCTCCAATGCCATTGTTGCTGACCATACTATACCAGACCGATCGAGGACGATGGATACCCCGACGTCAGCATCTACAACGAGGAGCTCAAGAAGCTCGGCTCTCCCACATGGCTGAACGTGCCGTGGCTCTACACCGAGTGCTACCTCTTCAGGTAAGTGCAAGATCACACACCCTGGAATGAATGCAGGCTGACAGCAACAGACGCATCAGCACGCACTTTGCCCGGTCCACCCACTGGAAGAACTACGACGTCTTTGCCCGCCAAAAGATGAGCACATTCAGATCCTCCCGCCCCGCTGTGGTCGAGCTGGCATCAAAGTACAAGGAGCTTGTCGAGCAGCTCCACAAGAACAAGGGCGCCGCCCAGGACGAGGCCGCCGAGAAGCTGCTCTTCACCGAAATGTGCGAAATCTGCCTCTGGGGTAACGCCACCGACCTGTCCCTCCTAACGAGCTTGACCTACGAAGACATCCAGAAGCTGCAGGGCTCCGAGGCACGCAAGGCGTCCGAAAAGAACATTGTCGTCAACGATCTCCCCGCCGTCTACGAGCTCCTGAAGAAGGCCAAGGCCGAGGGCAAGGCTGAGCGCCGCGTCGACATTGTGCTCGACAACGCCGGGTTCGAGCTCTATGTCGACCTCATCCTCGCCGGATACCTTTTGTCCGCCGGCCTGGCCACCAACGTCGTCCTGCACCCCAAGTCCATCCCGTGGTTCGTGTCCGACGTGCTCCCCGGCGACTTTGCCCAGCTCCTCAGCGCCATTGCGAGCCCCAAGCGCTTCTACGAGACGCCCTCCGAAGAGGAGGAGCTTCAAGGCAAGACACCCGAGCCCCTTTCGGCTGCGGACTCGGAGAGCCTCGCATTCCTCTTCCAGGAGTGGAGCCAGTTCCACGCCGAGGGACAGCTCATCCTCCGTCCCAACCGCTACTGGACGCACCCCGGCCCCTTTTGGCAATTGCCCGAGGAGGCCAAGGAGCTGTACGAGGACCTCAAGGCCAGCGAGGTTGTAATTTTCAAGGGCGATCTCAACTACCGCAAGTTGACTGGTGATGTGAGTACCACGTTCCACTTAACAAAAGTGGCTACGATGCTAATGACAACTAGGCCGACTGGGATGCTGCCACACCCTTCACGGAAGCCCTCAAGAACCTCGGCCCCGGATCCGGCCTCAACATTCTGGCTCTCCGCACCTGCAAGGCCGACGTCGTCGTCGGCCTCCAGCCTGGCGAGGACGAGAAGCTGCTCGCCACCGAGGGCGGCGGCGGCGACTCTGGCTCGAGGAAGTGGGCTTGGAGCGGCAAGTGGGCCGTGGTGTCTTTCTCAGGTGGTAAATAAACCGTTTGCTTGGTTATTACTTGTGTTCTCTTTCTTCTTTTGCGTATTTACCTCACTACCGCTATAGAGCCATGACCGATAGACTTTTGAGAGAAACCCCCCAGACGCGAATAGAAAGGCTGGCCTTTTTGCCTAGCCTAGTCTAATCTACCTTCTTTGACCATTCAGTCTTGACCATTCAATTCTTCGACCATTTCCAACAGCTTTGACTGCCTCCCACCGACTCCCATGGTACTTGTGTCTTCCCTTTTAAGGCTTACTCTACCTCTTCTGTCAGGCCGCCGGATCCAACCTCCCGCTCCGGAGTCGTAGACCGGAACCTTGGGAGGTTTGGGCTGTGGCGCTGTCGATTTGGGTTGTCGCGGTCTCAATGGCGCGTCCGGGACTATACAGACGGAGCAACCCTTGCAGTGGAACTTTGGCGGTTTTATGTTCTCGGGGTCTTTAGCGGGCTCAGCCTGTTGGGTTGGCTCAGTCAGTTGAGTCGGCGTAGTCAGTTGAGTTGACTGAGTCTGGACGGTTGACAGAGTCTCGACAGTTGACTGAGACGGAGCAGACAACGGGGACTGAAGAGTTGACTGAGTTTGTTGGTCTGGCTCTCGTCCCATAGCTCGAAGCTCCGCCAGTTTCATCTCCTCGGGATTTCTGTGCGGAATATTCACCAAGGACGACTCCCCTATCAAACAAAGTTAGCCCTCGTCTCCATATTCCCTCCAAGAAATACTCACAAGGAACACATCCATCGCAGAAATCATGTTCACAGCCTTGACCCTCGCACGTCATGGAGTTCTCGTTGTCCATATCGCACACATGGCAGATCCATCGCCTGTCCCATTGCTCGTACTTGCACGCGATGGCAGAACAGACATTCTGGGCTGTCTTTTCGACAAGGGTAGGGTTTGCGCACTTTGTTGGGGTGATTCCGAACGGGCAGCCGTCAAAGGCGCGTTCGCAGACTGGCGTGAAGTCGCTCGTGTGACCGCACGCGTAGTGACATGTTGTCTTGATGCACATGTTGGCGATAGGTAGTGTGGTATAAGTGGGATGCTGTTGATGCGTTGTTGCTAATGGTTAACTCAGTTGGGAGCAATGAACATGAAGAGCGAAAAGATATGGCAGCGAGTTGGGTAACGGAGATGACTCGATGCTCTTGACGAGGGGGAAAGTTTGGTCCACGGACGGTCTGCGAGAACCTCTGTCGACATGGAACGGCAGGAAATCTTGGAAGACATGGTGGCTTCCGTGACACGACCTGGAGGGATGGCAATCGACCTTGGTGTTTCCTGCTTGTCTCGAACAACCTGTTGGGTCTCAACTTCCTCTCGCCTTCACCGACGGTCTGTGGGAAAGCATCACGGGCCTCGTCGAGCTCACCGAGCCTTCCGCAACAACCTTGCCTCAGGAGAACCTCTGGATACTGACAGTAGTGAAAGGTATGTATGAATTATAACCCACTACCTCATAATAAGCAAACAATGACAAAGGAAACGTTTCATCCGGAAGGGCAGTCCTCCCAACAACGCCTGTCCAGGTAATAATTCAACAATCTCTCCAAGTATTAGGTATTCGTCTCTCACTTCCCGGTCTACGCCCTTCGTCCCTCCATGACCCCATGAAATCAAACACAGAGGCCAGCACAGTCGGCACCCCCCTGAAGCGGGTGGCAGTCATCCCTTGGATCATCCACGCACCACTTGCCTGCGGGGCACTTGATGGCCGCGATGCCGCCGCACATGATGGGCACGACGCAGATACCCGGCTGATCGCACGCCAAGCCGCAACCCTTGCGGAAGGGGTCGTCGATGCACTCGAAGCTCGCGGGGCACGGGTTGGGCGTGGGTTGGAGGCCGCCGCACTGTTGGTAGATGTTTGTCTTTACGGGGGCGAGGGAGATTGTGCGGGTTCCGCCGGGGCGGGATGTTGTTGTCGTTGAGAGGGTTGCTGCGCCAGCGGCGGAGGAGGAGGAGGAGTTTGATGACGGCGGAGATGGCGGCGAGGAAGACAGGAGAGATCCTGCGGAGGATGCTGGTGGTAAGGGGACTGCTGGGGCGGCGGAGGAGGAGGATGGTTGTGGGACGAGAGTTGTTGGTTGGGATCCTGGTTGTGTGAGGAAGGGTGTTACGGCTGGTGCGTCTGCGGCGGCGAGGACTGTTGTGCCGAGGATGGCGAGGAGGGTGTTGATGCGCATCGTGAGGCTTTTTAGGAGGCTCTTGATGAGGGTTTGAGTGGTATTCCTCGTGATATCGTGGACGAGAGTTGCGAGTATGGGCGTCTGCTGTCTACAGTCTACGCGTGTACGGTGATGGGCTGAGAACTTAGGAGAACCAAGGGTGAGCAGCCAGAAAGAAAGGGACCTCTAAATTCGCAGAGCGGCGGACCGTTGGTTGTTGATGTATGAAATTGACATGGCTGTCGTCTGGAATGCGGTCAGATGGGTTGTCTTGGTGCCTCATCTATCCCGAATTCCAGTCCGCGGTGGGACAACCACCACCGCCACGACAACCTGCCACTTTTGGGGTACGGGGACACCAGCAAGTGGGAATACGGGGTAGAGTTGTCTCCACGAACATTCCTCCGCAAGGATGGGCTGAGCCTTTGGGGACTGGCTGGACTGGTGCGAGTTAGCCTCGTGTCTCGGTTGCGCCAGTGCCCCGAAGGGAGGATTAGCATGACACTTCCAGTTTGGGTGGCATCACAACATTGACTGGGACAGATATGGGTTAGGAGAGTGACGCCGGATATAAATTCCGCGTTAGTTGGTTGTCTTTCGCACGTATCGAACTGTGATAGATGTAGGATGCCGTGCGACGAGGTTTCTTGCGAAGATCGCTCCTCTTGCAATGGTGACGGGGGTTGCTTTCAATGGAGGCTCACTCTTTACGAGAGGAATCGCGCTACCAAGAATTATTCAGCTGGACGAATGTATCAAAGCCTCAGTACAGTTCGTTGCGAAAGTTTGTCGATCTGTGCATCGTCGGATAGCATCGTAGTGGTGGCTGGCGGGGAGGCGGCGGCGTCTTCGGAGGGGTCGTGAATGTCCTTGGCGAGTCGAACGGCTAGCTGTGCGTGTGCTGTGTAAGATGTGATGAGTCTCTCACGGCCTGAAATTCGAAGGATTAGGATAAACCAATATTTGAAAGGCTGGGACTAGTTGAGCTTGGCTCGTGTCATCTTTAATTCGTGAATTCCAGCCGATGGTCGGCCTGCCTCCATCCACCGACCGGCCCCGCTTTCCCGTGTCGGGTCCGCCCATCTCCTGCCGATCCGCGCCGACAGGAATGCCGCCCTGAGAAGAGAACACGGCTCATTTGTGAAGATTGATACTGAACTAGATGTATTTGGGGAAAATAGGAGACCCTTGGCCTTTTTGCTTTTCTACAACTGTTAAAACGACCCATATGAGGAGAGGACTTGAACCCTGACGACGTCGGCTACCATGTCCCCGTCTCGCCGGTGGGATGTGTCCGGTCTCCTGCTGACTCGGGCCGGGAGGTTCACGCCGCCCAGGCTTGAGACTCTGCGATATCTCGGGGATACTTACTCGAATATTCCTAGATTTTGGTCCATAGGCGGCGATTTTGTTTCTCCTGCTTTTCAGCCACTGTCATAATCACCTAGGCAATTGAGGACAAGGTCTGGCGACGGAGGCTACCGCGACGCCGTGCCGGACCCGTCTGAGCCCCTGCGTACCCGACAGAGAAACATCCCACGACAAAGCCCAACTGCTATCCTCAAAGAAATGATTTCGATGTTGCATTATTTTGGACAACTGGCAATGTCTACCCTTTTCTTTCTGCTTTCCAATCATGTAGATGGGAACATAAAGTCCTACGACACGGAGGACTCGGGTCGGCCCCCACCCCCGCGACTCACTTCCGCGACGGCCGAATCGCATGAAACGGACGCACCTATTCGTACGTTCTCTGCCCTAGGGTAAGCAACACCTTAGCAGGATCCTACGCAGTCCCCGACGTGAGCTCCGAGACGGAGATGCAGTCACCTCCCGGACCTCTATTACCGGGCTGCGAATACCTCCGCCCTTTGGATTCATCACTGATTCGGGGTACCGTAGAGTGCAATCGCGATGCTCTCACTGTGACGAAGGGTAGAAAGGCCCGATCCATATCCGCAGGGCGGCGTCATGCATGCCTCGGCGTACGGCGAGAGACCTCTGATGATGTGGGTTATCACTCACCACCGTCTAAAGTCATCTGCTCTTAACACGTACTCTAGAGTTGGATCACAGTTGGCGGCCCAAGATGGAAGGAGGTTATGGAAAGGTGCTAGCTTTGCCGCTTGATCCGAAGACGTGTGTTGGTTGTTGGTTGTTGGCTGATGGGAAACGACCGACTTTTCGTATTCGGCCCATCTTCCGACTCTGCCGTATAACGACGCGCCGTTCCTTATGTAAGGTTGTCAGCATGGGGCCTGACTATAGTCAAGAATATCACGCATTCTCTGATATCGTCCACGTCCCGACACCCAAAACCTCACGAGTCACCCTATACAAACCAAGCATGCTCTGCGCACACCTCATAAGCATGCTCCTCAGTCCCTTCCGACCATGCGAGGGCATCCCAACCTTTCAAGAAGAATACCGCGGCACCTACGCCCCGAACTTCATCGAAGCCTGGCACGGCCCGCAGATCGTGGCACCGGATACCCCCTACGTCGCAGCGGCGGGCAAAAACAGCTTGTACTTCATCGACAGCCGGTTCGATTCCGACGTCGCAGAGCACATAAAAACGCAGATCGAGAGGGCGACTGTGGTGGTGGGGCCGGAGGAGGTCATCGCTATCGACGAGATTGAAGCGACGGCGGAAGTGAGAAACAGCGTGACGGGGGAGACGGTGTTTGTGTTTGATTCGGCGTATGCGAGGGTGCTTTTTGCGAGGGGGATTAATAGGCGGAATCCGAAGATTCAGCTGCCTGAGCTTGAGCTTGCTGGGGATTGGTTGGTGACTTATGAGAGTGGTCTGGCGGCGAAGAGGGAGGATCGGCAGACTGGAGGGGAGAGAAATAGCGACTCGTGGTCTCATAATTCATGACATTTAAATTCGCTCTACTTGCTGATGATGTGGGAAAGGGTTCATTAAGGGTGGACATTACGTGTGGACGCTGCACAGGGTTACTTGACCATCACTCCTAGAGTATCAAAGGGGACTAAGTTGTCCGGCGCTCGTAGAACTGCAATAGCTTGAGACTTCGAAATCCATGTTGTCAACGTACTTGGAGACCCATTCATGTTCTAAGAACAGGTTAATTGGACCCCCAAGGAACTTTGGCCGTAGTCCTTCTTGGCGGGAGGTTTGAGTTGGACCTTTTGTGCAGCTGAAGTCGGAGGATTGATCTTTTGTCTAGCTCGCAGTGGTAGAGTGGATAGCAACTAGATATTAAAGGTCGGCCGCCAAGAACGCCTATATGCCGCATAGTTAGGCTGCAAAATCGTGACCCCTGAAAGACTCTGCTGATTGGATGTCCTGGACATGGAATACCGGGCTCCGAGTTGAAAGTACCGGGGTGGTGATCTTATCTGATGATCAGTTGTGATGCGTGGCTATCGCGAGGCTGAAGGGGTGGGTCGGGAATATTATGAGATCGAATACAGCAGAGATTTGCAGTACTATGGGATGACTGTGTCTCTTACGCCAAGAGGCGTCCAATTCAGGAGCAATATTGAGCGGGCCAAGAGATATACGTAATCCTTTAACTTGGAAGTGAGGGATATTCCCTAGACCTTGCTCTCGTGGACTGATTGTGATGTGACTGCTCTTTTGCCAGGCTTCGGATAATCAATGTGAAGGGTCGATGGATAGAGCGAGTATAAATATGAGGTTCAATTCCACTAAACTCTGTCATTATATCAACACCAGACTCAACAGATTCATCTCCCTTTTCACAACCGAGAAATCTCAAAGTATCAAGTCACCACCAAAAATGCTCTTCACCAAGTCTCTCCTCTTCGTTACGGCCATGGTGGCCCCCACGGTTCTCGCTGCCTGCACCGGCGCACCGTTCCAGGGAACCTGCAACAACTGTGTTGTCGAGTGCCACGATAGTGAGTCCATCTCAGGGAAAGACTTGAGATGTGCATGTTTCTGACGAAGTTTAGCATACAACGGACCCGGCAGACAGGAGTCTCTTCAGCGGGCCAGCTGCCAATTTGCGTGCCTCGCGTTCTGCGACGACTGCGACTAAGTACGGGTGGCGATGTCTGGAAGCCTCTAGGAATCTTATGGCTATCATGAGCGAAAAGCTGTATCAAAGTCGACTTTCATAGACGGTGCCAGAAGCAACAGAATAGGATGTGCCCTTGATGTGGTGCTAGATTCATCGCAGAGGTCAGGATAGGGAACCTAGTTCAAGTGGGTAGTTATACAGTCAAGCTGCATCTGCATCTAGTATATCTTCCCAGACGACATGATGTATCTCTATGCTGTGTTGATTCCCTTGATATGGTGTAAATACCTAGTGGTGCCATGTTAACTTGCAAGAGGTGAGGCTACGTCAACCCTTGAGCCAGACTTTCGGGACTTGGAAGACATATTCAGCTATACAAACTCAAGATTCCGAGAAAAGCTGCCACTTGTAGTCCAAACCTTGCTAGTATACACGATCAAAGGGAAGTTATATACAGAGATGAACTTATACAGGGTGAGCTTATTTACGCACGTAGTGCACAAAATTAAGTAAAAACTACACAAAGGAGCTTCTAGCAGAGCTCAAAAAAACAAAAACAAAAAAACAGGCTCTTTCCAGTGCTGTTCAACTGTGATGTAGGAAGTCAACCAGTCCATGTCTGCTTGGTGCTGACCGTATTGTAACAAACTCCCGTCCTGTGCTGCGAAATCTTAGGTATGCCCAAGTTATATGTGTGCTCTTCGGCGGTGAGTCAACGCCTCGGCCCTCAACAATATTGGTGGACCCCAATTTGTTCTCGTGGGACTGATGCCCAAAGTGGATGGTTCATTCCGCCATGCCTACATTTGCCATTTCACATTCGATGCCCGCATTGTGACGGCACAACTACTGCATCTCCCGAGTCAACAAACACCCACCAACTACATGTCATGTACCCTGACGGCCTGACGGCACCAGTTCCCACAAAGCGGCACAAAGTGGCTTGTTACAAAGTTTTGTGTCTTCGCGACGGCGAACTCTGTGCTGTCGATGACAGGTGCGAGCAACGGTGCTACACACTGGACATGGATATATAGGTAGTGATACCCCAAGGCAGCCTTCACTCCGAATCTCCTTCCCTACATCTCATCGCAAGTCGTGAGCAACCCACCTGACCAAAAGCCTTGCGCCATCACTGGGCCATCACAACCTATCTCAGTGCAACAGGCTCACCACTATCCGTCTCTCCCGTCTTCCATTGCAACCACACAGTTGACGTCTGCCTTGTCATTCGCCACATCCCCATTTCTGCTTGCAATGGTTCACTTTTTCGACTTTCCGCGGGAGGTCCGCAACTTCGTATACGATCATTACGTTACCATCAAGGGCGGCTATATTCTCGACTTTGCCAGTGACACAAACCGAGGCGCCGGAAACGAGCCCCTTGATCTGGCCTTTATTCATACTTGTAAAAAGGCGGCGAGTGATCTCGACGGCCTGCCTCTGGCTCTGAATGCGCTCACCTTTTCAACCGTCTACTTGGAAGAGCATCGCAGCACCGCCGGTCGTTTCAATCTGATGGTTGAGGAACAGCTTAAAAAGGCAGCGAGGCCGTAATTTGGATGCCATCTGCCTCAACAACGAGATCGGTTCAGATGAGGTTTCGGCGGAGCTACTGGAAGCCCATCCGAAATTCGCCCCATACATGACCCTTCTCAGAAACAGACCAGCAGTCCGCTATCCAGGAGACGGGGCTGATATCAATGTAGGCCCGGATGGTTGCTGCGGCGAAACCCCCTCTGTCTTTCGCAGTTTCCTCCACTCTCCTTTGCAGATAATCCTGTCCCACAGACAACAGCTCGACACAAAGCAGTCGCGCGATCTTAGGAACTACTAAGCGGACTTCAAGTTCTCTATCGGCCTCGAGGGTTTGGTCAATCTCGACCTAACCCATGGGCAGTTTCAAGCCGAGAGTGGTTGGAAGCTGCCATATCTAATTCGGACCGCTGGTTCAAGTCAGGTATCAATAGTCGCTGGAGCTTTGATCGTCCAGGGTACCAAATCAGTAAAATCAAACATCGCTACTCGGCTGCCGCTGTCGCCATTCGTTTCCTCGAGTCGTTGTCGCATGGTGCCAGAATGGAAATTCGGCGGATAGTGTTGAACGAAGATTGGAAGGCTGTTGGCTACGCAGAGTGCCATGGCGTGGGCTTAATCCCATACTGTCTGGAAAACCCACTGCTTTTCGTGGACCGTCGCGTTGATATTTGGCGGACAGTCTTCCAGACAACTACCATATTTGAGTTCAAAGACCCCGTCATGCCCCCAAAGGATGACGATCCTCTGCCTGCACACCAAATATCCTACCGTGCCGCTGTCTGGATCGCGGAAGCGGTGGAGTTAGCGTACGCGGGTATGCCCCGCGGCTGCTTGAGAGTCCGATGCAGTTAGACCGGTACGGAGTAGATGAGAAGTAATTCTAGTTGCGCTTAGCCCATAGTGAGAAACATTCCATCTAGTGTCCCATATTACGTCCACGAAAATGGGAAGTTGGCGCACTTCCAGGTGATTCCTAACATATCACACGGCATGATGCAGGGACCTATATCTGACAGGGAAACACCTTCGCCTCACAGCCTTCAAGTCACTACCGCCGGGATGGACAGGTCCGTATGGGACCCAAAAGGCTTTTTATTCCGAGAGACTAAGGAACCTGGCTACAGCCTCCCATAATTCTCCTCGTATCACCACTAGCTGGGTGACTCTTTGGCTCGAACCAGTCCGATGGTTCACCAGACTACATGTACGTTAGACGTTGTATGGTTCATGAGGTACCTTGCGCGCTCCGTGATTGGGAGAAATCTACAATAAGGGACATGCGGTCACAAAGCGGAAGAAATGAATTGCTTTGCTACTGAAGTTCAGCCGCCAAAGCTTTGCCTGGTATCTGTGTGATGTTGTCCCTATCCCAACGCCTGTGACTCCGTCGCACTGCCCACAAAGCTTCAAGATGATTGACCGCCCTCCGCCCCTCCAACTCTGCAACCAGCCCCTACTCGTATGGTGTCCGAGGAGGAGCCATGACCCGTGCTTCGGGGCGCCCGTACACTGAAAACTTTGACTGTAGACTCGGACTGGAACTAGCGCTGGGTGCCCGCGGATAGGGCGCACCGACTCCCTGGCTCAGAAACTGTCCAGCATGGTTGATGTGAGCCCTAGGCGGGAGCACACCCCTCGACGTGCCGAGACTCGATCCAGGGCTTGCATGGTTTCCGTACGGTAGCCTCGGACTAACGCTGCCATCAGACGGAAACCGGGGGTTGTAGGTGTCGCTCTGAAGAAACTTCGGGCTCATGTCGGTGAGGGAGAACTCGTCTACTTGCTGCGGGCGCCGAGCTGGTGGATGGGGCGGGGACGCGGCGGCCGAGTCTCTCAAAGAGAGGGACAGGTTCCGTTTCTGCCTATTCCGCCTCGAGAATCCCTTTGGCATAAAGGTGTCGTGAATTTTGCATTGAAAAGTCTTGGTCGTCCCGAAGACGAGAAAGGCGACTAGGCTTGGTGTCACGCCGGCAACGTATCCCCTGATACTGGAACGTGCTCGTCTCACGCTGAGGTCGGGCTCCAAGTTGTCGGCGGTGTCGATGGTGTGGCTTGCCGCGGCGATGCGCGGTATCACGTTTGTGTACTCAAACACACTGCATATACATGTCCAACGGTTAGCATTTGTCCTAGCGTGAGCTTAGAACATTCGTGTGCGCAGCCGTCCGGCCGGATGTGGTGTGACTGACCAGAGCACCGCGAAGGCGATCGACAGTCGGATCACCAACCATCTGTCATATGTATTATTGGTGCCAGCACCGCTGTACGCTCGACTTCGCCCACCGCGGCTTGAGCCACTGCCCAGCCAGACGGACCGTGCCTTGACGCTGCTACCGCCGTTATTGCTGCTTGGTAGCGAAGAGTTCATATCCGGGTTCCCGTAGAGCACGTTCCAACTCGTGAGGTTCCGTCGCGAGTGGACGTATTTCAACAGGATCATGAGCAGCAGTACAGCGCTTCCAAAAAGGCTTAGGACGAATTGTGTATTGGCAACAAACATGTACACCAAGAACGACTGCTGGGCCGGCGGAGAGTGCATCAGGCCGACGGTGATACTGGTGAGGATGATGGGCAAGACTCTTCCGACAATGGAAATGGTGTGTGTTGTCCTCGGCGTTGTCGCGAACCATCCGTAGACACTAGCGGCCAGGGATAAGGCACTTTCTTAATGTTAGAAACGGAATAATTCTTGTTGAGGGGTTTCTTTGATATCGGGCCTACAAGAAAAAGACAAATGTTGATGCAATGGTGAATCCAAAGATGCCTGTTGTTCCGGTCAGTCCAGTGAGCGGCTCCAGTCACCAAGGCCGACAGGTCGCTCTTGAGCTGTCTTAAGAAGTGCCCCGACAAAAAGAGGATGCACATACGAACGTAGCTGAGGATGAGCTTGATGCCCTGGGATCCCTTGTGGTATTGCACCTCCGCATTATCGGCGTTTTGTCTCGCATAGTAGAATTGTTCCGTCAGAATGTCTTGCCAGTAGGCGTAGTCGTAAAACTGTTGACAAATACTCGTCGTCGTGATGATAAGAGTAGCGTAGGAGATGCAGGCAATATCTAAAAGAACGTGTAAGATGATTTGCCCCTGACCGCCCGACAATCGAGGAAACGAGTTCACTGGAGAGAGAAGAGGGTCGGCAACCTACAACTTGTCCGGTCATTGTGCGTCCACAGAAGCCATCCCAGCAGAACATTAGAGAAGAAGCAGATGAAGGAGTAGCATATCACCGCGACAGCTTCGGCATCGACAGCGGCCGGGAGTTGGAATACCATCACGACAGTCACTTGCGCCGCGACGTCATCCGTACATGGCGATTTCACAAGAAACCAAAGCGTAAGGGGCCGAGCTTCTTCGGTCTCTTGAGATTTCCTTAAGCTCAGACGAGGGGACACCACGTTTTTGATGCGTACCCAGCCGTCTCCCCGTCTCGCAATTCCGTGCATCCCCCCGCCACCGGAAGCTGCAGATGTAGTGCAGACGCAGGGAATATCAGCCCCGTGTGGGGAGGCTCTGTTGATGGTTTCTTCTCCAGCTCGCCATCCGACGCGGATATCTCTACAGATATGCTGTCTCATTGCGTGGGAAGATGACTCGCTCCCGACGAGGGGTCTCCTTTGGGACGAATTCTCCATCTCCTCGAAACGAACCCCTGGTCCAAGCCTATCGCGTGGACCGACAGAGGAAGCACAAGGTCGCGCTGCTAGCCGGATAGGTAAACCGAGGTGGTGACCCTGACTCGTCCATCGACCAATGCTGTAACCATACCTGAGAATTTTGCATATTAAAATAGTGCCTGTTATAGTGCCGAGTGAGCATGATATAATGGACAGCACGTGTTGTCCGGGTATCACTGGCATGTCTGAACCTGGTTGAAGGACCATGTCGCTGCATTCCAAGTCGCAACTTGAGACTACCGGATCGAACTCTCGGGACCATATCCAATGGGCGACGAGACGATCAGACGCGACATTGCGATTCTGGTTTCCTTTCTGCCGCGGGCAATTCCGAGACTATCGCACTTTCACAACTGGAGTCGCAAGTTGCAACACACATCAAGCCCTTCTCAAGCACCCCAGCAGTCAGATCAAGGCCGTCGCAGGCCCCAAGGCCCAACCAGCCCGCACATGGATGCGTGTGGAGCGCAGAGTGGGGATTGGCCCCGAAAAGAAACGCGGATGATCGGTCTGGGACCTTTGTCCAACGGTCGGCGACGGGCAAGAGGCCCGGAGTCCATGTCAGTAAAGCCCCGACTTGCTCACTCGAATTCCATCGCCCGCACGTGGTTGCTCGCCAGTCCATGAGAGTGACATGGCGGAGTGCGTCTAGCCTCAAGCGTTTGACCAGACTCAGTAGGATTTGCCGTTTATCTATATGCCTACTTTGTCATCCCGGGTTATCTTATTTTGCTCATGAGCGGAGCATGCGCCCAATGTGGCTGACCCTTGTTTGCCTTTCGCACTGTCGAGGTTGAAGCTATAGACCACATTTGCAGCAACAACGACAAAGAATCATTGTTGATATGCAAATACAGTTAGAGCATCTTGATGCCCTTCTTGACTACAGGCAAAATCCACCCATGACAGCTCAGTCTTATGTTTCTGTTGCTCGAAAACTTGATGGCAAACATGATCCTACCTTAGTTAGATGTAGGGAAATCACAATGCTGATTGCTTCGCACTGAACGCGCCTCGGACGAAGCGCTTGATCCTTCGCTGGCTGGTCTTCATCAATTGTACTGTCAAATCAGATCGTCCTGCCGGCATTGGATTCCTTGAGATTCTGCATCAGAAAGGATGTGGTACGTAAGAACCAGGTCAAATTAACCCTTGACTGCGTGCTAGTGTCGTGACTCGCTAGTCGTCTGCGAAAGGTGGCTTTTGCTGATTCGCCGAAGCCCTTCCAGCTGAACTTGAGGCCCATGAAGCGACCGACATTATCAGCGATCGCCATCTCAGCTTTTACATTTTGCGCTTAGCCACCACCGTTCTAGGGGTGAAGCGCGCGCCTGATGTCTTGGCGCTGTGTCCCACAAAGTTACGTCCCACGAAGTGCAAACTCGGGGGACTTGAATAGAAAGCTTCTCGCTCTCGGTTGCCCTTATCTGATGCTTCGCGTCGGTCATATACATTGATCCCACTATTTCTCATACTATCTTCAGCACGTCAGACCCGTACGATCTCTTCACTCACCTGAAAACAAAATCGATTGAATATGGGATTAACACTACAAGTCGACACTGACGATAAGTACGTCAGCCGCGAGGAGAACGACTGGCTACAATATCAGGAACAGGCCGACTCGGACAGTGACTCGGATTCAGACGATGATTTCTTCGACAGCAAATCAAATAACCCATTCATCCGAGCTAGCTCTGTCGCCTTAAACTTGACGAAGAAATGTGACACGTTCCTCGCCAAGGTAGGGATGCGAAAGGCTGAAATACACCGTCACCCCCAGACCGGGAATTGCATGACCTGTGGAGGTATGGACAAAGGGTTCTTCTCTCCAATCACGGATATCGAGAAGGGGGCCATAGCTGGGTGCCCGTCTTGCAACATCATCAACGCTGGCGTGCGAGCATGTCTACCAAGGCACATTGCCACCAGCTCAAAAGTCTCTGTGATGGAGAACTGGAACTCAGGATGTGCTGGACGCCAGTTTATCCGAACGAATAAGAGATCAGCGACGATGGCAGGGGCGTACGGTGTCATCGTTGTCAGGAGTGGCCATCTAGACCTGAGCAATATCTTTGTCCCCTCGACGGATATACAAGACGAAGTTGTTGCCGAACTTAACTTCTTTGGTACTAAAGGTAAGTCAAGTTTCCAGAGTAGGATGTATCTACAGAGCCTTTCTGATGCCGACGCAATAGAGGACCCCGCATCGTGGGACTCCGTCGGCGTCGCTTACCACATATCCGGAGACACATCTTCCGAGGCAGCTTTTCAATGGTTCCAAGCTCGTCTCAGGCACTGCATTTCAGAGCACTCGTTATGTAGGGCAGCAGATAACGGCAGTCGAATGCCGACCCGCGTTCTGGACCTAGGAGCTTTCGATGGTCACCCCGGGGGTTCACAAGAGACAACTGATAGTGACATTCGACTTCACGAGACCCAAGGTACTTGCGACAGATATGTCTGCTTGAGCTACTGCTGGGGAGGCACCATAGATATCCGCTTGACCAAGGATCGATATCGTTCCTACATGCACCGGATCACTTGGTCATCTTTGCCTGAAGGGTATCGCGATGCTATCAGACTGACTCGCAAGCTGGGAATCCGCTACATCTGGATTGACTCGCTCTGTATCATTCAGGACGACAAGGACGATTGGAGAGCAGAGGCAGCTCATATGGCATCGGTCTTTCAAGGCGCTTATGTCACCATTTCAGGAACAAAATCTTCGAACCCTCACCAGAGCTACTTCACCCACAGCGAAAGTAAATACAAAGCAAAAAGGGTAGAGCATCGTGATGGCAAGGGGAAGACATGGCACGCAAACGTGCGGCGGACCGTTCCGCACTTCTTCTCATCCGACGCATCTGGTGAACCAAACTACAGCCTCGGCGACTTCCCTTTGCTGAACCGTGGTTGGGTGTTCCAGGAGCGTCTCCTGTCTCCCCGAATCCTACACCTTGGTGATGTAGAGATGGCTTGGGAGTGTAATGAGGTCTGCGCCTGCGAGTGTATGGGAGAGACCACAATATACGACACCGAACCAAGATGGGCGCATACCAAGGGTGCTCACGTACGAAACTTGTCATCTGCGATCGAGGCCAAAGAGCTGTATCCGGATTGGCGCAGTACAGTGGAGAACTACAAAAGGACGAGGCTCACTTATCAGAGTGACATCCTTCCGGCCATTGCAGGCGTGGTAAAGAATATGTCGAGGTACAGGAAAGACAAGTACCTAGCCGGGATCTGGGAAGACAGCTTGCTCGACGATCTCGCCTGGCAGGCTACCCAAAGCGTTCTTCCTCGACCGGACGCTTGGACGGCTCCGACGTGGTCATGGGCATCTGTGACATCAAGGATAAACTATTCCAACCTACGTACGATCTTGGCACACAAGTTTATGGAAGAAGCCGACCCGAAAATGCAAAGGACCGTGGTCATTGAAGCTTCAACGGAGTCTGCGGGAGCAGATCCAACGATGGAGGTCATCTCAGGCCACATAGTGTTATTCGGCCCAATGATCACAGCACGCCTAGAGTGTGATGGGGAGAGCAAAGCGGACGCTCCTGTACAGACCTATTTCGCTCTACACGGCAGCACGTTGTTTGAAATAGCTCCTGACTACAACTTTTGGGCGCCGGGCAAAGATCGTGTGCCGCTTGGCAGCACCATTTATCTCTTACACCTGTGCAGAGAGCCCGAACTTCGGAACAAGAACGGCACAGGCTATAAGAAAATGCCGACCAAAGTATTTTCTCTCGTTCTTCGAAAGGTGGATAAAGACGAAGACACTTTCGCCGTCAGCGATTCAAGCAAAAAAGGCAAGATCAAGGACGACCATTCGCCATTGAGCTCAGGCGACGGAACGTATGAAAGAATTGGGATATTGATATTGGCCTGCGATGACGATGGGACAGAGGATTACGTAGTCCAAAATGGCAGAGACTGCGTGGTGAAGTTGGTCTGACCGGACACTTTTCTCTTTCGTCAAAAGAAATCAGATCAGAGTATTGATAGCTGGTCATTAGCTTAGGCTTTCATATGTTGTACGAAGAGCTTTTCATGAACTTTTGCTTGAACATGTGATGATACACTCACTCGTTCACCGGCCTTGTATCGGATGGGTTAGGTTCCGCCGCATCGTGAACATGATGAAATGCCCTGAAAGTTGGACCAGAACACCCGAATACCAAGATTGATACTCAACAGCACGGTTGCTCAAAGTGATGGTCGCATGGACTTGCGCCTGTCATACTGATACCGGCTTCTCAGTGACAAAGGCGTTCCTTCCTTGCGGGACAATGCTCTCAATCTGAAGTCATAGGCAGGCCGGGAGCCGTTTCTGCTATTTGAGATAGTAGATCTGCCTTCTTCTTCGAGTTCGCTTAGAGCGCGGTTAAAGACTCTTGGATCATCAATACGCAAGCTCAGGGGCAAGGGATCTCATGATAAGCTTCTGAAACGGAAGAACTCGGAACAGACCAAACTGGAGGCGCTCACAAGGTTCGAGGCCCTTGCTAGCAGACTCTTGGCCGATGCTAATTGACTTGGCGGGCTTGCGAAACCAAACAGATACCTTTGCTATCGTAACCTCTCAGCCTAAGGTAGCCCACAAGTGAACTACAATACATTGGCAATCGCGTGAATTTGATCAAGTATTTAGGCTATCAGACGCGGAGACGTTGTTACCAACAGGACAGTTCTCTTGAACCATTGAACAAGAAAGTGCCACCAGCCCGGTCGAGTGTCCTGAGGAGGTCGCAAACTGCCTGTCCGAACGTGGGGACGCTTCTGTCAAATTTCGGGAAGGGAAAGGAAACGACACAATCCCTCTTCATACTCTGAATACAGGTATCTTACCTTTACCGGCCCAATCCCAAAGCTTCGGTATTCATTTTTGCATTAGGGGTCTTGGATGAATGTTCGGTCAAGATGCCCTCTTCGCACGTCGGTCAAGCACCCATTGCTGATTCTGAACAGTACGAATCATCATTGTTCGAGGGCATGTAAGGCTGCAGCATAATAAGTCTGAACTTGTCTCGCCTCGTGGAATTTCATAGCCTGCCCATACACCACATCCAGTGCATTAACCATACACATTGCGCATATACCGTGGAGGACCAGCAGCGATGTCCTAGGATGACTCTGACAAGAGGGTATTCCGACTCACTGGGTTGTTATCCAACGGAGCACGTGGTTGAGAGTGAGTGCACCTGGGACAAAGCAAACGAGAACAGAACGGCCGAAAAGTGATCAAACGAATCTTCGCACTTTTGATGTCCGAACTGTTCAGTTTAGATGTCGGCACAAAATATCGCATCGAACGCGCCCGCCCCCGCTTGAACGATGCCCCCCCGAGCGGTTTCTCTCCAGTTCACCCCAGGATCCAGAATCCGTGCGACTTCCCCCGTGGGGATATCAGAGAGGAGCTTCAACAATTCAGATTCATGGTATTAGCTGACATACAACAGAAATTCGGCGGACTATGGTGGCGCGCTGCAGCCAAGCCGTTTCTTGGACCGGTATTCCAGCCGCAGCAACCAACGGCGTTCACTCCGGCGTCAACAATTCTTAATTTCTTCCGACGCTTGTGGATAGGATCTCCTTGGCGGCCCCATTTGGCGCCAACTATAGGGGGACAAAGAGGGGGAAGAGTGGGAATGGGGTAAAGTCGGGGGAGGCGAGGGGGCGGAATCATGACAACTCATTCCCTGATCTCAACCTATGGATAGAGCTTAGCAAGCGGTTACCTTCACAAATTGCAGGCAAGCCTGACGTTCTGCATATCAAAGATGTATATGTCGTCTGGGATTGAACGGAGAAGTCGTGACCTCTTCTTTTCCTAGAGCCAAGGGTATCTCGCTTGGGAGGACGGCAATGATCCGGTCCATCCTGCATGAAGTCATGTTTATGGCCATGCAGGCTTTGACCGTGTCTCTCCATTCGGTTGGCCCGCGGGTGGGAGATCTGGAGATATAATTAACCTCAACCTTTTCCCTCTGCTTCTACCTTCATTTGGTAGATTACTTTGGCCCTCTATTCTTGACTGACTCTGATCTGCCCTCGTGAGACTTTGGTTTTGTGGTGTGCAACTACATGTAATTACGAATAGCAGGATGTCGATTGCACCCCTCTTGCCAAGACACCGAGAGCAAGCGTCTGCATGCCCAGCTACGCCTTCTGACGCTGGGTACTCTTGGCTACACATATTTTATGGCCTTTTCACTTTTCAGCCAAGACAATCTTGTCGATAGATGATCCATTTCATCGTTCTTGGGTTGGGCTTGGGTGCACCAGCACGGCACCGGGGGAGAATATGCCTCATACGCAGTCACCGACAAATCATTCCTACGCCGCGCCGGTCAAGCACCAAATCAGGCCTGGGCTGGCAGCCCTGGGAAAATGCGCCTGGATATCCCGAATGGACGGACGGCCAGAACAAGCCGAACAACTATTCCAGTCTATCTCGACTTCAACTGTGTAAGTAGCAGAGGGTCTGGTAAGGGTCTTTATGGGGCTCGAGATCTGGGGAATCATCACCGCGTCGCTTGTCAAGTGTCAATCTCGTGTTGGGCAATCCCGGGGACGCGCCACCGGTACTGTCCCTTTGAAGGTCCAAATGAGACTATCTTCCCCACAGCGTTCATCTTGTCTCCAGCATTTCACTACGAAGCCCCCACCCCGATGGAGCTGAGACCGCACAAATGCGACGAGGGCCTCCTTCGTTGCTCGACGCACTGCAAGGGTTGACAGGTCAGACTACTTTTCGTGGATGGTCACCTGCGATCCCGCGCTTCTGCATCCGCATTGGACGTTGCTATGCTTGCAACTCGATCCTGCATGGATGCGACCGAGAGTTGGTTCATTGGTGTATCACTGAAGACGGCGGACAAGAATTCTTGGCATTGCTCGACTGGTACAGCGGAACAGTCACTCCAACGTGTTGCACACATAAGCTGAACATCCTCCACCCGAACGTCACTGGATAGATGTGTTACCCCGTCACTCTGATTCCAGACGCATATGGCCTTGGATTTTTCATGTACTACGTGATTTGAGCTTCTTAGCAAGCTTCTACGCCCGCTCTGATTCTGATAGTTGTTGTGTATCCAGCGTAGCGTAACGCACTAGACGCCGCAGAAGCGCTGCAGGGAAGGCTTCGTTCAAAATGGTTCGCCCTGGCCACCAAAGAACCGACTAAATCAACCTTCTAGCCTGAATCAAGGTGTTCTAGTGCGCTGCGCCAGGACGAAGCTTTCCACTCGCGCAAGTGCCGAGCCAAATCATGACCAGCCGACCTACATACCTGCTTTCGCCAAGAATGAGGGCTTGAACTACGTCTGACACGACCTATCATTGTGAGGAAATCAACGCAAACATAGATACAAGAACGCGTGCGTGCACGAGCACACCACCGTAGATAAACACCCGGAAACTGCCCTGGGCTAGTCAATGATTAGTGAATTACACCTCGTCTGCTCCGTCAACTAGGCTTGAAACAAGGTTGGCACTTGTTGGCCTTACTTGGCGCTGCGCCATCTCCCTGGCCCTGAGCGCATTTCGCTCTCGGCAGCGCTTGTTGGTGGAGGTATGGATTCTAGAACGCAGGGAACCATCGTCAGGGTGGCCCACCTCCTTCCACAACCAACCTTGAGCTGCGTCGTTCGACCCAGGAACCTTTTCTCTCCCCCAAAGAACTCACGCCACCATGCTCAACCCGCAGTGAAGCAGTCCAGTAAAGAGGAACGCGGGGAAAGCTGGATTAGCGCGATACTGATTGTGTCCGCTTTTCCCCAGGTCACAAACCGACCTCCCACTTCCCCGGACGGAGACACATGCACAGCCCACCCCGACTCGAATGGGTGCGGGCGCTCTTAAGTGGATGTGGCGGTCGAGGTGAGGCACTGGTATGGGCGTCTTACCTATGACGCCCTTCTAGCCCGTATCACTATATGAGCAACATAATGTCATCAACTCGGGACGAGTCATCAAGCCGCAGAGCCAAGAATCAGGCCCACCACATTCATCCTCAAAGCCATGCCTCCGGGGATTTTCATCCCTCGCCCGGCAGTCTATGTCACCACTTTGCAAACAAAACAACACGAGGCAACTGAGAAGAGGCACGCTACTACTTGCCAAGACACATGGGCAGCCAAGGGTAGAAGGAAGGCAATGTCACATTCCCCAAGCTTGGTATTTCCTGGTAACCTTCTTCTGTAGCACAAAGTGATTCGTCGTGACTCCTGTTAACGCTTATAATAGCAGCCAGCTAGGCGAGGTACACCAACTGCTCAAGTTCTGCGCGCTTCCAGGATCGCTGGCCGCCCGCCTGGGCAAAGTCTTCTCATTCTTGGAAATGACTAGGGGGCGGTCGTTGGTGTTCGGAACATGTCGGACGTGACTTGGCAGAAACAAAATAAGTGAGATTTCGTGATGAAAATGTGTGGGTGTAAGCAACCCAAGACTCGCCGAGCCCATGTCCCTAGTCGATCGCGGGCACGACATGGAGCACAACGTGGACGGAGGCTGGAGGTCATTTCACGAGGGTTAGGTCTGGGCATCCCCGCCTTGTGCGAATACATAAGAGCTCCATACCCCGTGGGGAAATGGAAAATGACCCTCGCTCGACAGGGTGCAACTAGCTTAGTATTGCTCACATCAGTCTCTTAATCTTCCTTCTCACCTCCCTTGTTGCTCGTCTGGACTTCCGTGAAGTCTCTGCCAAAGGAAAAGCCAGAACCATGGCCTCCAAAACCAACACCGCGGCTAATAATGAAGCCGACAGAGTCAAGGATATGGAGCCCCAGATCTTTGAGGACGAGAACCCAGAGAAGCCCATTCCAAGGAACACGGGCAGGATCGACTACTCTGGTGCTCAGGAGAAGACTGACCCCAAGGAAATCGCCCTTGTGAGGAAGTTAGACAGATGGATCATGGTACCTGAAACTCCCGAAACCTCCTCAGAGTAACCATAGACTGACTGATGCCTTCCTTAAGCCGATGTTATGGTCCATGTACTGGCTGAATGCAAGTCCACATTTTAGTACCCCTACGCCAACGGACACTAACAACTTTTACAACAGTACCTTGATCGCAACGCCATTGCTTTGGCTCGTCTCAACGATCTCGAGGAAGACCTAAATTTGACTGGTTCTCGTACGTCTGACAATATTTGTTAGTGGTCCCTAAGGATGTCACTAACGCCTCTATCCGACAGAGTACCAGACCTGTGTTTCGATTCTCTTCGTCGGTTACATTCTGTAAGATGTTCGTTGATGTTAACTTGTGTTTTACTTAACTGACACCATCCGACTAGTGGACAGATCCCCTCGAACATGTTTCTTACTCGAACCCGGCCTAGCCGCTACATGGTACCTCTTCACAGCCTCGACTCTGAACGGAGGGAGATACTGACTCTGTTGCTTGACTCCAGGGAATTATGATGATGCTCTGGGCTGTTGTTAGCGCTCTCACTGCGGTTTCTAAGGACTTTACCGGACTTCTCCTCACTCGATTCTTTCTTGGAGTCACCGAAGCTCCATACTATCCCGGTGCTGTCTACTTGCTGAGTATCTTCTACACCCGAAAAGAGGTTGCCACTCGCATTGCTATCCTCTATACCGGAAATATTCTCGCCACTGCTTTCGCTGGTCTGATTGCAGCCGGGATCTTCCACGGCATGGATGACCTTGCGGGCATTGCAGGCTGGAAGTGGTTGTTCATTCTCCAAGGTGCCGTTACGTTCGTCATTGCAGTCATCGGCTTCTTTCTGCTTCCCGACTTCCCACAGACCACCAAGTGGTTGACACAGGAAGAGCGCGACCTCGCCTACAACCGTATGGAACTCGACACTGTCGCCAACAAGGGCGAGACCAGCACCTGGAACGGCCTGCGTCAAGCTGCCAAGGACCCCATGGTGTGGATCTTCTGCGCGATGGCCCATATGCATCTGGCTGCCAATGGTTTCAAGAACTTTGTAAGGCTTTTGTGACCTCGAATCGACATGTGAGGGGGGAGACGACTAACAACACATCCTTTCACAGTTCCCAAGCGTTGTTAAGACACTCGGCTTCAATACAACTGTCACGCTCGTACTCACCTGTCCTCCCTACCTCATTGCTGGCGCGGTGACCATTGCCGTATCCTGGTCGTCTGGCAAGTTCAATGAGCGCACATGGCATATTACCGCCTCCAAGGCCGTCGCGGTTGTCGGTTTCATTTCAGCCGCTGCCACCATGAATTTGGCCGGTCGATACGTCTCCATGGTGATCTTCACCATCGGTACGTACGGAGTCAACTCGGTACGATTATTCTCTCTTCAACTTCCTTACAAAACTTTCCATCGCAGCTAACTCCGGAAACAGTTGATCCTAGGTTGGTGCGGCAGTGTCTGCGGTCAGACAAAAGAGAAAAAAGCAGTAGCCATCTCTATGGTGACCATGATCATGAACGTCAGCTTTATTTGGACCCCATACCTCTGGCCCAGCAGCGATGAGCCTCGCTATGTCATCGCCATGTCAAGCAGCGCCGCGTTCAGCATTGCGACTGCTTTGCTGGCTTGGCTTGGGAAGATCATCTTGAAGAAGCGCAACGAGAAGCTCAGGGCTTCCCCTGATGAGACCGCCGTCTTTTATGTCTACTGAATGGAAACTTTGAGGCGATTTTCTTGCAGGCGACTGCTTTTATTCACACTCATACACACTCATTTAGAAGTATCACTACGGCTACGTCTGTGTTTGGAGCTGATGACATACACATGCTGCAGTACCGTACTCGAGTAATGACATTCGTGTTTTATCTCTGACCTCGACATCAATCGAACTTCAGCTTGATCTTCTCATCGTGCCTTCCCTCTGATATCGAATTCGTGCCATTGCAGTTCATTTGATGAGGATTGGTGTGGTCGTTGATTGTGTTTGCATGGGTGAGTTCACTTGAGCCCTTCAATGCCATGGGCAGATATGATTGGCACCGGTTCAAGTATGGGTAAGATGTTCCGCATGTTTCTACGCGCTATCTCAATAAAGCTGCCATAGCTCGAATTTCTTTCAGTGCAAAATGCGTTTAGCTGCCAATCCTCGCTCCTCGTTGGGAGATGATACTGAGATGATGTGGTAAGCTGACGCGACATGGCTCCAATCAGTTCGCGTTCGCGTCTCTAATAGGGCAGCCAATGTCAAGGGTCAAATTTTGATGCCGTTGAAGGAACATCGGATAAGGCCGAATTATGCTGCCTACGCTGGGATCGACGGACGTGGGTGGACAAGCGAGGCGGTTGGGGTCGCCATTAATTGCTTAGCTTATTTTGACAGGAGGTATCTCTATTGTGGCGGCAACCTTTAAATGTCAGCCCTACCGCGCTCCTCTTTAACGCCGCTTTGAATTCTGCATTGAATCTTCCAGGGCCGTAGAGTGTGAAGCCATCGGCAACGCCAGTATCGACTGCACAATTGTACCAGAAAAGCAGAAGCTCGACTTTCCATGGCAGATAGAGCCCTTCAAAAGCCAACCACGTCGGTGGCTCCGGTCTCGGCGCCCCAGATCCTCAGCTTTGCCCTCAGTAACCGGCCAAAGGTAAACCGGAGACAAGCTCCGAAGTCTCGGACAGGCTGTATCACATGCAAGTGAGTTACGAGCAACATGAAAAACAACAAGCCCCTTTGAGATATGCGTTCCGATCAATGTTCACCGATCCTTCTGATGCAGCGAGCTAACGTAGTTATTAGAAAACGACGCATCCGGTGCGACGAGGGGAAGCCATCCTGTCTGAATTGCGGCAAATCAAAGCGAACTTGCGAAGGATACGCGCCAAAGTCCACGGGAAACGAATGTAGACTGCAGGAATATCGCCCACTGCTCATTCGACCCAACTACGAGACGTACATGTTCACTGCACAACTCGAGAAAGATCAATTCGAGTATTGGACGACATTCAGCAAGCAGTTTACTCTGTTTCCGTCGGATCTCATCACGCAGCTCATTCCACAAATTGCCCGTGAAGAGCCGGCCATCAAACACGCAGCGTTTGCCATTGGCGCAGCCACTTTGGGCAGCGATAGTCGCCTACAACGCACCGGTGGCGCGGGTCCATTCATGAAGGATGCTTTGCAACATTATGGAAGAGCCATCCGCATCATTCGATCCAGCGCAGCATCAAAGAGAAGCATCCCCCGTGCTCTCCTCTCCTGCATTCTCTTCGTCACGTTCGAAGCCATACAGGGCAATCATCTAGCTGCGCTCACCCATATAAATCATGGATGTAGTATGCTTGATCAAGTGATGAAACAGGGTGTGAGTGGAGAATGCCCTCCAAAGCTGATTGATGAGGTTATCTCGGGATTTCAGCGCTTCACCTTGTCATCATGGACCATGAATGGATATCACCCGACCGAGACTGGGACCTGGGTGCCTTGGTGCTGCCGCGGAAGAAGAAGTCGCTATGCAGTCGACGAGCTGCCAAAGAGCTTTGCAACGCTTTCAGAGGCTCATCGGTGGTGGGAGGTTATCCAACACTTCATCATATATCAAACACAGATGCATTCAGCATTGCACTTTGAAGACTTGAGGACTCCTACAAACTTGACCCAGATCCCTAAACATCAGGTGAAGAGATACATGGGCATCCTCGATCGGTGGCACGTCCGGTTCGAGGCGCTATCAACGACAAAATCTCCATCAGACACAGCGCACAATGAGCGAGCACGCCTACAAACGTTGAGCCTTCAGCTTTTATACAAGTCACTCGTCATTTCTGTAAAGAGTTCTCAATACACAAACACAGAAGTACTCGTCGAGTCCACGAAGGAATTTCGTGAAATACTCGCTATGAGTAAGACTGTTCTCGAGGGGCAATCAAGTATGGACCAGTCCAGGGAGGTTTTTACTATGGATACCAGCCCGAGCTGGGCCATTCTTTCTGCGAGCATATATTGTGTCGATGCAGACGTTAGAAAAGAGGCGCATCGTTTGCTCAGAGACTTTCCCCGCCGGGATGGCATTTGGGATACAAGATTGTTCGCCGCGATTTCAAAGACGAGTCAGGACCTCCGCGCAGAAAACGACTGGAGCGTCGACGATCATTTTGGTGCGGTTCTGGTCAATAAAGAGGTTGTTCTATACAAGGATGAGGTATTTAGGAGGAAGTATGAGCTAGCACACGGCCAGTGGCGGATCGTGGAGGAGCAAAGGATACCAGTGGGTTTGGAGTGATTGTATGTACTGTCGGTTATTGCTAGGCACTCAACTCTAAATACAAATGAAGGCAGTCGATATTCTTCAAAGAAGTCGTGACTGAATTACCTGACAGCTCTACGTTGCTAACCAGAAGAGAGTGAGCCTACTGTGTATTTTGACAGGACATGTCAAAGGTATTTATGGACACTGGTAATGAGGAACTTGAGAGAGGCTTCATGGCTGCGATGTCTTCGTTCTCTGGAGTTGGTTTCATGGTATGTACCGTAGCTGTTAAAAAGGCCAAGCTTTGAAGTTGCCAACTCTACCAGCTAAGGTCACGCACACCCAGCGTCTTTGAACGTTAAGAGGACCACTTTTAGAAGTCGTAACGACAAATCCATTTCCTCTTATCGAAATCGATTCTCGCGCAAGCGTTGAATCCCTAGAGGGACAAAGCTCGCGCCCACTCCCTGCTTCTAATATCCGATGACTGAATCACGCCATCATCTCAGTTGATCAAGATACCTCAACAATATCCCATATAGTCCAGTGGTCAGGATACTCCGCTTTCAGTCTCCTTAAAGCGCTCCGGAGAGACCCGAGTTCGAACCTCGGTGTGGGAATACGCCTTTGATAATATCGAGGAGCATTTTTGCACTCTTGAGGCCGTGGTCTACCAGCCAACTACAAACAAACCATTGGTATACCTCACTTAACCTCTACGATAACCTCGACAAACCATGCAGCACAAAAGAGGTACTTCGAAGCCTCTTGAGCAGAGATGCTGATGAGATGCCTCAGGGGCATTAATAGGCTACACCCACGACGACTGATTGACTCGCAGGAGACTCCCAGCACTGAACCGTGGAAATCAACCTGAATATCACGATTTCTTCGATATATGGTAGAAGTGCCATTTAATCGATACATGATTACACTCGCAGTGCAATATGCAAGCAAAGTGAACTTGTCTACGTCCAAGGCACTCGATCCGCGATTCTCTCGCAGGCCACATGCAAACCACAACAATGATAAGGTCTTTTATTTTGGTGAGCTAGAGTACCACCTGAGTGTGGCTCTTCACATCTCACGACCCCTCGGCTTTTTTCGCAACACTCCACTGCAATGCCAAGAATGCTGGATTGTGAGCTCCGACTTCGATCATCCTCGCCTACGCATGAAGCTCAACACATGTTGATAAAGGCTGGTGATCTGGCATATGCTGTCTGAAGTTTCCAATAATAACTGCTAATGTCTCGTTGTTGATGGGTACGTGGTACGAGTCAATCGGAAACACCTGGGACCAGCCCTCCATGCCAGCGTCTTGCGGATTTAGTTTCACGGTTCGTTGAAAGCTCGATCAATCTTGTCAGTGATTTCTTTGGAGACATCACCGGATGCTGGGTCTCAGCTGCCTGCTAATGGACGAAAAGCATCGCTCCCCAGAGCAGGGAGTGTGGGGTGGGTTGTGTTTCCTTCATACCTTGGCTGGCACATCTAAGGCGGTCGGTCACCAGTGCGGACTATCTGGCTAGAAGCGATGTTCCCCTCTACCTAGTATTGCGGTTCACTTACGCGTAATCTTGGAAGTAGTATATGGCTGACGATTATGAGGAACGTTCTTGAGGATATGTAGTGCCGGTCAACTCCTGGGTAAAGACAAGGGGCAGCTGTGAAGCCTGATGTGTGGGTCAGGAAGCTTGAGAACTTTAAACATCGGACAGGTGGATATTAGTCTTGATGAGCCTTATGGTCTCGTTCTGCGCGGTCAGATCTCTGCTCACACGGATCGACGGCACTGAACTATCTAAGCCTGCCATGCCTCTTTATCAAATAAAACGACACATCGCTGTCGGAATGATCTCGAGTCGCATTCACACTCCCTGAACATATCGCGCGATGTGGTGACATCGTAATCTAAAAGAACGGCATCGGTATCTAAGAATCATCAAGTCGGCAGAATGCTGGAGATTATCCTATCTCTACCCAATATCTGCGACCCGGCCTTCTTATCTGGCTTATTTGAAGGTTATCAGCTCTGTTGATGATTCGAGCTGGAGACTGACAGGTTTGAAAGAGATTGACCTTGCGGAATTCATCTTCCGCGTGGTAAGGTGTGGGGGTCATCTTCTCATCCCAAACCCATACACGACTCAGTGTCTACGCAATGGTGCGTCGTGTCTTTACTTGACAGAATACCTAAGTTCGACCTGCAACCAAATGATTGCAATGATAAGATAATAGCAGTATTTCGCTTTGAGAGTGGAACATCCTGTAGGGGTGGAGGATCAATAGATTGGCGCAAGTTGATGTACTAATTCCTGTTATCGTCCGAAAACGACTGGATTTACGTGCCCATTGCTGTGTAGAATGGAACTTGAAATGTCGCGCCCAATAATGTACAAAGTATAGAGAGACATTTAACTATAGTAGACATTAAAAGAAGCGTTCGCACCTTACCTCTGAGACTTATTCGCGGGAAGAACCAGCAATATGCTCCTAGCAGCTTTGCCACCAGACCCATTCAATTGAGATTCCCACCTGCCTCGCACGCGTAAAGACGATGACCACAAAACACGAAAAGCCCGATTCAGTCGACCTTGAGAACAGGCTCTCAGAGCCCCCCATCAAGGAACTGGCTTGCTAAGTTGCGGAAAGCCTTGTTGAGCTCTGCCGAGACTCGAGGAGTGGCGCCTGTTCCGATTGAAGAGAAAACCGAGAAGAATACTTTACAACTATTCACGTTGTGGCTCACAGCAAACTGCACTACCCTCCCGTATGTTTCATAATTTCTTCCTGAATTATTGCACCTCCGTGCCGAAGACTTGCTCTAGTTCTCCGAGCTGATGAGAACCATAAGCATGACCACTGGCATATCCGGAACCCTGGTCTTTGGACTAGATCTTGCTGTTGCTTCAATAGTCATTGTTCTAAGCACCCTCCTATTCATGCTTCCCGTTGCCTGGATGGGCATGATGGGGCCAAAGACTGGCATGCGTCAAATGGTTCAGACAAGATACTACTTCGGGTACTCAATCTCACGCTTGATGAATGTGTCTTCCATTGTAGCTAACTCGGAAACTAGCTACTACCTTTCCATCGGCATTGCGCTGCTACAAATCGCCACGTTGATCGGTTACACCATTATGACATCTATTGTCAGTGGGCAGACTCTCACGGCTGTTTCTGGAGGCGACCTCAGCTTGGTTGTGGGTATCACAATCAGTGTCGTCGGCGCACTGCCCATATCCTTCCTGGGCTACAAGTATCTGCATTACATTGATCAATACTTGTGGGCTCCATCTTTTGTTGCTCTCGTCATTATTGCCGGCGTCAGTGGAAAGACGCTTGCTAATACTGGTGCCGAGACTGTTGCAATTTCACCAAGGAGTGTCTTGACGTTTGCTGCTGCATGTGCAAGCCTGTGTACTAGTTGGGCTCCGTTGGTATCGGACTTCGCCGTCTATATCGACCCATCCACGCCAAGGTAGGTCGTGACTTGCGCATCACTGAGACTGGACTAGGCTTACGCCATATCTACCATAGAATCAAGATCTTCTTATACGTATATGCAGGGTATAGCGTCCCTTCAATTCTGCTACTCATTCTAGGTGCCGCTGTAGGTGCCGCTGTGCCGGCAAATGAGACTTGGGCTGAGGCTTACGGACTCTACTCCGTCGGTGGTATCATCAATGCCATGAACTCTCCTCTGGGAGGATTTGGAAAGTTTGTCTCGGTCCTGTTGGCGTTCTCCGTACTTGGTCTCACAGCGTGCACTCTATATTCGCTCTCCATCAGCTTCCAGTCTCTTCATCCGCTTCTCAGTCGCCTTCCCCGATACCTATACTCGCTTGTTATTGTGGCAATCATTGTGCCCATCTCAACTGTTGCTAGCTCCAACTTTTACAACTCTCTATCGAACTTCCTGAGCGTCGTTGGCTACTGGACGGCCTCGTACACTAGCATCGCGCTTACTGAGCACTTCTATTTCCGTCGGGGCCAGTATTCTGCGGACAACGTCTCTGACTGGGATAATCCAAAGGCACTCCCGCTTGGATTTGCGGCCTTGGCATCACTCTGCTGTTCTTTCGGACTGATCGTCCCTTCTATGGACACTGCGTGGTATACTGGACCCATTGCAGTACGGATCGGCGATATGGGTATACAATTGGGAATTGCTCTTACTTCACTGATATATATAGTGCTGAGAGGTGTCGAATCACAATGGAAAGGTCGAGGTAGATCATCTTAGTAGGAGCCCCGGGTACTTGCCATCTCCCTTATCTTAATCGCGGGCTTTCGAAGCAGTTTGGGTTCCTAATTCAAAAAGATGCAGCTTCACTGCCCCTAGCGCAAAATTGGAGGCCGCCGTTCAGAGGTAGTGAGTGGTATCGTCATCATCACCAAAGGCGGTCTCAGGATCCCCTCGATGAACTTCCATGATGTCTGCCACATTACTTTGACGTAGTAATTTGAATGAAGTAGCCTCTGCGTAGTGGGTGGCACACCATCAAGGTATCGTGTCGCTTGGATGGCTGACCTCATCAACCCAGTGAATGTCGTGCTCACATCAGGCGCTCAAGGCTCCTCAATTGCATTTAAGAGCCATGCCCACCCAGTTTTCCTTTTGCAATTAGACAACTTTATAAACTTGTCAATATTTGCATTGAAAGTCGGTTGGGCTCCCCTAGCCCTCTTATGACAGCTAGCCCAGACGCAAAGCGGTGCGTTGATGTTCCTAACTAATTTCCGGCGTGCGACTTTGGCCGATTTCGCGACTTTTGCAGTTGCCGACAAGACTGCGAGCATATCTACGCATGACTTCAAGAATAAGCAATATTCTATCAGGCGCTCTCGAATCATGCGGATAGCAAACGGCCCGAACATAAAGTCCTGAGCATTGGATAAGAAGTGCCACGTCAAGCGTCGGAAAATGCCCGGCCTCTTGGGAAAGCAAAGAGTGCATCCGGGCCCAGGAATCCGCTGCGACTCTGCGGAGAATTGTGCCGACCATGTCCTGGGCCCCGGCCGATGGCCGCCGTTGAAATGGAAAAGCAATGGGATGCACAAGATCGGGGCACTATCAATCTGAGATGCTTTCAGGGAAAAAAGAAAAGGGACGAACAGAGGGCCAAAATACCTCAATAATCAATGCGAGCCGGCATCAAGCCGTCCGAACGGCTGTCGCGAGACTGAGATACCATTCGGGTCGCAGCCGAAGTCACTCTCTCTCCTCCCATACGAAAAACAAGGCACTAAGCGCGGACGTCGAGTCGCCTCGCTGGTCACAAGCAGCCTCGGGGGCTTCAGCTCGGAAATTCTTGGACGTCGACGATCCCCTCTCAAGTCTCGTTGTTAGACGGGTCATCAGAAACACACCAACTCGCCTGGTGCGACGCTTGCTAGCTGGGGGGGGGGGGGTAAAGACTCGGCAACCAACAACGGCGCGGAGAAGCCAAACGCGAGGGGAAAGTTCACCATTCGCCATACCATACTCTAGGCCATTGTTTGCTGAAATTTGCATCGTCACAAGACCTTCGTGACTGGCTGTGAACCACATCGCCTTCCAATTTCCATAAAGTCGACTCGTGGGAAATCTCAGCGAGAATTGAGTAGGGACGTTTCAATATCAGCGAGGGAATATCAGTGGTTCGAAGTCTCATCCCCACAGAACTAGGCAGGCCAGGAAGCGACCGTCTGTTCACAGACCGTTCTGCCGTCAGTGCCGCGAGGCGAGATGAGGTAGATCTTTCTCGGATGGCTTCGCACGCACGCACGCACGCACGCACGCTCAGGTACGACACGCGCCGTTCAGAGAGCTACGGCCTCAAGCATCCACTGTTGCGCGCGGAGCTTCGTGGCTAGCTAGATGAATACTGGATAAACGTCTTGGAGGCAGAGCGCCATGTGTGATGCAAGATGAAGTGTGACACAACCTCAAGCTCTTCCCAAGCTACCTACTTGACGCCACACCACGATGAGCTACTGTACTACAAGATACGTGTCGGTGGCAATCAACATCTCTTCACGAGAGGAAGAGGCCAACTCGCGCTAGCAACTTGGCTCAGGTCTCGGTCAGAGGAGGATAGAAGGGGAGGAGGTCTGGAGGCGGGAGGGGAGGGGAAGGGGGCAGCCGGCTTGTTCGGCCGATCTCTGGCGCGCCTCGAGCCATATCCGCCGGTGCACCCCTGTACCGCCCCAGCAAAAGGACCAGACTGGGCCCTATCCAACTCCAACCAGCCAAAGAACCGGCAAAGGCAGCATCGGGGTCCTCGTTATGGTCGTCTATTCCCGCTCGCTCTGGTTTAGAGTTAAATCCAAAGCGGTCAGTCGTTGATGAGACGAGGATCTTTCATCACAGGTCAAGCCGCGATCAGATCCATCCACGGAAAGAAAGGAAATGATGGATTGGTTTTTCTATCAGTCTTGTCAGTGTCAACGTCAGTGTCAATGTCAAGTGTCAGTGTCATGATGTAGGTATCTACATGTGACAGAAGCAAATATGGCATGGAGCCTGGCCTGATCCGTCGCCAACGTCAGCTATATCTATGGAGCGTAAGGTACAAATGTGCCTTAATCAGATGCTTTTTTTTTTCTTGTTCGTCTGCTTGCTGCAATTTTCGATATCTTCCTGCAAAAAGATGGAAAAAGGAAGCAGCTTCACCTCGGCAGGCTTGCATCTAAGCAGCGCTACAGCAGTCAGGGACAGGGGCACCCAGGCAGCACCATTCCGACAAGGGAATGGCTTCGTGCGGGGGAAATTGGCATCTCCCCAGACAAGCAGCGATGTAGCCCTCCCCCTCCTGGGCCTCCTCCGAGCTATTTGTCCTTGTCCGTGTCGTCAAACGGACGCGAAGAGTGCAGAGCCTGGCTTGGGTGCGGTGAGATTGGCCCAATCAAGGCAGACATGACACACGGGTATTACCTAGATGGGATACATGGAGAGAGGGATCATGGTGGTTGCTTGTGGCTGCCGTGCGTTCCTGCATCTGCCCACCTTGTCCTGCCTGTCTGTGTCTGCCTTCTTGTCTGTCGTTCTAGATATGATTGTATGTCTGGTGCCACCATCTCTCTCTTAACCTTAAGGCGCTAGACCCGGATGGATTGGCAAGCCATTAGCAGTCTAAATTACCAAAGTTCGCATAGTCACCAAGTCGCCCAGATCCCTCTACGTAAGCAGAGGCGACACGACTGGGACGGTGTCACCAATGGCCTTTACAAAGTGGTATCAAGGTGTTCTAGACAGTTCAATACGGGCAAAGACGGGAACTATGGTTCCTGGGGCGCTTGTGCTACCCAACAAACAGCCCAATATCATCCCGCATGTTTCACTGTGGCCTTGGTCAAGCAAGGCCAGGAACCATCGTCATCTTCTCAATTAACTTTGCAGACTCCAAAAGCCCCCAAAACTTACTTCGCCAGGAACCATGGCCAGAGGTTCATCTGACAGCTCCGGCCTTCGGCTCGTCTTACTTCTGATACTCTTCAGACGCTTGGCCAATGGCGATTTTTCGATTCCCCCATCAATAGCGTGACAAGCAGCCAAGAGATGCTCCCGCCGTCGTCCCCAGTCACCCCGGATTCGGCCTGGAAGGTGAAATTGAGGAGGGGAATTGGATCCCAGCTACGGAGAACTCTCCATTTCCGAGCGCAATTGAATCATTGAATCAATAACACATGTAACCACAAGTGTTGCACGTCCGCCAGATCCCATCCACAATTTCACCAGTCCTTGAGATTCAACGCTTATTGAAGCGCAGCGCCATGTCAGCTAACGACTAAGATGAGCGAATTGGCTCCGAAATTACGCCCGACCCAGCATACAAAAGTCCAGCTTCCCAACACTGCAACGCCCATGTCCATCTGCATCATGCCACTCCCCTTATGGGGAATCGATCTCCTTCTTCACATGTTCAGCGAGATGAGTACCGAGCACAACCTGTGGCCTTCACACACACACACAGACACCACTTTTCTCCAATACGCGCCCACGCGCCACAATGGCCAGGATTCGGAACTCAGCTAAGAGGCAATAGAGATCAAAAAGCCCACTTCTCCGGCCTCGCCTTGACCCAAGCAGATCCCCGTCCTAACGGAGGACACTATCCAATCCGGAATTCCCACCCGTCCACACCCCCTGCTCCTCTGCAACCCTCGCCTCTGCTTCATACGATCACCGGCGCAGCCCTGAGGCCCGCAGACCACTCAAAGGTCGGGTATGCGCGGGGAACTTTCGACTACGAGGTAGGCCCTGTTGTCGCTCTCTTCTTTTTTCATCATATCGTTGCAACGCGCATGCACATGCCGACCCCATTTGGACCTAGCAACCACTTCTCACGACCAGGATCTCTCAGCTATCCACTTTCCCCCAGATTCTTGCTTTGCTTGCGCAGTAGGTAGCTCTACTGACGGAGGTACTCTTCCATCCGGGTTTGCTGTGACTATCTCGGTTGCTTGCCAGTAGTCACTGGACTCAACACAACTGCTTGTACCTACATGCTCTCCAGGATGGAAGCCCACTTCTAGTCGTTTGCCCCGTCCCAGCCCTGAGAACCTTGGTTATTAAGTTCGCCAACTAGGTCCATGCAATTCTTTCTCCGTTATGAACCTCCAAGTCATCCCAGTCCGAACATCCCGCCTATACCCATACAGCCGAAAGGCATCAGGGTGTAACCACACGTACCCTTTGCTCCGACTTCTATCTACATAAATCCTTCCTTCCCTCAGCTTTTCTCAGGCTCTCTCCTCTTCTCTCTGCTTCATCCACATTCGCTTGTCTATCATACCGACACCTGATATCCACTACCACCGTACACTTAAAACCCACCAACCATCACCGTTACCCAAAATGAAGTACGCGTATGCTCTCGCTGCCCTGGCTGCTGTCGTCGCCGCCCAGGTTGACCCTACCATCATCCCCGAGTGCGCTCGCAAGTGCTTGCTGGACGCCACTGCCTCGGCCACCAGCTGCAAGGATGGCGACTACGTCTGTTCCTGCGAGCCCGCCAACAAGTCTGCTATCCAGGCCGCCGCCACTGGCTGCGTCGTCGGAGCCTGCGGTGCCGACGTTGCTCTGAGTATGTCTACATCCATCCCTATGTACTATCAATGTAATATCATCAGAAGGCTAACCTCACTTCTCTACAGACCAGGTTCTTCCCGCCTCCGACAAGCTTTGCGCCGCCGCTTCGGCCGGCTCTGGCATGTCCGCCTCAGCTTCCGCCTCCTCCTCGGCCGCTGCCTCCTCGGCTGCCTCTGCTGCCTCCTCGGTCCCCCCCGCCAGCATGCCCTCCGTTGCCACCACCACGGCCGTGACCGTCACTGCCTCTCCCTCCGCCAGCAGCGTCGTCGTCACCTCTACCCGCGCCAGCAACGGCACCGCCTCTGCCTCTGGCACCGCTTCCGGTACCGCTGCCGCTACCACCTCCGCCGTCCAGGCTGGCGCTGCTGGCCTTGCCCCCATCGGCGGTCTTGCCATGCTGGTTCTCGGTGCTCTTGCTATCTAAGCTACCAGACCAATGGAGACATGGCTCTTGGAAGTAGAGCTCGCCCGGAGTTGTCTGTAAAGACAGACGGATGGACTCTTTGTACATGCATGAGAAAAGTCGGAATGAAACGATTCATGGTTGATGGTGGATGATTAAAGATTCCTGCACCACCATATGGAGGTTTATTGCCCGGAGTCATGTGTTTGGCATCGGGCATGTAGTTCAAGTTAAAAGCAATACAAGTTTTTTAATATCATTACTCTGTCTTACTTTATTGTCTCCAAAGAAAAGTCCAATGCTGCTCCCTTTAAATTGCCTAAGCAGGCCTGGAGCCGCATTAGAGGAACCAAAACACAACTGTCCATGTTAAGGTTATCGGCATCAAGATCTTCTCAGCTAGAGGTCCAGCGATAGGTGGCCCCGAGCTATGCGGGGTGTTCATGAGAATGTTTGCCTGTTTGCTGACATCCGGGCACTTCCCATCGAGAAGATCCTGCATGCTAGACCTCTTCCCCACGGCCGCCTTCCCGTCCGGCATGCACTCTCCCGCCTCGTACCCGCGCCTGAATTCGAGCGCATTGGCAAACATCCGCGCCTTCTGATCAGTGGTGAAGCCGTTCTGGGGTATTTTGCCACGGCACGAGGAGTACTGTTTTCCAACCGACAGCAATCCATTAGTGCTCTTCTTTGAGTCCAAGATGACGGTGGCAGGACACTTACACTCATGTAGTTATTTATCTCAACCGCTGAACCACCGACGCATGTTACCTGCGAGCATTGATAAACTACGTCACGATTACCAGAGGTCTGGGTCGCGTTTGTCAATCCATCTTGAATGACACATTCCTGTCCGATCTCATTAAACGTATGGCCGAGACCGAACCAATGACCGACATCGTGAATAAGTGTTGTGGCGTCGCCTCCCTGAACATGCGCCTCTTCAATTACAATACCGTCTGCTTCATCAAGCGGCTGGTTTGGAAACGTGACATACTATGCATTATGATAATCAGAGTCAGTGGTCTTTTCCCTCCATGATCAGGTGGTTGAAATGTTCTTACGCTGTTGAGTTCTTGGTCGTCCTTTTCACTGCTTCGCAACCCATTGACAATCCAAACGGTCAATGTAAGCTTTCCAGGCGCGCGTGTCCGGCGTTGCCAGTCTAGTAATTTAGCCTCGCGTCTGGTAACTCTTGACCAGTCCTCGTTTGCCTTTGGCTCCCACCAATTGAGTACCATAAAGCGGAAGTTGATCCTCACTGCCCCCAAAGCCTCGTTCAGGACATCAATCTACGCACCTTTAGCCCCAATACTATGGTAACCTCTATGATAGATCAGTGAGAACTTACCTGTTCTTTGACCCTTGACTCCAGCTCATTTGGTCTATCGGCAGTCGAAGAGGCTCTCATATAATGAAAATACACTCCAACTTCCATAGAGTCAACTGCTTTGCAGTTGCTAAAACCTCGGAGGTCCCGTGATACTAATGGTATCCAGTCGAATACGTCGTCAACAAAGGCCTTTCTCCTTGCCAATCTCTGAGAGTACAGATTTTGGCACTCGGAAATATTGGCTGGGATAGAGATTTTACCCATGTCGACAGGGGCAGGGTCCCTTTTGGCAAAATACTCGAAATACGCCGTCTCAAGGATCGCAAGCGCCCTAGCATTATTATTATTTATCGACTTCGCCGGAACGTTGACATTGAGCTCGGCTTGAAACTGCTCAATCGTTGATTTATCGGGAGGTGTGGCAACTTGAGACTCTGGGACCGCCAGAATTGCTGTCTCGTTGACACCTTGGAAGCTGTCAGATGGTTGAGCGGCAAAGGAGGCCGTAGTAGCGAGTTCTGGCGATGAGACTGTATAAGTAGCCTGGCCGGCGCCAAGAGAGCCGCTTCGAGACCTTTTCAATTTAGCAAGAATTACCAAGGTATTAAGAAGCACTTACACTAGAGTCGATACAACATTGCCCGGGTCATCAACTGTCCGTGTGCCTGACGCTTGAGGGGCACCAGGTGCAGTGGTTCCTGATCCCTGGACCTGGATCAACGTAGAGCTACCGGGACCTTTGGGACCTCCGGATAGCGCCTGAGAACTGCGCTGTGCTGGATTGGAGTTTGGGATACTTGCTGATGCTTCGCCGGTTTGTACGACTACTCTAGATGAAGCAGCTTCCCTGGAGTTTGTGATCCCTCTCGAAGGAACCGCTTGGCCAGACACGCTGACTTGGACCGAAGACGCCGCTTCTTTCGGAGAATTTGGAGAGGGAGGCACAGCAGATGACGCAGAAGCAGCCTTAGATGTAACCTCTACATTCGCGGAGGAGGGCTTGATGATTTGAATAGAAGGGGGCGCTGAACTTGGACCAGCTTCTGATGAGGGTGGTCTTACTACGGAAGAAGCCTCTGGCGGTGTGTTGGGTCTGGTGCTTACGGATTGAGGAGCGGCTGGTTCTATATGCTCTCATGTCAGCAAAGTCTCGCACAACAAGATATAAAGCAGCGAGTCCGCCTTAAGGGCTTTTCACTATTCGTAGGTACTGACCTGGAGAGCTGACTGGCACTGGTGGCCTGGCGATAGAAGATGCCGGGGTATCAGAAGTTGACAGGTTGCTGAAGTTTTGGGCAGACGCCCAGGATAATAGCCCAGACAGGAGACAGATGAAGGCAAGTAATCTCATATTGAAGTCAACTCCAATTTACTGCAATGGTTGTTGTCAGTATTAAATTCGGGCAGAGGCATCTCAAGATTGGGAAGACCGCGCCGATAATTATTATACGCTTCATGTGGACCATCATCGCCAGAACTCGCTTGAGCTATCCAAAACCGTTTGAAGAGGGCTTCTTCAACCAAATGGCTGGAATACGCCACGCTCGCTGCTAGCAGAGTAAGGCTAGATGCATTCGGTATTCTGATTCACACATGCGGGGAAAGTTGGCAGCTTGGGCAGCTGAACGAGCTGAACAGCTTCTGCCAAGCTTGTCTCTTTGAGCCACAAACGTTGGCGGTCGTTCAGCCGCAGTGCTTCGATCCATCTCCGAAGCCGTCTGCTGTGATAAGCTCACTCAACAAGTTCCTCATATGGAGCCCAATGTCTTGAGATATCTAGTGAAAGGCTCCCCGCAGCTATTATTTCGTGAAGCACCTGGGGTAAATGCTTCAATGGTGTTGAATTCACTTCACGAAGCTGCTGGCTATTTCAGCAGAAGCGGCAAATGGTGGTTGAGGGCGGATATGTTGTAATCAATGTTTCAATGCTATCAAATGTGTTGCCTCATTCCACGTAGCCAGAGACGGTCTCAACAAGGTGTATCCCGCAAACTTTGGCTGAATGCTTCATTACAGGCGAGAAACACTTGAAGCCATCCTGTCAGGCGTGGAATGCACCTTTCTCATTCACATATCGACGCTGTTGCGCCACAGCATCCACCCACACGAATCTTCAGGACTGTATTGGATGTTTGCGGCAGTCGTATGCTACTCCAATACTTACTACCGAATTATAGAGCCATCCCAGAATCTAGACTTGCGCCAAGGCAGACCACTGAGGCCTCTCTTGGTCCCCGTGACGATTTTGCCAGGCATAACACCAGCTGCGCTTTCAGACAGGCAAGTCACATTCTTAACGCATCTTTAGCTTTGAGTTTAATTTTCTTAGCCTCAATAACTGCCGCCACGGCTCAGCCCTAGGAATGAGACACTGGAGCTTTGGGATAGACTGAATTTCAGACCGAGAAATTGGTTTATTTCCACCACGATCCGCGCCCGGAGGAGAGAGTAGAAAACATCTTAGTGAGCTGAGAAATGAAAGACACCAATGAGAATCCGCGATGGCGACTAAAGAAAGGAATTGTGGGTAAGCATGCGTCCCCAAAGGTGACGAGACAGATATGCGGTAGCTGGTAGGACCGACCGAAACGCTGGAGCTCATGCACCTACTTGTACACATGCCCGTTCGCGTGTGAATAATGTTCACTTGAATCATATGTACAGACGTCAAGTGACGCGAAACATTCGAATAGTGCCTACGACGTCCCATAACGTCTGCGTCACCTATCCAACTACCTTACTTCATCCTCTTCACGTACACTAAAGTAACGTGAAAGTGGTGTTAAAAAGCGAATCGTTGACGGATCAGACGTAGTTGTAGCACAAAGCCAGCCGCGTTATTCCAAGAATCAAAACTGGTTTCACCCCAATTCTCACATTCAGCACAGCTCGTTGTACACCAAACAGTTAATATTGAGTATCAGCCAAGTGATTACGTAAGTGACCCCATCCCTCTTTTGCTCTCCATCTTGTGCCATAATTTCTTGAGATGCCCTTACATGAAAGAAGTCTAAACGAAAGTCAAGAAGAGAAACACCAACTTTGTAGTCCAACCCCCTAAGCCCCCTCATATCAGTCTATCAGGCCAGATGAAACTGGACGTTAACACCAGGAGTGTCGGAAATTTGTACACGACGGAAACTACATTCTCAAAGCCCGGCGACGGCCGAACTCATATCCACCGTAGATGGTAGACGCCGAAGTGAACCCATCAGACTTGCGAGTCTCAAAGGTAGTCGGGGTAGGCGATATCTCTGAAATGGAGGGGCTCACTAGGGACGGTCGAGCACTGGCCACGGTGGTGTCGAGATACTCGGTCGACCTCGACTCCTGGGATGATTGTGAAGATGAAGAGGGAGGATAGTCGTAACCACCAGGGATGCTGCTGGCAGTTGAGCTAATCAGAGTAGGAAGAGCACTGGAGACAATGGTACCCGGAGATGAGGTTGGAGCTGGGTATTCGGTGTCATAGCCTCCTGGGATATCCGAAGTACTGCTAGAGACGAGTGTAGGCTTGGCGCTGCCTACAGTAGTTCCCAGCGATGCGGTAGACTCCTGGGTGGAGGGAGGGTAGTCGTATCCGCCAGAAACGCTGCTCAGAGTCGCTGTATCTGTGGGCGTGACGAGAGTGGGCAGAGCGCTGGAGACTGTAAATCCCGGTGAAAAAGTGGAAGGAAGTGAAAGATACAACGACATAGACGTGGAAGTGGATTCCTCTTCAGTTTTGCAAGGTTTCTTGGATGCAGTAGAGGCAGCGCTGCTTCCGAGGGAGGTAGGAGTAGTGCTGGACAAGCTGGGGGCAGTGGTAGTAGGGTAGCCGAGCGTGGTGGAAAGGCGAATAGAGGTCGGTGATGAAACAGATGGAACGCCACTGGAGACTCCTGTACCGCGACTAGTTGACGAGTAGGCAGTCCCGGTGCTGAGAGGTACGGTGTTCGTGATGGTGACGACAACCGTAGTCCTCTTCGTAGTATGAGAAGTGGAGAGAGAGGGTGTTGATGCTCCGGGATGCTGAGACGAGACAGTAGTGTTGAAGACTGACGTTGTGGTGAGAATGGTCAACGAATAGGAAGCTGGGGGGGCAGTACCCGACTCGGATCGTGTGGAGAAAGAAGGCAGAGGAGGGATGCTGATCGTGGGGATGCTTGGGATGCTTTGGGTCGTAATTTTCGAAGAAGTGGACGAGTCTGTGTCGGTGGTGCGGATGGTCTTGGTGACAGTGCGAGTGATATGAGTGCGGGTAGAGTTTGTCCAGAGGCTCGAGGAGGAGCCAGTGGTAACACTCGTGCCGGCATTGCCAGTACCATGACTGTAAGAGCTGGAAAGTCTGAGAGTTCTGGGATGTCAATTAAGAACAATTGCAACTGCGAAAAGAATGTCAACTTACGAAGTAGTATTGACGGCCCAGGAGAGAGAGGAGCTTGGGGTGCCAGCACTAGGCAGTTGGGAGGAGACTGTGACTCCCGTAGTTGGAGTCCATGATGATACTGCTCCAGTGACTTCAGAAGTAGTGCTAGAGCCAACGGAGGTGGATGACCTGGTGTAACCGAGGGACGTAGACGGAGGAGGGAGAATGCTAGATGACAAGGACTTGGAACTCAAGGTTCCTGGAATGGTCGTACTAGAAGGCTCGCAGGTATGAATGTACGGAGGCGTCACAGTCAAGGTCTCCGTTAGAGTCACGGTACTAGCACACTGAGAGCCACAAGCAGTGACAGTGACCGTCGCCGGAGGATGCGGGATGAGGTAGTTGTTGGCGTTGGGAGGGATGGCGTTCACCAGAGAGGCACTGCAAAGTCGTGTCAGCAATGGTCGAGAAAGGCATGGTTGAGGCCTTACTCAAGACCTAACAGGACCAAGTAAAGTGCGACAGGGACCATGACGGGCAGAGACTTCGGAATGTTAAACGAGTGTGGTGTCGCAACAGCTGATGCTTGCTGGTTCGAGATGAGAAGCAAAACTCCAGTACACCTTTACGTCCGTCCGGACAGCTTTATATCAAGTAAACCATCTGATGTGCACCAATGCCAGATGACACAGCATTTATCTCAGAGCATTCTCGATTGCAACGCCGACGGGAAGGTCGGCAGACATCCTCGTCACAGAAACCGTTACCCCGGCCTAGAACGTCCTTCGGCGAGGCCTTTCATGCAGGGCGCCGCTGAGAGCCAACAACGCAGCAATCGATTTAATTGTCTCTGTATTGAATACCCGAGCTAAATAGAAGTCGGAGGCTTGCCTTCGTGGTTGTTTGAAGCGAGATCGCACAAACCGTAACGTTCGAATTGCGTCGTTGCCACACGGGTCGAGGAGATGGACACCTGATCTCATCTGAGCTAGGTTTTCAGGATGATTTGACACAACCATTTGAGCTTCACGAGTGGTGACTTGAGCCGAAAATGGATGAGACTGCGGGTAAGAAAAGCCATCTAGTTTAGCATTCCTACATAACAATTACGACGTTTGCGGCTACATAGCTCGCAGGCGCTCAGAGCTAGCTCTTCAGGACGCAATATTCGTTTGCTGGTAGAGTTCAGAAGACAAAATCAATGCTCATGACTTCTAGAGTCGACGGAAAATCTTTGTAGGCAAACAAGAGCGGCGAGAAAACAGAGTCGTGTTAATGAGCACGGCTGCAGATGCCCTCGTTGCGGCTGCGGGTGTCCGTCCCACACAATCTCCGGCAGACAACCCGCATAGTCGAAGAATATCATATGCGAAAAATAGGCAAGAAGTACAAATTTGCGTTACCCCGGGCTTAGGTTTGGAGCATCGGAATACAAGTTTTTGTGATCTGCGTGTTTTGGAGAGCACATGTACGAGAACCTGACGTCCTCTTCGCCCCGAATTGCGGAATGTTTTAAGCTCCGAGCTATCTCAAAGGCCTGAAATTACTATTCTCTAAGGATGCTCCAGCACGACAGATGCCGTACTTACCATCACACATGAGATACTACCGCAGGGAGGGACTTTGTTTTTGCTTTCACATTGGCTTCCGACAAGATGGTGCATCGCCGGCGCCAGTGCACGCGTTACGTGTATGCATGCCTGCCTGCATTGACGTAGCTGCCGGTTTCCGACCCTTCAGGGGGGAGGGGGGGCAAACAGACAACACCTGTCCCCTTCATAACAATATGCAGTTTACAGCCTGTGTCCTTGGTTGCAGAACTAGAGGATGCATCTAGGCAGAAGCTCCATGTAGGCATTCACAGAAACAGCTCATGCTACTTGTGAGGTAGTTCTATCGGGGAGGTGCATCCTGCAGATGAGCAACACGTACGGTCAGATCACGTAGACTTGACAGGTTTGTCGCATGTTGATTGCGGGAGTAGACACAGTAGGGCTGTGCGAATGGCACGGCGAAATGGTAGGAGGCACTTTTGTCTAGAAGATTCCGTTACGGCAGTAAAGTCGGAAGTTTCTTGATCGGCCGAAGGCGGGAGTCATCTCTGTCACTTTGGAATGACCAGCAGAGCTTCGCGTCTTGTGTGCACTTCGCCTCGGGTTGTGTGGGCCGTCTCACACCCGTCGATGTTTGTCCTTGTTGATACTCGGAGATTTGGGTGAGCGGCTGAACTCGGGTAGAGTCCCTCTACAACACACCTTGTTCTGCACGAGATGTTTTGTTTGACCAAACCTTGCCCCGACCTGTCCGGACGACGGTACCGTCTCGATGCGTGGCACGCGTGGTCAGAGGCGTTCGAAGTCATAGTTGTGCGCCACATCATCGAGGACGGGGGGCCTAAATCATTGATCCTCGCACAATGCGACCAAGTTGGCACTCTGCGTACAGCAGAGTAATGTTCACATACAGAGCAAAAACACGTATCTGAAACTGTCTTAAGCTCTGCACAATATGAAGAGGAATCACTGCCAAGCTCGTCCACGGTTGCAGGTAACACGACCGGGTAAGGAGTTGTAAGGTGGCCACAATTGCGGCACCTGTGTGTACGTCTAATTCCTCCCCAGCCACTTGATTTGATTGTGGCAGGTCCCGCTGGCATAAATGAAAGATCAAGCGCATGATGCGGCTGTCTTGCACTGCACCCTACGGGAGTACCTGCGCCTTTTCGTCTCCGAGCAAACAACTTTGGGATAAAGATATGCAATCTATTCATAGTCACGTACCTTAAACCCTATGTGATTACCATCCTAACATGCTCTTCTCAGAGTACTGCCTTCAATGCCTTAAAGGCATCATCTCGACTGCCCGAGAACCTGAGCTCTGAGGTCTTCCAGTTGATGACGTTCCAAATATTCTCCACATATGCCGCCTTGCCGTTGAGGTACTATTGCCATCCTCGATTAGTCTACTAGAGTTTCGAGCACATGTTCTCATTGGTGAGGACGAACCTGTAGGTAGTACGCGTGCTCCCACATGTCGACACCAAAGATGGGCACACCCTTGGTGACAGGGTCCTGGTCCTTGGTGGTAACAATGCTGAGGCCGGTGACGTCGTCCTTGACCAGCCAACCCCAGCCGCTGCCGGTGATACCCAGAAGAGCGGTATTAAAGGCCACTTTGAATTGATCGAGGCCATCCCAGATACGAGTAATCTCGGCGATCAGCTTCGGTGCCGCATCGGGCGAAGCATCCGGGCTTGAAGCTGGGGAGAGGTTCTCCCAGAAGAGAGAGTGGTTGATGTGGCCACCACCGTGAAAGTTGAGGGCTGCGAGGACCGCGAATCGACTTTGAAGAGGGTTTGCGTTGTAGGTCTCGATGGCTTTGTTCAGGTTCGTGACGTATGTTTGGTGACTGTTTAGCTCAACAATTAGTACATAGGTGACGCATGTTCCCTTTCTCTCCGGCACGATACGGCTTACTGTTTGCTGTGGTGTAGCTCCATGATTTGAGCCGAGATGTGAGGCTCGAGAGCCTGGGGATGAGATTAGCAGATAGTGGCTTTATCAAGCAGTGATGGAGAACGAACATCGTAAGCGTAGGGGAGCTTAGGTAGCGTGTACTGCGCGCTGGCCATTGTTGAATATTGATGCCGGGTGTATTCTAATGAGCTAGTTTGTGTAGTGAATGTGTTGAGGTCTTGGAGTTGTGTATAGATGAAGTTGAGAGAATGGGAATAGGTATCGAGGGGTAAAGACTTAGGATCCAGAGACACTCCCGCCGGCAAGGACATATGAATGGTAAATGAGGGGTAGAAGTGAGCACATTTCATCAACTCGGCAACAAGACTCGCCTTCTCCATGTCCGTTGAGGCCGAGGATGTGACAAACACCTTGATGGCTGCCCTGCCTCCGTCTCATTGCCCGGCTCCATTCTGACATTGCATGGGTCATGGTGCTAACGCCCACAGACGATTCAGGTATCTCCACCCGCCCGTATGCCTTGAGTTTCAGTCTTCTTCAAGATGCATCTTCGAGAGGACTGCGGTCAACTTTGATATGTTTTGTAGAGAATCCAACAGTCTGTAAGCCGCGGCGATATGTGTATGTAGCGCAGACCGGCTTAAACATGATCAATATTGCTCTAACTTGCTCACCAGGAAACCCGTGCAGGGCCCTCCATCTCCGAAGTTGGGGTCAGCGATGTGGTATGATTGGCTAACTCGTTGTTAGTGACGCCCCGGTCCGCGACCCGTTCGCCCTCGTTTTGGGATGACAGGGATCGAGAGACAGATTGAGCACCTTGAGGGAGTTCTTACAGTCGGTCGAGACGTTTAAAGCATCGCGAAGGCTCCGTCTTTGGAACGATCAGTCCTCACGATTGTTCGGGTTCTCACAAGTCAGCCTTCCAACAGCATACACTAACCCGCTAGCCATACTCACAAATCGATCATATTTCACCATGTGCGGCCCAGATAACTGCACCAAGCCCCGGGGCGGCGCTTTGGCCGTTCTCGACCAACCTTGCAGCCAGCACAGCTCGACAACACCGAAACAGCGACTTCGCGGAGATCTCGCTTTTCATACGCCTGGTCAACCGGGATGCCCTTTCGCGACCCATGCGAGAATCACAGGCGGCGAAGGTTGCGATTTGCAGTCGTTGTCCGAAATGATTGTCGTGATACAGTAAGTAATGCTGACCTGAACGCCGCTAGGTGGGGTTGAGTAAGGTAGCATCAGGTATTGACAAAGCTCTGTTAAACAGTCAGTCCGGCGATCTCACTCGTAAACTTGAAGATTGCGGCTTGTTCGAACGCTTCGCCTTCTCCGGTGCCTCGATCCTCGAGAACGGTTCTATACTGGAGTTGGCGTTGAAAAGACCAGTCTCGCTGGAAGTCGGCGATGATGGCATCATTGGCCGCAGAGTTTCTGTCTTTCCAGGGACAGAGATGGATCACGCATGTGCCGAGGGCATCGTTGGGTTCAACTTTGTGACCGCATTGTGAAAGCAGTAGATCGCATCTGACTTGAGGAATGTGTTTTAGCATGGCATTGGGCGTTTGAGCGAGATTGGCATTCGATATCTATTCATATTTTGGTTCGCGGACTACCTTCGACTTGGAATCTAGAGCAAGATAATCTGAGTCCGTTTGCAAAATGAGCGCATCGACATATTTGATCGCTGAGCTCCATGCACTTATTTTCTCAGGACACTTGGACTAGAAACATCGATTCACGAGACATACGACAGACCTATCTGCGTTTTAAAATTACTCGCATGGTCACCTCAATTCTCTCAATTTCATGGGCCTACCTAACCCACCTTCAACGGAACATCTTCGCGCGTGCATACGTGACTGTAGCTAGGAATCATGAGGATCAACGCATTGTGCAACCAGAAAAGCTCTCCCGCGAGTCTCCGAGGCCGTCTTAGCTTTTAGACATTGCCAACGAGTTTTGAAAATAGTGCCGACTGATTTATTCCTACATTAAGATAGCGGCATTCTTGTAGCGTGAGACGTATGTGGCAAAATAACTTGAGCAATCCATCCCATGAGACCGGTCATAACGAAATGGCCAGACTGCTTCTGAGGCTCTACCTAAACTTTGTTCACACGACATCTTCATGGGGCCTTTTCAAGCTAATTTTTGCCATACTCAGGTGCTATTCAGCTTGATCTCTCTCTTCATGATGATGATTCATAGTCTCATTAATGCTTTATCCACATGGGACCAGAGAACCCCGACGTCGTGTTTTCAAGATGCAATAGTATGTGGAAGAACATGACCTCGCAACCAATAGCTGTGTCAAAGAACTGGATGGAAAGGCATTATGTCAAATCTTCTCCCATTTTCGGTGGAAGGAAATCCCGAGAAACTATGACGTTCGGTGATAGCTTCCTAAGCACTCAAGCCCTTTCAGGGCCATGGGTACATGAGTGAGTACGTACCAGGAATTCACATGTTGAAACAATTAGGAAGGATATAAATACCCCAGATCCTCCAGTAGGAATACTCCAGAGTTTGGAATTGCATTCACTATCGGCAGTCAGGACGACCTACGCTGTGTTGCTGACGGCATTGGTAATGGCTCCGACGACGCATTCAATATCCAGTTGAAGTGATATTACTGACAGAATGCATCATCTGTGGTGAACATGGATCACTAAGAAAAGATTATTGGAGGAAAGCCCTGGCCATGGATACCTGCACGTATTGGCGAGATATGTGACATCATGCGACAAAGCCAAATCATATTCCACATGCTCCAATTACCAAGCGACATACTTATCATTTTGGAATAACTAATAGTGATAGATTGCAAGAGACATCGAAAGGGTCTTGCGACATCCGCGTGCTAACACTTAGCTGTCGAAACGAATACGATGCGAGGTGACGATCAATACGAGGTACGAAAACGGGATGCAAAATCCCCTCATACATCACCTAGCAAAATTTTCGGCAAACCACCGGAACAAAAAGTTCGCCTTCGCCACAAACGATCTCGTTATCAAAGGTGTATGGAATTGTTGAGCACGCTTCTCCAGAGTCGATGATAGCGTCTGCCTGTCACCGGCCTCTGGCGTCTCCACTTCAAGCCGAAGAATGTGAATGGAAATCCAGGTAGTGATGGGCGAAAAACATTTTCCTCGATGATTCTGCCAAGCCAATCCGGCACTGCTGAGCTAATGTGAGACCCGGAGTCTCTGGTTGGGTGTAGTCAAAGCCGAAGGTATTCAGCCTTTAACAGCAAGTGGCTACGGAGTAGTCCCAACCCTAAGTTTAGTTTCTGCTATTCTTGGTTCTCGGGGAGCAACGTAGCATGGCTTGACTCGTGGGGGAGGCAAAATCAATGGTTGGGCAGAGCTCCACGGTTTGCATTTTCTTCCCCTCGGTTCAATGACCCGGGCCAAGAGGTTGGCGGACAGCGGAGCCGGATTGATCGGCCGTTCGGCAGCAACCGACTAACCCGGTCTTGGTCAAAGACAAGAGGGTCTCTGGCGGGCTGATTGGCACGCTTCCTCGCTGTCTCCCAAGCTGGAAGTCAGGGTCTATTTTCAGCATGTTTCTGACGTCAAGCAAACTCTGTCTTCAAAGAGCCTCTTCCCGTTCTGGAGAGGTTCGGCCTGGTTGGGAAGTGAAAGACAGCCCGATGGTCTGTTAAGCCCCTGCCACAAATATGGGGTCATCCAGACGCTAGCTGAGCCATGAGATCATGAGGCCCGTGGAGGTATTGAGCTGTCAACCTTAACGGGTTAGTTGCCGGGGCGAACGGCTAAGGCGAGGTGGGTTGCTAGTCAATACGAACAACTTAGAACATTTTTCCCGCCCTTTCGGCTCCACAGACGAGCCTCTCGCACACAGGCGAACACGAGATGATGAAGTTTCTCGCCAAAAGAGAGGCGGAGAGATCGACTTTGAGAGTTTTACGATGTCTCGAATAACCTGTATATAATCATTGCAACATCGCTGCTGAAATGTTGTAATCTTCTTCATCACACTCAGCTTCATCAACAACAACAACAGCAACCTTAGAAACATTTCATCGACAGTCATCCTTTTTCATACTTAACATCTCCGGCATTTAACAATTACATATATCTTACCACCAAACAACATGATGAACAAGATCGTCTTCGCTCTGGCCATGGCCTCCGCCGCCGTTGCTGCTCCTCTCAACGCCCGCCAGGACGCCTGCCAGGACGCCTACAAGGCCTGCATTGCCGCCGGTACCCCAGAGGTTGCTTGCTCCTGCACTCTGACCGCCTGCGTCGGTGAGGATAACGCTCGCAACCGCGAGTACTGTGCCTCCGCGACGGCCAACCTTCCCAAGCCTACCTCTACCGGCATCCCCGGCGGCTGCAACCCGGCTCATCCCGGATCTTGCCCCTCCTCATACTTCACCTACACCACTGCCACTGCCACCGCCGCTCCCGCGCCAACCTTCACTTCCATCTCCGGAATCCCGGGTGGCTGCAACCCTGCTCACCCCGGATCCTGCCCTTCGTCCTACTTCACCTACCCGACCCTCACTGCCACCGCGGTGCCTACTCCCGCACCCACCTCCGGATCCGGCGGAAGCGCCCCCGCCTACCCCAACCCCAAGGCAGTCGAGGGCAAGACTTGGACGATCAAGGACATGACCCGTTACTGCGGCGAGAAGAACGACGGCTGCGACTACAACTTCGCCATCGAGGCTGATGGCAAGACTGAGCGCTGCACCGTCATCCGCATGCCCGGCTCCAACGCGGCCACCGAGAGCTGGTCCGACCAGCCCTGCACCTCCGGCTCCAACTTCAAGGTCTCGTGGGGCTACGTTGCCAACCCCGCCCCTGCTTTCGCCGTCGTCACCGTCGTCAACGGCAAGGAGCTTGCCTGGTTTGGTGTCTCTGACATCAACGGCAAGCCTGTCACTACTGCTCCTTCCAGCCCCTTTGGCTCTGGACAGTTCGGCAACCTCGGTCCTGAGCAGGTTTACACCTACTGAGCGGCTTTGCAGAATTCGACTCCAAAATTGCATACATTGATTTTAGCGACCATTGATTTGACGATACGAAACATCGAGGCATATGATACGAAGCATGGAGAAGGTACCCCAAACTAGACACTCATTATGATAATGTTAAATACTCCCTGTACATCATATATGTACAAATACACAATCCTTAATTATTTGCTCCTGCAAAAGACTCTATCGCTTGATGTCCCTCCTATTTTGGACCTCATTGACTTGATAATCGCCCTCGACTGATATTTGTATAAAATTCCCAGCTCTACCCCTCGTATCCCACGAGCATAAGCATGCCATCACTGGATTTGATCCACACTGGCTTTCATAGTCTAGACTCGTTCTGTGGTACAATTTCGTGCACATGGCGAATCTGCCTCTTCTCATTTAAACGTGTCAATTGAGATCGCGGACTCGCCGTGGTGAAAAATAGCCGGCGGATGTTTTGGATTTGCTTGAAAACCTTAATAGAGTGTGTAACCCACTTGACGTTTGTACATAACCCCTTCAGCTTATCGAACCAGAGACTGCAGACTCATTATACTGAGTCAAGAAGCTTTCGCAAGGGATTATATGTTTAAGGAGTAGAAAAGGGGGAGATTGAAGCGTGATAAAAGCCCAGTGAGGCGCCGAAAATTCAATCTGTCTTGATTGCACCCAACTGTTGCAACGACTTCGCAAACGCCCTAGTGCCCCAAGACATCTGCAACAAACGACGTTATCGGAATTATACCCAGACTCTCAATCGAAAACCAGCATTCGGCCTCTTTCGCAACCATGAAGTTATTTACGGCAATCTCCTTCCTCTTTGCTGCGATCGCATCCGCCGAGTCCTGCGTCGGCGACGAGCTCCAAGTTTGTGAAGGCAACAGGATCAAGTTCTGTAACCTTGCAAGAAACAACGTCTTCGATGTGAGCAGTCTTATCGAAAAATTGTCAATACCAGAGGTTAACTCTTTCTCTAGCACATGGACTGCGGCAGGCAGAAGTGTCACAACGTCGCTGGAGGAGCGAACTGTCAATAATCTGGGCGTGGCACTGAGGTTGCAGGGGGATATGTTGAATGCAATGACGGCCTGAGACATAGAGGTATTGGGATAAAAGTCATTGATCTGAGCTAAGGCCTGATCTGGATACGTCACGAAGCACGGAATAGTGAGTGACAACTTTCCTGGGGTTATGCGAATGCCAAACAATCATCGGCGATCTCGGCATAACGTCCGTGTGAATCACTGCTAATTGCACACTCTTGATTCCTCTTCAGATGTCCGAATCATGAGTCAACGTAATATCGTTGCACAAATGGTGCCGGCCATGTCATGTGTACATCGACGACACGACAGCGACGGCTAGGTCGAAGTTTCTTGAAATTGGGAAAGACGCATAAAAGTGGACGATGTTGCTACTTGGTCATGACACCTTGCCTCAACTAAATAGGTTGAAGTTTGATGAATGCCCGAGACCAGGTTCAATACACTAACATTAAGTTCTTCGCTCTGAGTCGCACTTTACACAGCTAGTCCATTGTCATGTTCATCTTAGATCCAACCTTCGTGCCGTTGTTTGGAAGTCTAGCCCTCAGCAATGAAAAAGGACGCTGTCTTGAGTCTGTCCCGGGATAGACTGCCGGACCGAATGCCAGCTGATTGTTTGTGAAGTAGATAAATCCATCCGTGGCAACAGAGAACTTGAATCCCACCTTAGTAAGGCGTCCATGATGATGTGTAAAAACAGGCGAGACTTACTGTGTCAGCCCAGTTAATTCTTGGATCTCGCAAGAATACCTGATCAGTCCCATTCTCGGGGTTGAAGAAGTTGATTGCGTTTTGCTCGAAATTTCCGTGGTAAATGAATCCATTCGTGTCTGTCTCAAAGCCGTCAGAAAGGCCCCTCTGACTCTCCGTCACAACAGCTGCTTGAGCTTGTATCTCTGATGTTGGACTATTGTCTCGTAGACGTTCCGTGGGAATGCTGTACAGGTATCGGTTGCCAACGCCACCAAAGTACAACGTCTTGCCATCTTTGCCGAGAGCGATACCATCAGCTCCAAAAGTCAAATGACCGGCTCGGTTGCCTGCCTGATTCGCGTAGAGCTCACGGCCCCAGATAAATGCGAGAAACTGTCGGTCGCCTTGCACGTAAGGACTTCCGTCAAGGTGCCTCCACGATTCACCAGATCCGAGATCAACGACGATCAAGCCTGTCCGGCCTTCGCTCGAAGAGTCCGTGATGTAGGCAACACCTTCCCCGCTGCTGGTTAGACTAGGGTCCAGGTCAAATCGCACGTCGTTCAGGTATGTATCCGGGTATGCGACAGTATTGGGAAAGACAATGGTCTTGATGACCGAATTTGTGGTCAGATTGACGCCGACTAGCTTTGCGCCACCGACACTGGCAGGGACGAGAACGCCTTGAGGTGTCAAGACTCTGCCAGTATCCAAGATCCAAAGACGATCCGCACTGTCAATGACCACGCTCTGAACACCAATCAAGTAGTTCTTGTAGTTCGCGCCCGCCGGAGGAGTAGTGGTGAAGTTGATCGCGCCGCCAGGTGGATTATTGAACTCGGCACTCGGGTACGGCTTCTCGATATTGTTATCAAAGAGCTCGGCAACCGTGTACTTGCCGTTGGTTCCATCATTTGTGTTATTTGGGTCCAGACCACCAGGGTAATTTGAGAATTTCCGTCCAGTTGACGATACGGCAACGCCTATTCAAGCAGATGAGCGTCATGCGCGATTTTCATTGACTTGGTAACATTACCCGTGGGCCACTGGTCATTGTATAGATGGACGACTTCGAGGGACGGACCACTTCGTCCAGAGTCAAAGATGAGGTTCTGTGCCCTCGCTGGATGGAGACCAGCCAGAGCTGCGACCAAAGTCAACTTGAGAGAAATCATAACTGCTGAAAGGTTAAACTAGACTTGCTGCTGTTCTTAATTGAGAGCTCACGGAGCGCTACGTCTTTTGGGGCAGTATATTAAAGTGACATTTGGACTATTGCTTATATGCCCTCCATCACCTCGGAGAGTTCGTGCTCCATTGGGTCCATGACGCATGCATCTACGTCTGTTCACATCACTTTGAGGATTGCAAAGCGCCCAAACTCAGCGTGAGTGGCCAATTTTCTCATTCCTCAACTCGCAATTCTCCAGAGTTCGCATGCGGACACTCGCTTAAATGCCTGTATTTAGTCGCTAACCACCACTGCCGTGGCACTAATTGTTGGCGCTACCACTCCATGAGCTCATCCTGCGGGGAAGCAAGGAATTTAGTATCCTAAATCGGCGGGTGAAGAGCGTGCCTTTGGGATTGCAGGTAATGAATGCCCGTTGGCAATTATATTTGCTGCCTGCTTAATGTGAACTATGACGAGAAAGGGTCGTCCGCGAAACTGATGGAAATAGTTAGAGGAAAGTTCAAAGGCACTATTGGTCCAGTGGGTCGATGTTCTTACAATGTATTGCCGAGACCATCATCGCACACTAAACGTCCCTGAACGGGACTGCACTGAGCACCATCGAGTACGACTCTGCCTCCGCTATTATCCTTGGCCGGAACGCTTTTGGCCGGTGCAGCAATGGCAGATGCCACGAAGCTGCTGAGAGCGACGATGATGATGGAGAACTTCATCTTGAATGTGGTTGCAGAGCTTCAAGAATTACCGAGTTGAATGAGTGTGTTGCGATGTAGTATGCTTAGATCTGGCCAGCCAGGAGTGATTCAATGTTTTTATTCTTGAAATGGAAAGCCTGCTTGCAGGTAGTGACGAGATAGGGATTCAAAAATGGAGAGTTCATCGCGGATTTAATATGACTTTGGGCAATTCAAGCTTAAAAGGGGCGATCAATTCTTTTGGTCGAGATGAGACGATACCAGGGTACAGTTGAGACGAACACCCCGGTCACATCCCACTCGGCTGTCAATACGAGCACATCGCGAGTATCAAACCTTCCCCCTTGTGTTCCACAGTTAACCAACAACATTGTCTCACGTTACCCCACACGCCTCAGGAGTAATGTTTCGCCCTTGGATTTTCCTACATGAGATTTCCTACATGAGAAAATGAAGCACCAACTTTTTGTATCCCTCTATGCTTTCAATCAACTCCGGCACACGGATGAACTCGTCGGGCCCGTGAGCTACCAGGATCGACCCTGGTCCGTACAGCACCCTGTTGTCGCAGTACTCCGCCTTGAGTCGAGGTACGTCTGTCCCGAAAGCCACGGGAGCCGCATCAAAGCCGTCAATCTCCCATTGCAGTAACGCTTCGGGATACTCAAAAACAAACTTCAACTCCACGTCCGGATGTCGTGAAACGATCTCGGCAACCTTGGTCTTGATGCCGGGCAGGTCGGAAACCATGCGAACCTCGCATAGTGCCTTGGCGGACGGGGCGACGATATTATGTTTCTCGCCTCCCTCGATAGTTCCGATGTTGAATGTGGAAGGGCCGAGGAGGTCGGATTCGGGCCAAGTTGCTGCGGAGAGGTCGTTCAACACCGCCAGCAACGCAGAAGTTGCGCTTTTGCCGAGATGGGGGTATCCCGAGTGACTACATCTTGGCTTTAGTAGAGCTTTTGAATGACTATAATCACTTCGCGATCAAGAAGGGTTGACTTGCCATGCGACGCCGTTGGCGATCACTTCAAATGCCACCTGCCCCTTGTGACCCTTTGCAAGTTTGCTCTCAGTCGGTTCAGCAAAGATGCCGGATTCCCACTTTAAGCCCATGTCATTCGCAGCGATCATGCCGTTACCGCCGTTTTCTTCACCGACAACAAACAACAGGGCAATGTCTCCTTCCTGTACCTTGCCTTCCTTTCCCAGTTCTTCGGCAGCTAAAATCTGGGCTGCCAACGGGCCAAGGTCATCGGACGAGCCTCTTCCCCGGATGATATCCCCGTCGATCGTTAGCGGAATATGCGGTGGTACAGTGTCCATATGGGCTGTCAGAAGTACGCGTGTCTTGCGTGAAGAGCCAAGGTATGCGTAGACATTATGGCGAGACGAGTCTGGTGAAATGGGTATGCGCTCGACGGTGAATCCTAGGGAATGAAGATGATGTTCTAGGAAGACACCAATGCTTTCTTCAAGTTCGCTGGTGCTCACGATTGACATGAGCGACTTCAACAAGCCCACCACGGGGTGTTCCATGATAGCAGATGCCATAGCTTTCAATTGGCTAGGATTCCGTGTTTGAGAAATACTTTTAGGCATGAAAATCAGAGTAGCAAATGCTGCGATGAATGTGGCTGGGACGGACCCCTCTGCGTCAACACAGGTACGGAGTTCACACTAGTTGATTAGTTAAGAGAGACTTCCCCAACCGTGCATTAATACTGTAAATTATGAGTCACCACCAACCAACGACCAAATGTGGATCTACCGGCGGAATTGAGCCTTTGCTGGGCTTTGGTCAGTTCGGCCCAACATCCGACTGCCCGGGATAAGCTCCGCGTTGGTTTCTTGGTGCCTAATACCAATGCTGTAGGCACTTAAGTCAACCAGGGTTAGAAAATCAATGCCAAAGACTTTTGACAAATGTTGGGTGATACTTTGGTGGTGATAAAGTAATTACGTGCATCTAAAAAAAGTTTCACGACCTCAGCCAGCCAAAGCTGCAATTGGCTGACTACAAGCCTCCCTAAAGAGTTCTCGTCATAACGTCGATAGAGGAAAGCATCTTCCAAATGCTTCTGATTTTGTCCGCTGCCCGAACTGAAGTCGACGAGTATTTGACCACTGTCGTGAAGGGCCTGGCTTTATCAGTCGTCAGTGAAGTGTCTACATGCAGTTTGGCAGAATCTGTCCCGTTCAACTGTTGAAACATACTGAGAAACAGCAAGTATGCGGAACATAGCAAACGTCAAGCTGGCTCGGATCCACTTTAGAACTTGGTCATTTTTTGGACGCCATCTGAACAAAGCTCTGCCGATGCTCTAGGCATAACGCCTGTGATCATGGCACACCCTACCCACACGATAATGGATGGAAATCCTACTTGCACTAATAACTCGTGGCGCACTGGTGTCCCACCACTTTCCTACACCTTGTAGCTCCGGTTGGGCAGCTCAGGCCAGGGAGTAGAGCTGATTTCCGCATTGGGATCTCCCAAGGTGGGTGGATTCCTTCTCAATCCTGCCCTTGGTGAAGATCCCCAATCAACGATGAGTAAATCTCACCGAGCTCTGCTGATGTCAGACTAAATGTCTCCGCCGGGTTAGCGTGGCATTAAGTATCTCTGATAACTTGCAAAGGTAGGAGATATTTCAACCTAATAAGAGGATGTGCCCTTCCTACCTGCACTCTGTAAGTCGGGAGCACTTGGGAAACACAATTGGAGACATTTCCGCGTTTCCACAGCAGCATCACCAAAGACATTTCTCTCCTCTACATGGCGGACGACGACTCGAAGCCCGTGGGTTGCCATGTCGGCGTTGTCGGCACCGGCGCATTGGGACTTCTTGCAATAAAGAACCTCAAGGAGCAAGACCTAAAAGTAACCGCGTTTGAGCAAAATGATCACCTTGGTGGGCTATGGCACTTCTCGCCCAGACCAGATCAAGTCACCGCACTTCCAATGACTTCTTTCAACACCTCAAAACAGATGGTGAGCAAGACTTGAGTTCTTTTCATCAGCAACATGTGGTACTAATGCATATATCAGGCGCACATCACAGATTTCCCCTTCGCGGATGGTAAAATACTTCACCTACGCCGCACGGGTATGATCATTGCTAACGTTGCCATGTGGTATTAGATGATGCAACACACCCCACTGCGAAAAGTATTGAACGATATCTCGAAGCTTACGCAAAGGAATTTGATCTTCTGCCTCACATCAAGTTCTCCACTAAAGTCAACAAAGTTGAACGAGATAGCGTCAACGGGAAATGGGTTAAATACGCACGATACTCTCCCAGGCATGGAGACTAGCCTTCAAAAGCATGTGTTCGATCGAGTTGTGCTGGCCACTGGGATCGTCAACACTCCAATGATGCCAGATATCAAAGGCATTGAAAAGTTCGAGGGGGAGGCCAAGCACTCAATTGAATTCAAGGACCCATACAAATACACGGGCAAAAATGTCCTGCTTATTGGGATTGGGGCTACAAGCGCTGACACGCAGTCCTTTCTCAAGAAGGCAAACGCTCGCTCGATCACAATCAGTCATCGTCAGCAGTTCTATCTGGTAAGTTGCCGGACCTCCAAATGTGGTTCGAGCTTGTAAGGATATGGTTCTAACGCGATCACAGGTCCCAAAAATGGTCCAGGGTAACGCTTTTGACCACAGCATGACGCGCCGTGCCCTCACAATCTTCCGAAGTCTAGGTGACTGGTGGCCCAGGGCTTGCGCCATGGTCTTCACAAACGCTTTGGATAGCGCCCGAAGGAAAGCATATCCCTGGCTCAGCAAACATCCGTCGTTCGTGGCCCCCCGGGTTCTCGCAAGCGCAGAGCATCGGATTCCGGTTCTATCAAATGACCTCGCTGAGAACTTGAGGGACGGTATCACTCGTACTGTCCCTGGGGTGAAGGAAGTTACTGGCCCCAAGTCGGTCACTTTCACAGACGGTACAGTTCTAGACGATATTGATGCCATCATCATCTGCACGGGATACGAATACGATTTCTCGGTCATTAAAGGCCCAGGTGACCCTACCGACCCTGCGAAAGCGCCCGATCATTTTGAGCGCATCAACGCAACTCGATTCAAGGACCCTCATGTCCAATTCGCTCGCTTGTATCGAGGGTTTCTGTCAGAGGAGTATCCTGAATCACTTGCGTTCATCGGCCACTTCTTCATCTTGAAGGCGCCATTTGTGTTCAATGACCTCGTCACGATGGCGCTCGCTAGTCTCTGGAGCGGAAAAGTCTCTCTTCCCTCCGCCGACGTGATGACACAAGACATAAACAGACACTACGACACCGTTGTGGATACCCTCGGACGCGGGCCGCTACCCCACCTAGGATTTAGGATGTTCGGCAGCGACACTTACAGGTGGTTGAACAAGGTTGCAGGAACCGGAGTGACGGAGAGGGTTGGCTGTTTCAATAGGGAGGCCTGGAAGCTTTGGTGGAGCGACCGAAAATTCTACAGCTTGCTCATGGACGGTGCCGATTCACCGGCGGTCTACCGGCTTTTTGAGACGTGGCGGGGCCGGAAGGCTTGGCCGGGGGCCCGCGATCAAATTTTGAAGGCTAATAGGGAGGTGAAGGAAATGGGCGAGGAGTGGAGGAAGAAGAACAGCGCAAAATCAAAGTAAACTTGCTGCCCTTTGTGTATTACGTATTTGACAACGAATCCTCTCATGACGTTGGAGTAGGCACTGTCAATTATAGGTAGCAGTAATCAGTCCAAGGCAAGGCATACTATTTTTAGGTCTTCACGACCGGTTTCAACTGTACGTGTTAGGTTAATGACGAGTGTTGCACGTCTTTGATAGTAAGGTAATAGAAAGCCATTACCCCGAATGTTCCTATACTTTCACGTGAGGGGTGATAGTGGTGGTCATCAGACGATCGGCTATTCGTGAGCCATTTCAACAAGCAATACTCCACTTTCTCCGCGGCACGACATCGAAGAGAGCAATGTCGCCATCACCACAGCGAAACCGGAACAGACAACGCTCTTGATATCTGCTGTCTAAACATAAGAGACTCAACTTCACCAGAGCCAACGAGCTAACTTGGCATCGACTAGTCGGAAATCAGCAGCATCTTCGGATAGTATAGGCTTCTTGGGCTTTAACTGTCACAGGAGACACCTAGCACACCTTGTGTATCACTATGGCCACCGCTACTTTGACCCGGCCAGTACAGCCGGACATCCAGTATGCCCCGAACTACCAAAAATTCCAGGCTCGGACTGCGCGCCGAGTTCAGGAGCCTGGTCTTCCCACAAGCCTGCCTAAGAGCCTTCCGCAGAAATTCACGAGCGATATGGTCTGGGAGGGAGCAACACTAGCCAACGAGTACAATTGGACGTATGCCCTTACAACGGAACAGCTTGACGAACTTGACGCAGCGCTCGCTCACTTTAGAGGTAGGATGAATTGCCCTGCATGTGACCCGCAAGATGGTAACCGGTAGCTGATTATCCCACAAAGCGCTGAATCTGCCCCTCGGCCACATCAACCAGGAAAGCTTTCCCCTACCCAAACTTCATCCTGAGCTTCGAAAGCTCTCATACGAGTTGCACAATGGGCACGGATTCTTCGTCATCCGTGGTCTCCGTGTGGATGAACACACAAGAGAAGACAACATCATCATTTACGCAGGCTTGTCCTCGCACATCGCACCTCAACGCGGTCGCCAGGACAGGCAATATGATGGGAAACCAGCTGATGTAGTTCTTACTCATATCAAAGATTTGACTTTGACGAAGGACAAGGGCCAAATTGGCAGTCCTGCTTACACCGCGGATAAGCAAGTATTCCATACGGATGCTGGAGACATTGTCTCCCTATTTGCTCTCTCCACTGCTGTGGAGGGCGGCACGAGCAAATTGGCAAGCATTGCGAGGGTTTACAATGAGATTGCTAGTACGCGTCCTGATCTCATCCATACTCTCACGCAAGACTGGCAATTCGAGGTGTAAGTAGCTGCATGCCAACGCGAATGGATCGATGCAACGAGACGAGCATCGGCTAATGATTTGTTTGATTGCTAGTTTTGGCAAGCCCGAGAAGTCCTTCACTTCCCGACCTTTGGTGCACTACCAACCTGCTACTTCAACGACGCCTGAGCGTTTAGCTGTGCAATACGCTCGTCGCTACTTTGTCGGTTACGGTGCGCTCCCACGAAGTGAAGAGATTCCACCGATTTCCGAGGCACAAGCGGAAGCACTCGATACTCTTCATTATCTCGGTGAAAAGTTTGCCGTCAACCTGGATTTCCAGAAAGGTGACATTCAGTATGCCAACAACATGGGTATCTTCCATGCTCGGGATGGGTTCACCGATACTCAAGAGCAGCAGTAAGTTCATGCCTTAAATACTATAGGTTTCGAGAGCATCATCGTATTAACAAGCTGTTTCTCAATCGCCATAGACGCCATCTGCTACGACAGTGGTTGCGCGACCCAGAGTATGGCTGGGAGACGCCAGAGCCATTGAAAGAAAGATGGGCTCAATTGTACGAAGGCGTTACTCCAGATGCTCAGATATTCCCTCTTGATCCATTCATCCGTAGCGAAGGAAACAAGAGTAAAGGAAGGTCATGAGTTGGTCATCTGTAACTCGGTCTAGCATGTCATAGATGTATGACGTTTTGGCTTCTGGGGGTCATGTCTGGGCAATGTGCTCATGAAATTCGTTCTTACAAACCGGCCTAGCCAATGAACAGTCTATCTCTATAGGTGCGTCCTAAGCCATGAGGCTGGGATGACCATGGCCAGTCGAGTACTCGTTTGGGTTTGGGCTCAGGGAGTGCCGAGGGGCTGATACACGTACCGACTTTCTGCAGTTAAGTTGACAGGAAGAGCAAGGTAGACGGGATGGAGCTGCCGTTGATAATTAGTACAAACATCGATATAACCATTGAAAGAGATTGGGTTAGTACCTAGGGAATTCAAGCGGACCTTGGCTCAACCAAAATGCCTTTTTCGAGAAGGGTTGGATACCTGATTTGAACAATCATATATGAGTCACCAACATGCCAAGAGTTTCCAAACTTCCAACCACAACGAAATCTGCCTAAGGTAGGTGGAGATTGTCATGGCACTCTCGTAATTACATCAGTCACACCAATCTGTCTGGACGGTGGTGGGAGGTATATTAACCAAGACACCGCTCCAAGATCAAGGTCTAGATCAAGCCGAGCCCGAGCATCAGTGCGCTTGTTCCAATTTTCTTAATTACCAACTTCATCGCGGCGAAGATCAAAATCATTCCAATGATTGCCCTCACAGACCTACCAGTCGAGATTCTCGACGTGATCTGCACCTCACTTTGCTGTCATTGTCGACAGCACAAAATGAAGCTCGACAAGCCGAGCGCCCCCAAGATGTCGATCGAGGATTACGGAGAGCGGCTTGGGCCACGCCGTCTATGCCTTGCATTACGGTCACTACGCAAAATTTCTGAACCGATTTTTTCTCACGTTTTCTTACACCACTGCAACATGAACTGCACGAACGAAGAAACAAACTTGACATCTAGGTTGTTCCGGTTACTCAGAACTATCGACGAAGACTCCCATCTTTCTTCCTGCATCAAGTCCATCGACATCAAAGCATTTGGAGAGGAATGTGTTCACTGTTCACCTTTGGCAGATTGCGCAACCCAGGAAGAGCGCAGTCAGATTACATATACGCGCTTGTCTGAAAGGACAGGTCTTTGTATTAATCCCATCGACTTAAGTCGCGATACTCTTCCTGAGACTCTCGTTCAATTCTTGTTGACTATGACGCCAAATCTCCAGAAACTAAGCCTGTGCGTTCCGCGTCGGTGGACCTTTCAGCCGTTAGAAACATGGATACATGGATACATGGATGCATACCTAAACTGAATCAGTCAACGATACTGCTGAGCCAGGTCCGACATATGGGGCTAGAGATTGAGAACCACGACGACGACATGTGTTTTTACGGCCATGACGAAGATTGGTGTATTCATCACACCACTCCTAGTCCTGTTGAACGTCTGCTCATAGACAATGCACCAAATCTTGAGGTGTTATCATATACCGCTGGAGGGATAGAGAGTCTTCCAAAGCTATCATTGCTCAGGTGGCTGCACCTCCACATGAAAGGGTCTTGGGAAGGAGTGTTGCCTAAGTTGATGGATCGCCTACCCTATCTCACACATTTCAGCTACTTTACCAGGAACTCGCACTCTCCCACGCCCAGAGAGATCCAAGACCCCTCCACAATCACTAGGAGATTCTCCAGCATCTCACTGTGATGAGTCAGTTTTGGAAGAGTGTTACAAATGACCATACGCGAACGGACCCAAACCGGTCATACTCAATAATCTCCCTTACGAATTTCAAGGCTCTCAAATCCATCAACCTTCATGGCTACATGATCTAGCTATATCGGGTAGATGGAAGCTCGATAGATAAAGTGGAGTCGTACTTGCAGCTTCTGCCAAAGTTTTTGCCTCAATGCATACAGCAGCTTCATATTGATGGCTGGGAGAACTATGGAGAAGAGAATCTCAGGTCATTGGCCAAGGCTGTGGCAAATGGGAAATTCCCCTACCTGGATACGGTGATCTGGGACACAAATCATGACCGTCGGCCCCTTCGGCCCGGGTTTTGCAACAAAGCGTAGGAGATGGGTGAGAACTGGAGACAAATAATTACGGAGCAAGTTGAGGACCGCATATGTAGTGGTTACCACGAAGCATTTCCAGACTGGAGAGCTGAGTTATTGGAGTCTGCTGGGAAAGAGACTGGCTGATAATTCATTCCTCATTATAACTACGTAATACTTTATGTAGCAAAAGGGCTTTAAGTAATTGTGATTACAAGGACTGTGAATTTATGTACAGCTCTCACCACCAAGTACTTACTTGGTATTTCACCTGACCTTGAGCCAACTATTTCACTAATTGGTATATTGAGATAAGGATAAGAAATGTACTTAAGTATCATATTCAATGGAGTCTTGAACGAGATTGAGGCACATCTAATGACTCATTCTACACATCAGAAATCCCTGGTCTATACATCGAGCTTGACCATGACGCCAACGCTCTTTCCAAAACCTTGGTACTTTTGCAGCGCCGCCTGTGCCTCCGGCTTGGTCCAAGCAGCCTTTGCTTCCTGCCCCAGATGTTAGCAACGAATAATCTGCAACCGTTGTAGTCGGATGGGATGCCTACCTCATCGCTGTCCCATCCCAAGATACCCAGGCCAGTTGACTGACCACCATCAACACTCTTTCCCCCGAAGTGGACGGTCTGGCCGAGGGCAGCGACTAGGTCCATCCAGGCCTGCTTCGCCTCCTCATGCTTACTCTCGTCTGCAACATCAATGAAGCAGAACTGAGTGAATGTCTTGGGCTTTTCACCAGGAAGCGGACCAGTCTCGAACTTCTTGACTCGTGGCTCGCCACCAGGACTGGCCTTGAACTGATCTCCACGCTCTTTGATCCACGCCGACTCGGCGAAAGCCTTGTCATCTGCCGCGGACTCGAAAGCTGCGACAAAATTTAGCTGCTGCTGAGAGATTCGACTTCAAATGAGAGCCTCACTTATCGTTTGAAGGAACTTGAAGTCCGTCACGGGTGTTCCGTTCTCGTTGATGACATGTCCACCAGCTACTCCAATGACACCTGGCTGCTTGGCGATGTCTTCCTTGACCTGCGGCCATGCCCCGAGGAACTCATCCTTCTTGTCGGCAGGAATGTTGGGGGTAACGACAACGAGGAAAGGCATGTTGGCTGTTCTTAGGTTCAGGGCTAGTAGAGACGATGGAACTGTTTTTGTTAAATGTTGTGGCGCTAAGCGGTCTACAGTGATGTGCTTGGCTTTGGCTTCGATGAAATGTCGATTCTGCGTTGGCTAGAGGTCCGGTGATGGATGCGGGCAACACGAGGTTTATATGGCTTTCGAAAGGGGTTCATTCATGATTCAAAGACCCTGCTGAATTAAGACAGTGGTCAGTCAACCATTGACCCCGACACGGACCGCAACTTGCACCCGGAAATCCCGGTGGTGCGGCATGACAGAAGCCAGGCGCCGTCAGACGAGTTGCGTCTTAGAAGGCCCCCGGCAAAAGCTGAGAGCCACCAGTACGTCGCCGACCGACCCCAGATCATCTGATGCCTAACCCCCTCCCGTCGCGGATGATACCACCGGCAACTAGGGACGGCTCTCAGGGTCCAACAGCTCATTGGCGGTGCCCACTAGGTAAGTTACATGGTGAATAAACCGCGTGTATGCCGTATCGTGAATGCTTCAACCCAGAAAGTGAAACTCAGGCGGAGCCGGGAACCGGGGGTCTGGCCAGTGTGGGGTACTGTCGCTGCCACGGCGGCGGAGGACGGGCCGGCGGGCTTTGACGAGACGGTCTCGGTTTTTCGTCTGATCCGTGATTTATGCCCCCTCCACCAAGCCGAAAGTCTAATTCACTCGGCAACGTGCTTGGAGGCCTGCATGAATTCAAGCCGGCAGCCCGGCGGACATGAGTTTGACTAGGCCAGGTCTAACAAAAAGGGGACCTCATGCAAGTAACAGCTGTCAAATCACCGCAGGCGAAATACGTTTGCTGCGCGAGGCAGTGCCAGAACGCGGAAGGTCTTTCAAGGAGCGAAAACTCCTAGTCGAGTGCTTGACTGTATTCAATCCGAGGGTTCATCTCGTATTGACATGTACTACGAAGCTGGAAACACCTTGGCAGAATGCAGGGACAAGCACATTGAAGCAGGGAGCTGTGACTGAGTCTGACACATGGGGAAACGTTCCAGAACAAGTACAAACCTTCGGGGATATATCAATAATTCGGGGAATTAGCAAAGCAGCCCGTGCTCATATTCAGACTCTACAATACTTACAATGTTGCTGAGGAAGTTTGAATGTCTCAGGCTGGCGTGAAAACGTAGATGCGGGTACAATTAGATGGGTGAAGTCATGACTTCGAGCTTTTGCATCAAAGATCAGCAAGGACTTGGACATGGTCCACGGGCTAAATACAAGGCTAATGGCATGATTTTGGTAGCGAGTTTGTATTATTCTTGTCCCTCTAATGCATGTGCTTCTCCTTCGGCACTAAATCTACGTGATGGGCAATGACCGAGGCCTGGCTTACGGTATGGACTAGGTTGTTCGGAGTTTCGGGCAAAAGAAGGTTACCGAATTAAGAAGTAAACGTGTGAAGCAGCCTTGCTCCCCTTTGATACTGAAGAATTCCTACAAACAACATTTAGATCTTGGGAGCAATGCATATGCACTGCTTCGAATACATGGCTTTACCGGTCGAGTTGAAGTGGCGGTGTGAGATCGCTCAATGACTCGCTCCTGGCCATCACAAAGACTGACCGATGCGTTATTCATTTCTTCTATCGTGTTTCAAGTATAGAAGCCGAGCCCGAAGAGAGGATTTATTGTTACCATCTGGTGCAGAAGCAAGCTCTGGCCAAGGGTTCAATTCTCATATCATCATATACTAGCCAAAGGAATGAATGCATCTTTCGTTCATCCCGAACTTCGCTCGAGTTTGTGTGAAAGAGATAGAGAGAGAGAGATAGATTGTTATAAATACACAACTCTTTCATCGTTGGATCAGAAGCTACGTATCAGGTATGAAACTAACACATTTCTTGACTCTCATATCCAGAGAGCGTGAGATATCGTACACAGCAATAAGTACTTACCCATGGAATATTTGATTCTGACCTTTCATCCTAGATCGCACAAACTTTGCAGACAGTCAAAAAAGAGGACACATCTCAAGTTGGGAGCTTGGCATTCCGAAGCAGTCAAATACCCAATCTATTTTGTCATCTGTGGCTAGACTGACCAAGGGCAGCTGACAAGAATCGTCTAAATACCTGGTGGTCTAAACGTGAATCAACATGTCATGACAGCTGAGGAAGCCTCAACTGTTTCCGTTGAGCATAGGGAAACTGCATTTCCATCCCATCATTGTCGAAATCCTCAGGACCGCCAAACCAATAAGCCAAGCTCGGATTTCCCTCTAGGCGATTGAGTGTATGCGAGGCGATCAATAACTCCCTCAAGCGAACACGACGACAGCCGCAGCGACGCCGAGAACTGCCGCCATCCCCGCCCGAGCCGTCGACCCCGCCCCCGCCGGAACCGTACTTGACGAAGGCTCCGCTCCGCTTCCAGTCCCAGTCGGCACGTCCTCACCCTCCGTCGACGTGATCAAGGTGCTACCCGTGCCGCCCGTCCTAGTTGTGACTCCCGACGGCGTCAGCGAAGACAAAGGCGACGTCACCGACGTAGTAACGGTTTTAATGATGGTGCTCGTCGTGGTAGGGGGCGTAACCGTCACCGTTGTGCTGCCGACTCCGCTATTCGACCCGGGGGTTGCTAGGGTTTGGGTGATGGTGACGGTGGGTGGTTTGACGGTTGCGCAACTGGAGAGGAAGCTCATGGTGATGGTCTCGGTGCCGGAGTAGCCCGGGCATCCGGGGATTTTCTTGCCGGACGCCGGGTCGGTACCTCCACAGTCGAGCGGGGTACAGATTTCATGGGTTTCGGGGACGTAGTGGATGACTGTCTTGATGGAGACGCCAGAGGGGCCTGGGTAGGTGTATGTGAGAGAGGCGCAGCCTGCGAGATCTGTCTTGGCGAGGACGGCTGTAGCTGCCAGGATCGGGAGGAGGTAGCGAGACATTATTGCTATTGGAGTTGAACAGCAATTTGAAAATCGATTTTGGTGAACGAGTGTGATGGCCAATAACTGCTGATAGACACCTAAGATCTCGAGGATGAGAGAGGTATGGATCGCCGAGTCAGATTTGGGTGGCATAACGGGTCTTTTTGAATTTCTGATGGTGTAGGAGGTTCGGGAAGTCGTATTGTTCCCATGCGTCTTGGATGTTTGACGAGCAGGCAAGCTTTCTGGAACCTCATCACCTCAGACTCGTCTAGCCCCTGGGTACGACCTCAAGAGGTTGCAGCTTGCTGCATAGGCACGCCGACTTCTTGCATTGCCGGCATTCTTTTGCCGTGTGACACGAGGACAGGACCGAGAGTGAAAACAGCGGTTCTGAACAATCCCATGGTTCATGTCAGGCATATGAGAACAAAGTTGATTTATTTTCGGGATTATGCACTCGAAAACAAGGAATAGCGAGTCCCTTGCTGCGCTCACGTCCTTGGCATTCAATAACGGAGATACAAGGAGCAGTAATCCAAGTTGTCTGTCAGGCACCGGAAGATTGAGAAAGACTTTCTTGCCAATGGTTTAGTATCGGCCTGAAAAACCAACAGCGGCGTAACATCATCGAGAGAATTGGAGCTGATACTCACAGCCAGTTGGGTCATTTCATTGAACCCCGGAAAGTGGCGGAGGAGAAGATGTTAGTTCTGCTATCTATCTTCGTGTTCACTGTCATAGAATTGGTCAAGCTTGTCCGGAAGATCGAACAAAGAAACACTGGCTAGATCTGTGCACAGCTCAAAGTCTTTCAGGCGATTGCTCAAGGACGGCCATGCGACCATCCTCGTATGCGGCCCCCTGCTTGCAAGACCAAAAGCACTGCAGTTTGCCGTTGTTTCCATCAAACACTGCCGCATTGTTCTCCCTCCTGTACGACACGACCTCGACTTAGCAATCGAGTCATCTAAAGTAGCTCTGTCTTTATCATTGGCAGAGGGGCCGTTGCTGTTGCGTACTCATCTGAGTCATCTCTCAATCGAACAGCCCACAGGCTTGTCTGGCGGCAATTTCAAGTTAACATGACAGACTCAGAGAAATCAAGAGCATAGTGTTCTGTATGTACAGGATTGGTGTATTAACAAGTAGCGATTGTCGCATTAGTTGGTAAGTCTAGGTTATTACAATTTATCATACTGAAGTCATCGTGTCGGCCGTTAAGAGAAAAGGAATGCATAGCCGGGAAGTCTTTCGCGACGGCTCCGTCACTTCAGGAGTCCAGCCAATGTTGATCCCCTCCAAGGGAGAGACGGAAGTCGGAAGCAACACTTTTGCGAGAGGATTGGATTCATCCCTCTACTGCGCCTTCTTAGCCTTGTCCAACTTCTTCTCCCGTCTGCGCTGGTGGGCTTCCGCGCCGGCCTCGGTATCCATGAGGTAGTCCCACCACCGGAAGCTAGACGCGTAGTTGCCGATGAATTTCTCGTGGTGCACGTCGTGGTGCTCGGCGCCGGCCCAGAAGGGGAGGAAGTGCCTCAGAGACCAGGGGAAGTCGTAACCGGAATGCGAGTCGATGGCTTGGAACAGGCGGAGGACGATCCACATGTACATGGTGAAGAGGTGCAGGTCCTTTGTGATGAGGACCCATAGAACAGGGGAACCAACTGTGCCGAGACCAAGGAACATGACCTCAATCGGAGAGGCGTACTCGGCCGTCATGCCAAAGGGGGCCGAGTAGTAGTGGTGCATCTTGTGGACGGCCTTGTACAGGGGAGGCCAGTGGGCGCCGCGGTGCATCCAGTAGTGCCAAGTGTCCTCGAGGACGAAGAAGATTGCAATCTGGTAGGCCATCTTCCACCAGGCGGGGAAGGGCACGCCGTAGTCAAGGCCGCACCAGGTGGCGATGGGATGGAAGAGCCAAATTTGCGGGAGCTCGACGGTGAAGTGACTGAAGAGAACTAGAGCGCCGCATTCAAATTGCTCCCTCCAAGTTGGGATTTTTTGCTGTTCAAAGTTAGCAACTGATACAGGTGGTCGTCTTTCACGTGTAGGATTCTGCTGAATGCATGGGACATGGCAAATGTGGGCGGAGTGACGTGCCTGTTGAATCTTCCACCTGCGGAAGTAGGGAATGGCGTCAATAATGATCCATGGCAGACTGCGACCAAAGTAGACGACTTCGTGCATGACAAAGGTCATGATGCCAGTGGCGAGGATGTCGTTCTGCATCCACAGGTACCACGCCGCCCATAAGCGCTCAATGGCGTTGAGTTGGACATTGTACTTGTTCACATCGTCGAGTACACCGAGGTAGGTTGTGGTAGATGTCTGGTTGGGAAACACGACGGTCGAATTCCTATGACAGCATTGTGTGTAAGCGGATAGTCAACTTGTAAGGTATCTAGGCGAGACGCTGCGGTTAACTTACCAGGACGCCATAGTATCAGACTCACCCCAAATGCAGGAGAGGCAAACTCAAAGAAGGCGATGTGCAACTCTCGAGATGCAACGGCAGCAACCAGAACAGAGAGGGGAATCTGGCAGAGTTGCGAAAGGGGTCAAGTTGAATTAATAAACCTGTGCACTCGGTGGAGACTGCGCGTGTTGGCGTTGAACGGGCTTTGGAAATGGATGGTTCTTCTCGAAGGGCGGGCGCAGGGGTCCAGACGCCGATGGGACGATAAAAATTCACCGGCATCCGCTCAGGTGTGGTACGATGACTGGCATGTTTTGCTGTGCCTGTTCTTGGTCTGTTCTTCTTGGAGACAAATGGAGGCATTGAACATGAATCCACCGATCCGAATACGAATTGGATGAGTTACGCCTCATGACCATTGCCATTGGCTCATTGTGAAGCTGATGAGATTGGCGAATCTGGTGACAGCTTCTCATCGCCTGCTCTTGATGAATGGCCCGGAGCCGTGTGTTTCCAGCTGAAGAGAGGCACAGAGGATCCATTCTCCATCCCCGGGCGACCCACTTCCCGATGGTCTGTTTGTGGTGTGATTTTGTCCACCGCGCTTGAGTCCCCGAGATTGCCGGCCTCAGGGGCATCGACGCCTGGCTCTGCTCCGTCCTGGGCTTGCGGATGGACTTCTGAAGCACCGAGACAAGGCAATGAGGATATTTGACGTTGCGATGGGCATTGGGTGATTTCTCGTTCATGGTCATTCCTGACAGTTGTTGGGGCCGAGCAACATGACAGATGGGTGATATGCGTGATGACCGACCACTACTGAGCAGATGGGCAAGGCGAGTATTGCACCTCAATCCATATACTCCGTAGGGCTGATGAAGTTCAAGGCGTCTTTTGAGTGCGGATAAGGTAGGCCTGGCAGTGAACTTTGTCGCCGTCCGCTCGGTATGATTGTGCATCCGGGTCGGACGCGAGATGCCCGGCATACCATGCACGTCTTCGGCGCACTAATGGGTCTGCCCGCCGTCGATTGTTCGGTTTTCAGCTCGCCGTTCTGCCCCATGTGGCCACAGACACGCGGCAGTCACTCGATTCGCGATGGAGCAGCCCCGAACTTGCTTGCAACGGCCGAAGGTGGGCACTCTTCGGGTCTGATGGTATCTTGCTCGGAGCAACTAGAAAAGTGAGGAACGGAACTTTCGGTGTGGAGATGATAGCTCATCCCGGCCTTGGAGATGTCCGAATACGGATGCCAATGTTGACCCTGGCTAGCGATAGTGCGTGTTGGAACTTGGATAAACATGGGTGCGCAAATTGCTGTCCGGGTTCAAGTCTTGCTGTCGCCGGTTCGTCATCAACGTCGTCGAAGATTCCACGTTTGCCATGCCCATCCTCCCTGCTAGTGACGCCAGAAGGTCTGGAGATGTCACGTCACCGGACCTGGGAGTTCTGAGCAAATGAGAGAAGAGCTCGGGAAGTTGTTATTGATTCATGTTGAAAGAATGCTTGGCTGGAAGCTGTACCGGCTGATGTGTCGGTAGCCGTCCTACTTGGAAGGCATTCTTGACATCTCGCAGGGTAGAGGGAGAAGGCTAGACCTGGACCACAGATTGGAATTTGAGGATTGTGAAGAACATATAGAATAAAAAAGCCTCCTTCAGTCTTTGTGGAGCCGAATCGAGGTCCCCGAAATCGTAGCGAAGGTGAGGCAGAAGAAGTGTTGTGGTGATGCATTTTTTGGTGTTGAGTGGAAATTCAGAGGTTCAAGTGTGGCTGAGGACCTCGGCGGTTCCAATGCTCCGACTGTGGCTCAACTGAGGCGGTGCACATCAGCCACTCAGCGCCAGCCACGCGACGACATTCGCGCCCAAAGCTCCCGCAGCTCTCTCCACTGGCACCACGCACCCACGCACCACACGCACCAACGCGAAGCACGCCCGCACACCACACACCGCATCGCAAGGCAGCTCTCTCTCTCTCTCTCAGTCCGTCTCGGCGGCAAGGGAAAAAAGAGGCTCAGCAGGTTCTCTGCCCTGGTCTCTGACCCCGTCCAGACCCCGTCGAGACCCAACCTCCTCCAGTCATCTCCCCAGTCACTTCAAGTCCGCGCCCACCTCGTGACCTCAGAGGCTCTCAGTCAAGATGACCCATCGTCGGCCGGGCCAGGGTGTCTTCGTTGTTTATCCAAGTTCTCGTTCTTGTTCTTGATTGTGGTCTGGCTGCAGGTCGTCACTCGCGAGGCCATCTTGGATGTGGCCCTGATTCACGCACACGCATAACAGCAAGCGTCGTGAATCCCCTCCAAAGTGTCGTCACGCTCTTCTTTTTCTTGCCTTTCTCCCGAGCGACACTTGGCAAATCTTTACCTTCTTTTTGACGCGACCTTTGCCCGCTGTCGCTATCGTATTCGAACTTTCCATCCTTTGCATCTTCCTTGGCCCTCCGGCTACTAGGACGAAGGCACTCGCGAACTTTGAACTAAGAAGAAAACAACGACGACGAACAACTTCACTGTTCAACTTGGGAGGGAGGAAACAATGGGATACATTGCAAACACACCCGAGGAACGCCTCGAGCGATCGGACTCGAAGAATCCAAAGACAACCTGCAAGGGCCTCACGGGCGCAGGAAACCTATGCCGCAACTCAGTCACGCCCGCGAGGGGCAAGATGCTTTCGCCAACGGTCAAGGAGGAGTCGCTCTACTGCCACCACCACAAAGACCAGGCCGCAAGTCGCTCTGCACAGTCGAGTCCCGGCCCTAGGTTGTCCGGCAGACCCATCTTGGAAGAGCGGACGAGCATCGACACCCTCGCAGACCGTCTAGGCCTGGTGGACGTAGGATCCAACCCAACCAAGAAACAGAAACGACCACAGGGGGGGCGGCTCAGCGGCGGTAGTGGCATGCAAACCACGAACGCCTCGAAGCCGCCGTCGGCATATACACGACCGCCGCAAAAGGAACGCAAGGAACTACACCTCTGCTGCTGCTTCAGCATCCCCATCGACGAAGTCCAGGAATCCCAGCCCGCCCCTCGGCCCCAGCCGCGACCGGTACAGAACGGCGGCTCCGCAGCCATGCCCCGGCCCTCGAGCCAGCTCCTGGCTCCTTCGAATTCGCGCCCGCGACCGAGCACGTCGAGCCACTCCCGGAAGAGCTCCCAGCAAGCGTCTCCCCAACCGCTCTCGACGTCCCAGACAGCGCAGTACCTGTCACTTATCCCGCCATCGACCGACCCCCAGACAGCCTCGGCGCTCATGGCGGAGTTGGCGAGGCCGTACGGCAACTCTGAAGAAGCGGGCTACATCTACATGTTCTGGATCACTCCGACTTCTAAAAAGGAGGCGGCGCCTGTGCAGGAGGCGAGATCGCTGCTCGCACCGCCTTCACCGGCCCGGGGCGTGGGACGCAACCGACGATCTAGCGACGTCGTGTCGGCCTTTGCGAATGCCAACGGCGGCGCATCGGGCGACAACAAGATGCTCATCAAGATTGGACGGGCACAGAACGTCCAGCGCAGGATGCAACAGTGGACAAAGCAGTGTTCCTACGAGATCGAGGTACTGCGGTACTACCCGTACATACCGGGAGCGAGCGCGGCATCGGGACAGCAACCGCGCATGACGCCGCATGTGCACCGCGTCGAGCGGCTCATTCACATTGAGCTGTCGGGCATGGGATTGCATGCCGGGCCCATAACGTGTGCCGGGTGCACTTCGGTGCACCGCGAGTGGTTTGAGGTGCAGACGTCCAAGAAGGGCATTGGCGCGGTGGACGATGTGATTCGGAGATGGGTTGACTGGGACGAGACGACTGTCTGAGTCTGGCGAGTTGATGAGGCTTGCTCGGACTGTGTTTGGAGTGCCTGTTAAGTGGTGATCAAGTGACCATTAACTGCTAGGCCTGTGTGTTTTTACTTGCACTCATTGCATGGCGGACGGCGTAAGGGAATCTTTCATCGCATTCGGACCTCGTATAGCATTTCAATCAGCATCATGATAGTATAGCAGATAGCAGACGGCATCCAAACTTCGGGGCAATAACAGAACCCTGCATTTCGGCAGCTGTCCGCGGGCCTCGCCCGATCGGGATTCCGCTGGTTCGGGTCACCAAGAAAAGACTCATGAATACAGACGGAGTACTCCTTGGACGTTTGAGTTTCACGTTTTTACTTGTACGTTTCCTCTGCAGGTTGATGCAATTTCAAAAGCCGATGGCGCAATTTGGGATCTCGACCCATAGCCTCCACGGTTCCTGGGCGGGTGGCAGCCGTACCCCGACCTCAGCTGAAGACAAGGTTCAATTACGGGGACTGTACGATGACTGGAAGATGAAAAGGAACAGAAACTGCAAGCATCCCACGCTGCTGCAGTTTCCATGTGTCATTGTGTATCTCTCCTTGCTTGAAGACGCGGGCTCTTTGGCTCTTTATCAAGTTGCCGATAGTGTTTGACTCTTGTAGACTTTTGATTATTACTGTACTTACGGATATATACAGCGTAACGGTCTTTGAGTCTCATAGCCAAGAGTACAGGCAGCACACACTGAAGATGGACTGATACAGTATGTACAGGTTGCTCCAGGTGTCCAGCAAAAGTCAAGGTCGGCACGGATGTGGTCCGAAGGTGCCACCACCTCCCCGCCCACCCTGCTCGTTGCATGCAGCATCCTGGGAATGCTGACGGCCTAATGCAGAACCAGAGGGACGGCGGGGGACACCACCGTTGGAGCCTTGGACTCTGCTCTTGAGGCGTGAGCGTCTGGGCGTCCCCCAGTTTCGAGGCCAAACTCTCAGTGCTCTCCACGCCCCGAAGCTCTGACTCGGACCGAATGAGTAAACATCAACTGGTTGCTCAGTGTTGATGTTGAAGGTTCGTTCGATCAGAGCTCAATGTTTTGGGTCTCACAGAAAACGAGCAGGAGGATAACTATTGATGAGAGTCTCACACCTCAGATAGTAGCCAGACAACCGTCTTCACTCGTCATTGCTCGCCCTGCCAAGCTTCGTGTTCTCGCGTGCCGAGCAAAGTGCCTCATCTCTTGGCCATCTCTTGACCATCTCTTGGACTTTTTTATTTTCCCACTCAGAGAGATGCTCGCTGCTGCTTGGCGCTGGCACAAATCCTCCGAGCAAACACGCACCCACCAACGAGCCCTACTAGTCTGTTAGTCCGTCGACGGGGGCAGCGTCACTTCATCAGGACTGGGGGGTGGCTGACCGGGGGCTGACCGGGGACGACGTCACTAGCTTGAGCAAGCTTTTCTGGTGGCGCATCTTCCGATGCTTGTCTTTGCTTGTCTCTTTTGGCAATCTTTGCTTGTCTCTTGTCGATCGCTGGTGTCGCCCCTGGGAACTCAATTGGCTCTTCAACGACATCGAGCCTCGCAAGGACTGAACCGGTGCCCGGGGGCGCCGCGGTCGTAAGAAACGTTCGTTCTACTCGGCCCGCTAGAGGGTTTAGAGTGGTCTCGCAGTATCCAATGCTATCTCTTGAACGACATTTTGATGGGGGTAGCAGCAACAAGTTCGCCTCCTCAAGGATACGCTACTGCAGATACTGGCAAGGTAGGCAAAAAGCTAGCACGGCTAGGTACCTCCAAGGCTCCAACAGTCTTCCCGAGCCGCGAAGCCATCCGCGATCCAGTTCCCCTTGGAGAGAGGCGCCGTCTATAGTTGGGCGTCTTCCCCATATCTTGCAATGACGTGCTCCGCGAGCCTGGGCCGGATTGTGATCCCTCTCGATGCCTCTGCTTCTCAAGAGCTTTGAGAGGCTCTGAAATCTCTGACCGGGGCGGAACTCGAGTTCCACCCACGCACCGGGGAGACCCTTCTCCTCCCCTTGTTCCCCTCTGCATGCTTTCATGTTTCCTGTCTGCATTGGCTGGTTTTTGACTGGAAGATGTCCGCCGGCGGGTATCGCAATCTCTGGCGAACGTTTTCGAGCAACTTTGCCATGTTCGAAACAAGTCGAGAGACGGGCAAAAGCGACATGGCAATACACCTGCTTTGTGGTGTCTCTTCAGGTATCGCCATCATCCCTTGACAAGGCGAATCCTTCTGCTCTCTCATAGTCTCACGCTCTCTAGAGATAACACCCTCCGCACTCCCTTCTCAGTTACTGCTTTTTGCGGATATGTTCTCGGTCTACTGCAGTCTCCTGCAAGTGGCATGCAACGAGTTCCCATCGCTCCCTCCGGCCCAGTTTACACTCCTGGTTCGCAAGGAGCCCGCGTCCATGGCTCCAGCCCTTCTTCAGCCGTTTCCAACTTCCCATGTCACCTTGCCATGTCGCATGTCTCTTCCCAACTGCCGGGATCATACTGCTGACGCCTGGCCAAGCTGATCTTTTTCCTCTTCACAAATAGCCTGTAGCTCTTTGCCTCCTTTGCCTCTCCTCGTACCCTTAAACTCGCACGTCCCACGTGCTCGCGCATTCCCTCCGTCATCCTGAGCCTGGAGTCTGTTCCGATCTCTACCTCCCTCTTGTCCTCGTCCCTGCGCCTCGTCCCTCCTCCTCTTCTACACCTCCGTCTCTTCTCTTCTTCTCCATCCGCCGCCCTGCCACTTGAGCGTCCGTGATCCGTCCCACCGTATCGTCACACCAGTATCCCATTACGCCATTGCCATCGATATCATCACCCGCCCGCATCGCGGAACTCCGTCGCCTCTACCCCTCCATTTCCCAGTGTCACCCGGCGCATCGCCGCGACTCAATTGGCGCGCCATGGATAAAGATCTTCGCCAACCCGAGCCCACGTCCAACGACAAGGGCTCCTCCGAGCTCGCCTTCGCCCGCGCCGATGCCGAGACGGGCGGCTCCTCTGGCTTCAGCGCCTGGTTCGGCGGCCGCAACACAAAGGTCGGCCCGCGGATTGCGCCTCGCAAGGAGGGCGTCGGAGAGGGCTCCGACAGCGAGGACAGCGCCGATGCCATATTGACCAAGCAGCTTGCGGAGGAGAATAGCCATGCGATCAAGTACAGGACGTGCAGCTGGCAAAAGACGGCCGGTCTGCTATTTTCCGAGTACATTTGTCTAGTGAGTTTCGGTTTTCGTGGCTATTTATCGCGTGGCGCATCGTGCTGACCGACAAAAGGCCATCATGAGTTTCCCATGGTCGTATAGTATTCTTGGACTGGTGCCCGGATTGATCCTCACTGCCGTCATCGCGCTTGTTGTTCTCTACACGTATGTTCCGACTCCCTCGTCCAGCTCGCCTCGACATAATACTGACTGCCCGTGTAGATCTTTGGTCCTTTGGCAATTCTGCATGAGACACCCCGAAGTTCGCGACGTCTGCGATATCGGCCAGATGCTCTTCTGGGGAAAGACATGGGCATGGTACGCTACGGCTGTCATGTTCATTCTGAACAACACTGTATGCCTCTTATTCTCGTCGCCAACATGGGCGCATTGCTAACACTCCGTGCGCAGTTCATTCAGGCTCTACACGTCCTCGTTGGCGCCAAGTACCTCAACACAATGACCGAATCCGATCCCGTCGTCTGTAGAACTGTCGTCTTCTCCATTGTCGTCACCATCATCTGCTGGCTCTGCTCGCTGCCTCGCACCTTTGACGCCCTTTCGAAAGCCGGAACCGCATCCGCAGCCTTCACCTTCATCTCGGTGCTTCTGGCTACCATCTTCGCTGGCATCCAGGCGCATCCCGCCGGCTACGACCCCCGATCAACATATGTCGACGAGACTACTGGCACAACAAAGACTGGAGGCGCCCCGATTGTCACGGCCATTCCCATTGCCGCCACTACCTTTGTCTCCGGAATGAATGCCTTCCTGAACATCAGCTACACTTTCATCGGCCAAATCACGTTGCCCAGTTTCATTGCGGAGATGAAGGATCCGAGGTAAGTCTAGTACCGTACTGTCGTTAATATATAGGTATGCTAAGCAAGGTCTAGGGACTTCCCCAAGGCCCTCTGGGCTGTCACTATTGGCGAGATCATCGTCTTCAGCATTGTCGGAGCTGTTGTCTACGCCTTTGTCGGAAACCAATACATGACTGCACCCGCCTTTGGCTCCCTCGAGGAGGTCTACAAGAAGGTGTCCTTCTCCTTCATGATCCCGACTCTTGTCTTCCTCGGCGTCTTGTACGCCAGCGTTTCGGCTAGATTTCTCTTCTTCCGTCTCTTCAAGGGCACCAAGCACTTGCACGAACACACTATCGTCGGCTGGGGTTCTTGGGCCACCATTCTCCTTGCCTTGTGGCTTTTGGCATTCTTGATTGCCGAACTTATCCCCTTCTTCTCTTCCCGTGAGTTTCATCGAATCAACGACACAGGTGCTTCGCTAACTAGACTCAGTGCTTTCACTCATGTCCTCTCTGTTCGACTCATTCTTCGGCTTCATCTTCTGGGGCGTTGCTTACTTCCGCATGCGAGGCGCCGATAATCGCGCCGGCGTCCCCAAGCCTGGAAAGCTTGCCGATCTTGCGACGATGGGTCTCAACATCATCATTATTCTCACCGGTCTTTTGTTCCTCACTGCCGGCACATACGCCAGTGTTGAAGGCATCATTGAAGAGTTTAGAGCGGGCACCGTCGGCAAGCCCTTTGGCTGCGCTAGCAACGGACTTTGAACCGGGCCCAACATCAGTTGCTTTTGTGCCGTTGTAAAAGATTGACACATGACTTGGAGCGTCGCTGCATGCTCGTAATCAGTATTATCGGAGGTAGAGGAGAACTAAAGCAACGATACCATAGTGTTTATTTACACGTACTTTTGGCTATGAATAGGCCAAGACGCAATTCCATAATCCATCTTTCGAACCCTCACTAATGATGTTGATAATCATGGCGCCTCAACACTAAATGTAGTATGAGATAATCCATTTCAAACAACAGATGCCATACGAGATGCTTGCTTGCTTATTGCGAGGCCATGGAAGTACCTCACTGCTATGCGAGCGGTGATGCCGTCATTACTCATAAAGGTAAAGCCGTCAAACGAACGAAACAATCATGCGGCTTCCTCGTCAACTGATCGTAAGCCCCCGCCGTGTTGAGTTCCTGCGGAAGGTCTTCGAGCTGGAAATTCTACAGCACGAGCACCACGAGCGTTCGAAAGTGCACATACGGCAGTTTTCTCCCGTAAGATCCCCGAGGCCCCGTGCTGAAAACCATAATTCGACCCCGCGTCGAGTTAAAACTGTTCTTTGTGCCATCCTCAGACCTGACGAGTCACCTCTCAGGCGCGTATATCGCCGTATTGGTACCCGATACATCACACCCGTGCCCAGAGACGTCTCCTCTCTTGGCCACCACGTGCTCCCGGCGTCCGCAGCGCCTCGTCAACGGAGAACCCAGGCACCTTATAATCCGCGCGAGCTCACACCCGGAAGACGACGGTGTCCTTGGGGGCCATCTTGGACACAACGGCGTTGGCGTACTTTGCCTCGACATGAAGGTGCTTCTTGAAGAACTCCCATAACTCGCCGTCGATGCGACCTCGTCATTGCCGTATGAGTCTCTACACGACCACCTAAGAATCATCTTGGTTGAAAGGGTCTTTTGAGGTTCCCGCAAATAGCCCGATGGGCTCCGATCCCACTCTGATCTTGAGCCCATTTAGTCTGGGATTCCAACTCAGCAGAGCTGTCAAGAGATCATTGGTTCAGAGGCTGTCAAAGTGAAGGAGGCGGACGCCCAGTTTGGTACTGATTGGACATGACCCCACTGACGAGACGACGAATTGCTTGATGAATTATGAACGCTGCTCTTGAGCTTCGATGGAGTATTCAGCACTTTGCATCCAGGGGAGTGCTAAGAGAGTGTGATATTCCATTCCACGAGAACTCTGCATCTTCTTGGTTTTGGATCGAGGTAGGGCTCAGCGTTGAGGCAACTATTTTGGCAATGGTCGTTGTTTAGGGAATGGAAATCTGGATGACTTGAACGTAGCCACGAATCCTTGCTCCAAATAAGACATATTAGCATACACGATCTCATGGTGAAAACAACTTTTATATCTGCAGACCCAGTTTCACGAATAGCAAGATTCAAGCTGTTCATCGTTCACACGATTCAGGACCGAAGCAAGGGGGACTCAACAACACATTACGAAGTACCGGTCTCATGAAACAATACGATGATTCTGAAGAAATCTTTGGTTCATCTTTTTGACATAGTCGCTAAGCATCTTTGGGATGTTGTGGGACCGCGGAGACCGGTTCAGGAGGACTGAAATCCCACCGCATGGCTCAGAACAACGGTTGAAGATCGGGGTTTTGCCTCAAGGGAGTCAGGAAGTTACTAAGATGGATCAGTTTGCGGTGATACACCACTATCGCGAGCTGCTCCTGTCGTCTTTTGAAGCAAACAGGAATTGTTGCAAGCCCCAGCTCCAAAATCTTCGGCTGAATTAGATCAACGTGGTCGGTCGGACGGTCCGCCCCGGATACGGGCACCAAGGTTTACGACGAATCCGGGGAGCATAAGCCGCCACACAAGGGTGGATAGAATTTTACATTGGACGATCCGCCATACTTTGCCTGAAATGCTCATACTTCCCGTCCCACACTCTCACGTTCGGCTACTCGCAGCTCCGTGGAGAAATGTAAACAAGCTGGAGGCATTGGCAAAGCTAATTGCCCGGGCTTTTGTGTATTTAACTTCCGTGTACATCTTTGTTTGTGTTCCGCGGGCATGTGAGAATCAGACCAAAACATCTCTCGGCAATTGTCCCCTCGCTCCAACATTTCTTCTTCTTCTATCACACCAGTCAGCACTTGAGCCCTTTTCCGAATACTCTTCAAGTCGTCGTATTGAGGAGGCCTTTGTTGACATGGACTCCACCGCTCTCCCACTGCACTGGTTCCCGCAGCTAGCCAGCCTGCTGACCCCTTACTCGGTATTGGCTGTTGTGGTGGTTCTCGTCACAATCCTCCCGATGGTCATGGACCGGGCCACCACGGGGATACCGATACCTAAAATCAGCAGCTCAAGGTCCTGGTTCGCCAGCAGGCAGGACTTTGCCGTCAATGGCGTCGAAATCATCGAGAAAGGCTTCAAGCAGGTGAAGAGCGGTGTATTTCGAGTGACGGCTCTCGATGGCTCCGATTTGGTTCTGATTGCGCCAGAACATTGGCTCGCGATCTGCAACAAGAAGGACGAGGAGGTCGCGCCGGCTCGTAAGGAGGTATGTTCATGAGGGCGCGACCGTCGAGTGCTTGTAGCTGAATTTGCCAGTTCTTCTTGTGCGACTTGCACGGCGCACCATTCGAGGAACCCTTCTTCTATCGCTATCTTGCCTCGCGCATGCCAGGTTTTGGTGCGTCTCATGCTACTCTCGTGATTGCGGTCGCTGTAACTAACAAAGGCTTGCAACTGAAGATCGTTATCTCGATGTGATATCCACGGCGTTGGACGAGGGTATATGCAGTGTTTTCGATCAGCCACCTCACACTTCCAAAGGAGGTAAGCTTCTCAATCGAAAGTCCTGTTCACACCCTTCTTGACTCTCGTCTCAAGAGCCTTGCTGACGCTGGTTTTCCAAAGCACCTAAGCGTGTCATCATGCAGCCGCAAATCCTGCATATTTACTCGCACGTCATATGGAGGGTCATTTTAGGTGATAGTTTCAAGCCCGAGGTGGTCGATATCTTTGAAACGTACTCCGCAACACTGATACCCGTGATGAAAGCACTGAAGGCCCAACGACCCGTGATGGCCCGAATTTCCGCCGCCTTCTCGAAGGAGGTCCGCCAAGTCAAGGCACAACTTGAGCGAGCCTTAGCAATCTTCGCACCTCTTCTTGAACAGTGTGCACAGGCACTAGAGCAGGGCCATGCAAAGAGCTCCTTAGACAATGAGTGGCTTGAGGAGCTGATCCGCATGGCGCCGGCTGAGAGGAGACGTGACTACAAGTACCTCAGCAACATCTTGATTGGCTTCGCCTTTACGTTTGTCTTCTCTCCTGGACCATCGACTACGCAAGTTGTGTACGAGTTCGCATTCCGCCCCGACTATATTGACCTCGTGCTGAAGGAGGCATACGATGTACTTGGAAAACGTCCTGAGCATTGGGGCTTCTCGCGAGACAATCTTCACAGCCTATCCTTGCTCGATAGCTTCTGCAAGGAGACTCATAAACACCATCCAACAGCAGCCTGTGAGCCTGGCCCTTTCCATTCATCACTGCTTTTCTCAAATGATTTGCTCAGAGCAGGGCGGTGACGACCAGCTTACTGACTCTCATCCTATAATTCTAGCCAATCTGATGAAGAAGATCCACAAGACTCAGACACTTCCCAATGGGGTGTTCCTACCAGCTGGCACGATATTTGAGGTGGTAATGACGGCTGCTCACCTATCCAACCCCAAACTCGAAGATCCCTCACGCTGGAACGGACGCCGGTACCACGACCTGCGGCAGAAAATGACGACGTCAATCGGCGCCAATAGATATGATTGGGGTTCAGCGACAAAGGACGACCTAAACTTTGGTTATGCCACACATACATGTCCTGGTCGTTGGGCTGGGTGCTCTATTGCCAAGATGTTTCTCATCAAGCTCTTGGCTTATTACCAGATCAGTCCCGAGGAAGGGGAGACCGAGAGATATCCGGACTTCCACTCTGGCCAATGTGTATGTACCTATCATCCATTCGTTTCCATGCCGGAATTGGGTAGTTCTGGGCTTCTCTCTCAAACCGCTGACAACGTTTCAGATTTCACCGAACCCGACCAAGCATATTATTCTCGAGCCGAGAATGCGGCAATGAAAGATGCACCTAACCCTCTTTCTCACCGAGGAAACCAACGGGCCTATGGTCTATGAGGTTGAGGAAATGGTAACTACTGACTCTCTGCTGCAATTATGAACGCATCGTGACAGCTCCCACAGGACAAAGAAAGACAGAAAATCCAGTACACATGTCCTTTGAGTCCGCAATCAGACATATCCGACTTGCCCGGAAGCAGCGTTCCCGTCATGACTCGTGCATGGAAGTGCCAAGACCTGCCATGAGATGCCCTCACTGATCTGATTCTGCTAAACCAGAGCAGTTTGCTCCTTTCAGCACACAACTAGGCTCTCAACGTTATGTGACTTGCACATGTCAAAATAGAACAGTATCCAAACTCTACTAGAGCTCAACCCATCCGAGCTTTCCAAACATCTGGTTGCTTGAGTTTGCTGATCAACCCGGGGCAGATAATGCGGAGAAATGACGCAAGTACTAGGATTACTCGCCTTGTCCCTGCAGATCTCCAACTCCAAGGCCGCAACATCAGATGACTTTGGCTGAAACGCAAGTGACGTTCCCGCAGCCCAAGCACCGTCGCCAGGCGTCTTCAACACTCCAGCCTCTTGAACCGTTGGGTTTGACTTCTTTGAAAACGCCACAAATAAGCTTGAAAACACCTCAAAGAACCTCATCACCTGAGACAATTTCCTGATCAACTTGGCAATCCATTCTAAAGTCTCGAAAACATGTCCAACCGTACCATTTGCGATGTCGACACGCCGGACCCCTGGGTTGTGGCCGGCAATGGCAAATTTTACTTCACTTTCACCCTCGACAACCGTATCGAAATATGGTGCTCCAATACCCTCGAGAATTTTCACCACTGTCACAAGAGTGTCGTTTGGCAACCGGCGCCGGGGACTCCGTGGTCGGTCAACATTTGGGCACCGGAGCTGCACTACCTCAAGAGCCGGTGGTATATCTACACCTGCGGCGCGCCGCCCGGAGTCGGGAACCCGGGCCATCGGACAACGGTCCTCCGATCGTCGTCCCAGGATCCGATGGACGCCTCCGCATGGGAGTTTCTAGGTCCGCTGAAGGGCATGCCGGATCACTGGTCTATCGACGCCACAGTCTTCAGCCCCAACGGGCATGATTTGTACTGCTGCTGGTCGGGGTGGCCTCTGGGGGATAATTCCGACACGCAGCAGGACCTGTTCTTGATTAAGCTTCGTGTCCCGGAAGAAGCCATCATAGACACACTACTTTGTATCTCGAGGGCTGAGCTAACGTGGGAGCGTCCCGATGAGGGCCGTCGGGGCGTTAATGAGGGCCCGACATGGGTCGATATCCCCGGCGTCTTCAGAGGCATCGTGTATTCGGCCGACGGAAGCTGGACTAGCGACTACAAGCTCGGCCTCCTGCCGCTCGTAGGACAGAACCCTCTGGATCCTGGCGCATGGGCTAAGCGATCGACACCGCTTATGGTCAGTCACAAGCGCTGCGGAGGTCCGTACGGGCCGGGGCACGCAAGTTTCTTGCCAAATCCACATGACCGAAACCGTGTTTACTGCATCTACCACGCGACAGCGAATTATGGTGAGGGATGGGCCAATCGGAAGGCGAGGGTAATTGACCTTGGGCCAGAGTGCTTTGGGCCTCATGCTCACTCAATATGCTGCTCGCTGGAACGTCACATTCCGAAGCATGGTCACGATAGGCCGCATAAGTCTTCATGTATCATGTCCTAGTATTCTATGTCTATATGCAAGAAAATATCTGTTCCACGTCCTTTAGTTCATCCATTCAGTTCTCCTAGACTGCGAAGTCTGACGGCAGCTTCAGGACTGATAGTCCCAAATGTTGTTGCGATCCATGAATATCATTCTCCATGAAGCTGCCGGCTGAAGCTTGCTTTCCCCCTCTGAACCGAGGTATTGTTACCTTGAATGCCAGAGCCGGCTCAAAGAATCCAATCCAAACAATATCGCTCTCGGAAATACCAAGAGCCTCGGCGACATTGATAGGAGATAGTAATTCTGAATCTCGAATCGCTCTGAAGATGCACTCAGTCTCGAAGATGACGTCCATTGTGATCTCGTAAGGCCCCGCATTCTTCGAACGAAGGACTCGGGAGATGTCCGAAAGAGTCCTTGGGTGACTTGCGATGCTCTTTGGGCTCGAAGGAGAATCCCGCGGGCTCGCGTGGGCTTTCTTGCCATTTGTCATCGGCCCATTTGTCGACTGAGACTCAGTGTCCGTTGGGAGAGGCTGGCTACTTCTTATTTCCTCGCCCTTTCCAAATATGGCAACTGAAGAGCGGAGCAGGCTTCTGTTTCCCTGGCTCTCTGATGTGACTGAGAGTCTTTCTTCACCCGGCTTGAGATCGATGAGATGGTACATCGAGAATTGGGCACATGGACCGGTCTCGATCTCTAGTTTCCCGGCAATCCCGAAAGCGAAGTTGCCAGATGTAGCCTTTTGGCCCGCGTATGGCCCATGCTAAGTTGCAGTTAGAAAGTATCAGGAGTGTGTGATAGAGTCATCCTTACAATCAATGCAATTCTTGCGGTCGATACAAGACCTGTCGCAAGTTCTTGTGTAGGGGCAATTGCTTCCGCGACGATGAATATCTCCCCAGGACCGGTGGGCGTACTCTGCCCTTTGCCATAAGTGTGGAAGTCTATATCCCAGTCACCGGACACATTTTTATGCTGCTGCTTGACGTAGGCTTTGACAAGAAGGAGCAAGTCGTCCAACTGCTCAATAAGTATATCTGCGCATTGTCAGTCTCGCAAGTCTGTTGAATTTGGGTAATAAATCCTCTGGATCCAACGACAACTTACGATCTTTGATACTCCCGAGAACAATGGACCGATATCCAAGAACGCGCGCAGCTTCTAGCTTAAATTGATATGACTTCCCACCGGCGATGGACGAGACAAAATGTGCCCCGCGCGCCCGGACAGTACGCTGATCGCTGAGCTGCTCATAGTGTGCCTGATCGAGATGAAGGGCACCTCCGGGCCCTCGCAGGATATCAGGCCTCGTATTTTCATACAGTGAATGCGCGGCTACTGACAGCGGCGTGCAGCGTGACCTGGGGGCGATTGGCCTGACATCGAACATGCCACTTTCGTAGACGGTGGCAACAGCGCCGTGGGACTTGGGCGTCGAGCATTGCCCGCCACACTCCATGATCTTGCCCATGTGCAAGAAACCGCCGTGTATTGACTCGATTTGGTCGTGAGTAATGCCCGGGTGCTGCCGTTTGAGCTGATACATGGAGTATGCAACGTAAGGAGCGGGATCGTATGCCCTTCCGCCGATGATGATATCGAAGTCAGGTGTGGCTTCCATAGCATCGACAAACGCCTCGGGGCCTATTTGTGCAACCACGCGAGTCGAATCTGTAACATCTTTAGGCGTTAATGGAGGCACGCAAACACCACAACCGGAGATCCCGCCAAGATTGAGTCGCTCGAGAATAACGGATTTGTCGATGCCAGAAAAGATTGAGACAGTTTTGAACGAGTATTGCCTTGTTCAATTAGCCAAGGAATGTAGCTTAGGATGGACAGGACTTACGAATTGCTCTCTTCTGCACAAATCTCTTCAATGATCTCTTCCATCAACTCCACGTGTTCATCGGAGCCGTCTCCCCCAGCGGAGCCGAAGACTAATGGAACCCGGAAGTTGTGTACGAGCTTCAGCAACTTGGTCAAGTCTCTGACGTATGCTGAACGAGGGCAAGTCATGGTGCCAAGGGCTAGCTTCTCGGGACCACTATCAGTTGACCCGGCGTCTAAGATAATGGCCGTTGGAATGCCGCTGGGAACGAGCTGTGCGAGTTCCTTGCCACAAGCATCCTCGTCAAAGCCATAACCCATGCACCCAACTGGTGTAACGATGTGGCAGAGAGGGTGTGGACCCATGCTTGCAGACTCTTGAAGAGCAGAACTCATACTGAGGGTGTGGTGTTTGCTCGGTGCGTCAACAAAATTGAAGTATTGAGATGTATGCGTGTTTTTGATACGGGATATTCTCTTTTAGACAATAGAACGATTCTTGATGATTCTTAAGACCAGCTCTTAAATCAGATCTAGATCGAATAAAGTCATGAAATCTCGTCGACCAAGGCGTTGAATCCTGTTCTAATCCTCTAACCCTTCGGTGATCCGGGAATATGGGTATTCTCCGTCAATGCCAGCGGGACGTATCCAGTGTCCTACGGGCATGTAAGTAAAAGATAGGATTACGACGCATTCGTCTTGATGCATCATTCTGATCAAGTGTGTTCGCGTACGTTTGGGACCGTAGTCAATATGTATGTGGCTTAGACGAGCCCCCCGTATCCGTGTCCGTAGGGGCTGGTGGTGCAGATTGGCGCATACTGAGCTTCCAATCAAGGTAATACCGTTGGCTCGAGCCTAGAAGGATCGAAGAATAACGGCAGCTAGCAAACATGTGGACCTTGGAAGTTGGATCTAAGATTCTAGTCCGTTCCCGTTCCCGTACCCGTCGGAAGAAGTGCACATTGCGCAACGGCCTAGCATGGCAGCGGCAGCGGAACGCGCCAGTTGCTGCGCCGCGCTGTCGCACGCCCCCGCATCGTCTTAGAATGCCACAATGCTTATTTTCTTATGGGGACGACGACTGAATGGGCGTACTTGGATATCTGGATCACTATCAGTCGAAGGATCTGAGTCTCTACGTGCTAGCTGGTAGAGTCAAGAGCGTCGTCAACTCCAGCTTGGCGATCGTAGGTGATTCCGTTGGGGACTTCGTTGTCGCTGACCCGTGCTGCTGCGCCTTGGCATCTCCTAGTCTTCAATCCTTCACAGCAATGCCACCGCAATGTTTGTTGGGAGTGGTTTATCAGAATGCACTCGTTGGAGATGGACAAGTTGACGCCAAGAGAGAAGTTGAGGTTCTTTAAAAGCATCGGGTCTGTTCAAATCACCAGACTGGAATCCCGAATGGAAAAGCATCACACCATCTCTTACCATTGTTCTCGCCGACCAACGCACAATCACACTCTAGAAGGTTGCGCAAATAACTGCCGGGGGGGAAACACAGCAAATTATTGTCAAATCTCATCTTACTCTGCGCGGAGCTATACCTAATTCTGTCCACCCCATTCGCCCGTTTAAAGTTTTGGCAAATATTTGCTAAGCGATGAACCCCTTTCCCGATAAGATCAGCCCTGGCGACATGGGGTCGATCACGACCAACAACATCGAGTTGACGGAGTCGCCCTCTCCGTCCTACATAACAGAGACGAGGGGCGGACGAGAACGAGATCTTGCGCCAGACGAAACCAGTCGCGTCCGAGACGAGTCAACGAACCCTCTCATGAAGTCAATCAGCACCACGTCTGTCACCAATGTGCCAGAGGAGGAAAAGGACCTGCCTCTGGGCCAGGCCATTCGCCAGTACCCCAAGGTCGTAGCGTACTGCCTGTCGCTGACAATCGTCGTCATCGGATGGGGTTACGCGTTGGTCATTGTCGGCTCCATCGTCGCCGTCGAGCCCTTCCAGCACGATTATGGAGAATTGTACAAGGACAAATGGATCATTCCATCACTCTGGGTGTCGCTATGGTCGGCTGCCATTCCCCTCGGCATGGCCATCGGCTCCGTCTTTGCAGGATGGTATCAGGATCGCGTCGGGCGTATTTGGAGCTTGCGGACAGGTGCGATAATTTGCGCTATTGGTGTCGCGGGCATCTTCTTCTCTTACCTCCCCGCGAATATCGAGACCATGCGAGCCCTCTTCTTTGCCGGCAAAACCGTGCAAGGGATTGCCATTGGGATACTCAAAGTCACCGCAATGACGTTCATTTCTGAGACAGCGCCGACATCTCTGCGTGCCTCGGTCATGGGCTTGGTGCCGACGGGAAATTTGTTGGGTCAACTGCTGGGATCGATTGTCGTCTTCCTCGTCAACAAAGCACCTAACAGGACCGGATACCTCGTCGCGTTTGGCTCTCAATGGCTTCTCGCAGTCGTTCCTTTCATTCTCTCGGTCATCATCCCCGAAAGTCCAGCTTATCTCGAGGAACGCGGACAGTCCGATAGAGCTCTTGAGTCTTCCCGTAAGCTCTACGCACCTAAAGTGGATGCCGCGAAGGTCCTGGAGAAGGTCCGGGCTAGCATTGCCCAGGAAAAGGAGGCTACATCGGGAGCGACGTACTTGACCTGCTTCCAGGGTGTCAACACTCGACGAACAATGATTGTCATCATGGCCAATCTGCTCCCAGCGATGTTTGGTCTTGACCTTATTGCCAAGTCAAGCTACTTCTTGCAGACCATTGGTATGAAGTCGAGCACCAGTCTCATGATTCTCATCGGCGGCATTGTTGCTGGCACATTCGCAAACGGCGTCGGTCTCTGGGTTCTGTCGAGAGTTGGACGCAGAAAGGTCACGCTGATCTCGATGTCAATCTCCACTATCCTCTGGATTGCTGTAGGTATCTCTGGCATATGGAGAGGACCAGCGGTGGCGTATTTCACCGCCGGAGGGTGCATCGCCATCATCATCGTCTGCGGTATGGGCGCGTGGCCTGCTGGCTATGCGATCATGGGCGAAACAAGTTCGTTGAGGTTGCGAGCAAAGACTCAGGGTATTGGTGGCGTTGCTCAGCAAGGATCTTCTGTGTTGATCAACTTCCTCCTCCCTCTGGCCTACAATCCGGACGCAGGAAACTGGGGAGGGAAGACGGGCTTTATCTACGTTGGGTTGTGTGCTTTAGGAGTCCTACTTTCTTGGCTCTTCTTGCCAGAGATGAAGGGACGAAGCGTGATGGAGATTGACCACATGTTCAACATCAAGCTGCCCGCGCGGCAGTTCAAGAAGTGGAGAGGTGATGTCGAGTCAAAGTAGGAAGAGTGTAGAAGTAGAACGCTAATGTGAACTTGCCCGTAACATTCAGGTGTATCAATCGTCTACTTCTCCTGCCTTAAGCCTTGGTGTGCGTGCTCCAGGCCGTTCTCAAAGCATCTACAACTGAGCTCGTAGGCCAGGCATGCATCGTCTCAAGCATATCCATGAAGCCGACGACAGCCTTCTGTTCCCCCTCGTCACGGAAGTACTCCCCACACAATGACACACCAACTCCAGCTGTGACCATTGATGGTTGATCCTTGCGATTGGATATAGCTAAACCGCAAATCTTCCTGGTCGAATCCCTCAGGGTTTCCTCCAACACCTGATTTGCAGCTTGCGCGCCAATGCCGAGCCGTTGGTTCTTGGCCCCGTGCACAGCCAAGACAATTCGCATGAGTTCGATGTGCTGGAGCGCCAGCACCTGACAATCATTGGCATGCCATACTGTGGGAAAGTACTCCCCCTTCTCCGGGTTTCGCCTTAGGTAGGCAAGGGGCTTGAAGTGAGGTGGCTGGTGCGTGTCCCAGTTATGCTGAAAGGCCTCGATGGCTTTCAATTGATCGGCTCGTATTTTTGGATCCTCAGTTTCAACAGTGCCCTCGGAACTCGTGCCGAAGCAGAACTTGACGACGTATGCGCACCAGACCAGAATACGATTGGCCCAGTCAAAGTCGTCGGCAACGGAATCGTGGTCGAACAAGGAGCAGTCCTCGGTTCCGTAGAGGGGTAATCGAAACGGTCTTCGATAGAGAAGAACAGACCATATCTCTTGGCGGAGGGCAATTAGTGTTGCAGAATGTCGAAGAGATGGCATGGTCGGCGCATAGATGTCGGGACCGCGGGGAGGGTGGTAAACAATGCTAAAGAGTCCGATTGTCTCCTCCTGTTGAGCATGAAAGACAGCTTGGACAGCATTGATGTAGGTTTCGTGATCGGTTCCGGTAAGGTGCGCTGTAATATTGAGACCAGTGAGTAGTGTTTCGCCTTAAGAGGGACATCAAATCTCGTACTGTCTACTTGTTCATGATATCGTAGAATCGTAATAGCAGTCAATGCATCGTCCGTACACGGGTTCGCAGGATCAGTCGAAGTATCCATCAGATAGGAGATGGACTTGCTGTGATAATGTATCGCCGACTCTTTGTCTAAATCCGGGAGAGGAATCCCATTAAACTCTATAACCTGATTTGACGGCTTCTTTGACCAGATCTGTGTGAGAAACCTGGCCGATGCAGTACAGATTGCGTTCATCAGCAACGGATTATGCATGGCTCGTTGCGGAACTACAGTAATGTAGTGTCGGTCCCTATCGGACGTGTCAAACTATTGAAGCTGTTAGCAAAGTCGAGAAGGATGGAGGTGTCCGACCAATTTCGTCCAGCATCGAGTGTCCAACTTACAGCTGCAGCCAGATGTTCTATGAAGCAACGGATCAGACAACCCTCTTGGAGACCAACGTGCAGCTCCCCACCCAGGCTCCTCGATAACGAAGATGATCGTCCGCGGTTATCTCCTAGTGGTAGTTGCCATTGCTGGGAGAGTACGCTCAATCTGCTGCCTCCAGTGTCGGGAGTCCTTCGACCCCATCCATCTGGTATCGACTGTGGGACCGACGGGCTGGGAGCTGAGAATCCAGAGTACGGAGTGTCTATTGTGGAAGAGGCTGCTGGAGTATCAGCGAGGTTGGGATCAATGGCATCTTCAAACGCTATTTGAGGAATATCGTCAGGGGTTGTTTCTCCTCTTGGCGGCGACTGATTCGTTCGAAGTCGAGATTGATGGGATGGGACTCTCGACGTGCCGATGGACTCGGATGGATTACTGCGTTCTATTTGTGAGATAGACTGTAGCAGTCCCGCCGCAACAGTTATTTGGTCGTGAATCTGGTCATCGTGTTGGTTATTTGCTTCTCCATTTTGAGAAATTATATCGGAAATCGGTGCTGCTGATGCATGCTTTGGTTTCGAGGGCGTATCTCCTGATGGTTTCCTGGATTCATCGACAATAGCGAGAGGTCGAGCCTGGACTAAACGTTGCCATGTTTGTGTTAGGGCTGAGATGTGTCAACGAGTGGAGAGGGAGAGGGTCGGTCTTACAAGTGTCCGGGGTCGTCTGTAACCAAGGCTGATCGACGTCGAAGGAAAATCGTTTCTCGGTCGTAACTACTCTTTTGAACCTGAATTTGTTGTTCACTCGCGTACACCGGGACTCCGACTTCTTGCAGTGAGAACATGGGATGTCGCCGTCGCCTAGAGTCCAGGAGAGGTTAAAACAACCGGACAATAGATACTTCAACCGTGAAATCCCATCCCAGGACAAGGTCCGAAGGACAGGGAGAATGGATATTGTCTTACATTTCAGATGTTTTGCTGTGTTGCAGCAAATCGATGAAATCAGTTCTCGACGTTCCACTGACATCACCAAAATCAAAACAAGGGGTGATGTTGAGGATTTCAGCCCGCGCTTCCCGCGGCTTACTCGGGGTGCGTATAAGACGGCATTATATCCGATAATAGAGAAGGAAAAATCACCAATGATCGAACTCGCAATCCCGCAATCCTACTTACCTCTGCATTTCACGCAGGGCACAATCCGCTCGCGTCGCTGTGGTGGAGCCATCCCTTCCCGTCCCGAAGTAGGACAATCAGACCATGGCTAAGATGGAGGAGGGAAGAGTGATGGGAAGGAGGAGATGGGATGCAGAGGATGGCGCCCAGGTTGGTAGCATTTCGCCGATGGACTGCTCAGTGAGATGGGGCGGTAGAGGGCATATAAAGAGGGACATTACTCGGCGAAAGTAGCGGCATGTGGCCTAGCCGTGGCTTAGCTAGCGGCCTATCCATGCTCTGACTCGCCCTACTTCACGCTGTTCTCATGTTCTGCTACCTAAGCGTGCTAAGTTAATTGTTAGGGTTTCCCCTCAGCCCGTATCCGTGCATGGCGCCACGGATGAGTGTCGATTTCGCTCTTCTACATTTCAGTAAAAGTCTGCTGAATAGGCCTGATTGGATAGAGTACATTCATCTGGCTATACGTAAATCCGTAAAGTGAGGTGAATACGTGGATGTCCGTAATGCGCAGCGCGCCCATGTTTTGTCTGCCACCCGAATTCTCGTTTCGTGGAGGGGAAAGGTGGAACAACGACGCCCTTGAGACAGTGGCTACGGAAACCATGCCTTGGACAAGATGGAGCCGGGGGAGCGTGCGGATGCAAGATCACTCGACATTACACGACAATTACTTCAGATTGTGATAGGTGCACTGGATGCTCTGCGTCTTCTTATATTTCAATAGATATTTCTCATCAAATCGCTACATCACAATTCTTTCGATTGAACTCAAGTCAAGCTCGGGACACAGTAATCGAGTTGTACTTGGGGTCAGTCCAGACTTCTTCGATGATGCGGCGGCGGATATCCTGCTCCTCGACCACGCTGTTATCACCAAACAGCTCAGAAATCTGTTCGAGAGACTTGTGGGCAGTCTCGGGCACCAAGAAGAAGGAAAAGACACCTGCGGCAACACAGAACAATCCGAAGAACAGATAGGTGCCCCATCCAAGCTTAATGACCATCTCCGGTACGCAAACGCCGATGATGAAATTAGCCAGCCAGATCATGGCAGTCGCAGCACCAACACCCTTGGCGCGTTTGGAGTTAGGAAAGACCTCGGCAGGCAACGTCCAGGCAAGAGGGCCGTAACTAAGAGAGCACCAAGTCAGCACGTGGGTATGATGTCGAAACGCTGTTATCGACTTACGAAGTCGCGTAGCAGAGAACGTAGATATCTGCAGAACGTGTCAGCAATTGTCGTTTGCAATCAAGAACCCGGATCAACTTACAGATGAGGGCGACACCGAACCAGCCCATTGCGGGGTGCTCATCCCACGAGGAGCTGAACTTGCCGACAACCCCAGCCATGATCAGGTGGGGAACAGCCATCGCAAAACCACCACCAATGGCGAGCTTTCTGCGACCAACTTGATCTAGGAAAAGGAACGTGGGGATACCGGCAACAAGCTGGCAGATGTTGACCATGCCGGAGAGAATAAGGGGCATGTCACCCTTTTGTCCTAGGGCGGCAAAGAACGTTGGCGCGTAGTACACGAACGCGTTGATTCCACTGAACTGAAATGGCTGTCAGTATTATGACATCAGTCAGCGCCCATCATGGATCATTACCTGTTGGAAAAATGGAATGCCAAGGGCAATAGTCGTGCGCTTCAGGTATCTGGGCTTGAAGAGGTCTGCCCACTGGTTCAACTCTGCCGTGAAAGCATTGGAGCTCGGGTGTTCCCGAGCGAGCGTGGCCTGCTGGAAGCGAACTTCAGACAGGATTCCCTTCCATTCGGCCTGGACTCGCTCGTCTGTTGTTGGAACACGGCGCAACTTCGTAAGAGACCTCAGACTGTCTTCATCACGACCCACCATGGCAAGCCATCGAGGCGAGAAGGGGAAGAAGTGGATTCCAAGGCCGACCATCAGGGCCGGTGCCATTTGCAGAGCAAAAGGCAATCTGAAAGCCCATTCTCCATCCATGTGTCTTGTTGCAAATGTGATCCAATAAGCAATAATGGCACCGATTACGATGCTGATAGACTCGAGTACGAGAAGGGAACCGCGAAGGTTTGGGGGCGCAATTTCTGAGATGTAGAGCGGCGCACCCATTGCCAGAGTTCCCACTCCCACGCCACCGATGGTGCGGCCCGCCACAAGCGTTCCGTAGTTGTGAGCAGCGGTCTGGATAATGGCACCGACGCAGAAGAAGAAAGTTGCGATAGTCAGAGCCCACTTGCGAGAGATCTTATCGGCGAGATACGGGAGGAAAAGGCAGCCGATGAAGGCTCCGAACTCGAGCATGCCGGTCATGAACCCGGTGTAGAAGCCATATCTGGGGCCACCGGGAGCGGTCTCGGGAAACCAGTCGTGGAACTGCGGCATTACGAGGATGATGGAGATGACACCCTGGTCTTGTGGGCGTCAGCAACGCGCTCAGAGATCTCGCAGTTTCGAGTCAAAGTCCGGGTCTTACCGTAGCCAAACGAGAAACCACCGAAAGAGGCGAGCAACGCGGCACCCAGAACGTACGGAGATCGCACGATACCCTTGATGCCATCACTGTCGTAGTTGATAGGCGCATCGGCCTGGGCCAGGATGTTGTTGTTCACATCTTCAACTTGGCTTTGAGAGCCGCTGCGAGAGGTTCGCTTTTCCAGGTCGGACATGGCTGTTGCGTGGTGGAGAGAGAGGAAAAGGGCTCAGTACGTTAAACAAAGACAGTCAAGAGTATTAGCCAAGTCACAGCTATCTTGACCGAAGTAGCAGCTTCCAAATTGGTGACGCGACTCGAAGGCTGGCAAGAGGCTTGTTCAAGCATAAACTCATCTAAACATTCTCCGATGAACTCTTTATACTTTCAACACGTCCAAGATTTCTAGATACCAGACCGTCGCGAACCTTGGCACGGGCCTACCCAATCATTTTGCATGTAATCAGAGTGCGGGGAGCAGCATCTCACGAGGTTCTGGGGAAAGATGCCCGAGAGCTAACGATGTCCCCCATGGGGAAGAAGCCCTGTCACTCTTTGGATTTGGCATAGCCATTCCCGGGAGTTCGTTGATTAGCATGCCAAGAATGATGTAGCTCGTGGTTGGCTGGGTTTGCGACAACGAGCATATCCGTACATCATCGTGCAAAGGATATGTGTTGACCCGCCGAAACGGCATGGGCCTGAGTCGGGCTGACTCTGTCGAGACTACCAACGATGCCATCCGAATAAAGTAGGTTTTCGCCGGAAGTCCGGCGAAACCTTGCCTTTTTGGGACATTTGAAGGCCGGGCCCCCACTGCTCCGCTCCGCAACTGAGATTCAAACTCCACCTTGTCACTCCGTGCTAGGCCATTAAACACCAGACTAAAGACACTGGCGTCAGCTCTGACCTTTCTTGAGACGTTGGATCCAACAACGTATCCGGCAGGGAGGTAAGCTGGCTTGACGTTTGTTTATTATCCGGATGTACAGCATGCGGGGGCCTGTCATGCAGCTGCGGCACCAATGGTATCCCATGGAATCTAACCTAGCAAGGCTCATGACGGCCCAGTTGGATCAAGTCGCCTACTATAGTAAATCACAAGGAAGAAAGCCTAGATAATAACACTCTCTAGCTGAGTTTAGACGTATTACAGTCTCCGATAATAATCGGTCAGGTCGGGCCATCGGGATGTCTGACCGGCCACGTCGCCGCGAATGACTGCATGTAGAAGCCAACGACAAGGGCGCCGAAAATTACCTGATGAAAAGAAAGCATGGAATCAGGTCTACATCACGATGATTGGGATTCCATGGATTCTCCATTCGATTATGGAAGATGAACAGAAGGCGGCGGGGCAGTCCAGCATGAATCCGCCTCGCAATCTCTTTAAACGATTGTGAGAGCAACGTTTTAGGCAAAGTTTTCGTTCTTGAGCTGAATAAGAACTGCCAAAAATATCTCCTTGACACATCTGAGATAGCTTGTATGAATAATGTTGAGAGTTGGCGGTTGATAAAGTAAGGCCTTAGATGTATCGTTGCTGAGGGAAGTCGCCTAACAAAGTTCAGGAAAGATTTTGGAGTTTGGCATTTCGAAAAAATTGCGAAAATCATCTACTCTACGGTAATTTTTGATACCATAGGTGTCATACTGTCATTTGTAGGCAAATGTACAAAGTCGGGTGGATGATGAAAAGAAGCTGTTATCCAAGTTGATTCCGTTGCCACTGTCCGTAAACCTTGGACGCCACCCGCGACCCATCGATGTCCAAGACTCCAAGCTTCATCATTTTGTAGGCTCGACTGGGGCCTTTAAACGATTTTTCCAGTCAAATCCATTCCTTTGATTTCAAACGCATCCCATCCCCATTTGCGGCTGCATCTGTCACACTTTTTGCTCCTGTTGACTGTCATCACCGACCCCTCTTCCAATGCAAATGTCGAGGAGTAAGACCTAATATGCCGAAACCCAATATGCCTTCAGCTCCATTCAAGATCACGGTTCTCTTCGACCTTGACAGCACCTTGTTCGCTCACTACCACTCACTAAGCTGCGGCATTTCAGCAATTCGTTAAAGGTATTCCGCCCTCGCGAGCTTCAACCTGACGGATCTCATCAATCAGTACAACACATCGCTTCAATTAGCCTACTATGAGTATCTCCGGGGAATCATAATAAATTATAAAGCCGATTATAGGAAGGTTCGGTTGTTCTTTCAGGGGTCAGGTCTCGATGTACCAGATAACGCAGGTATTACCGGATTCCGGGGCATCTATAGACCAGCTTATCGCAATAGCCAAAGGGCAACGGTAAGAAGTATTAAGATACTTGTACGGCTACGAAGTAAAGGCTTTAGTCTAGCTATAATTACGAATAGCTAGGCAAAGGACTAAATAGAGAAGGCAAAAGCTATTAGGGTACATAACCTTGTAGACTATATAATCACCTTAGAAGAAGCAGGTTACTATAAGCTAGATAAGGTTATTTTCTAACTTGCTATGGATGCTTTAGGCTACTATCTAAGCGAGACCTATATGGTTAATGATTCTGTAGGGTCTGACATTAGGGAGGCGCTTGATAGCGGTATAATCACCATCCTCTTTTCGCCACTTTCAACAGACAGCCACCGGGCAGTCAGCGGGAAGACTGTACCCATTATTCGCTACATGTCTCAACTCGTTGGGATTCTTGGGGGATCTTCAGGGAAGCTTGATACATGAGTGGCTTTGTTTCGCCGTGGGCGTGAGCTGGCGGTGGAGACTCGGCGAAGAATCGGGAAATCTGTCGTGGTGTGCAGTTAGAAGGCTGCATTGAGGATTCATTCCAGACTCTAAAGATTCCAAAAGATTGTAGAAGTGGTAGAGTAACTTGTATTCAACCGTCTTCTATGTAAGGTAGAGAGTGTCATATTGATATACCTGCTGCATCCAACCAAACAACAAGCTGAAATCACTCCAACTTCCTCCGCCAGATCTTGACCGGTAAAGCCCCGCAGATGATGTTGAAGGCCTCATGCCTCTGCAATACAAACTCAGGAGAGGGCAGAGCGAATTCATACCTGTGAACAAGCGAAGCCAGAACCATGATCTGTTCTAGGTACGAGATATTCCTGCCTAAACAACCCCTGGCTCCAGTTGAGAATGGGATGAAATAGGGCTCCATTCGCTTCCTCTCTTCGGGGTCAAGCCATCTCTCGGGCTTGAACACCTCGGGGTCTGGGAATATCTTGGGGTCCCTATGAGCGCCGTATATCGTCATCGATACACTTATGTCGCCAGGAATCCACTCGTCCAGAATCCGAGCACCCTCCGGTGGGGTGCGGCGGGGAAGAGGTGCGGAAGTCGGCGGGATAATACGAAGAGCTTCGTCGATACAAGCACGCAGGAATGGAAGATCTTTGACTTTATCATAAGGAGCTATGACTTCGTCAGAGTCCAATACGCTGTCGACTTCGTTGCGAAGCTTCTTCATTTGGTTTGGGTGCTTGATCAAAAGCTCTAGGATGTGCGTCAAGGCGATAGCTGTGGTGTCTGATCCAGCGTTGATGATACCGCCGACTTCCGCCACGATCTCACCCCAATCGAGGTTGTTCGGGCTTCCCGTCTTGTCTTCCATCATGCAGGTGAAGAAGTCGTCGAGCTGTTCCCCGGTTTGGTATCTGCTCAGTCTTTCAGCGGCGGCATGGTAGTAACAATCGTTCCATGGCTCGAAGTCTTTCCACATCTTCTGCCATCGGCTGGGGATTGTCTTTGAAAACCACTCGACCCAAGGCCAAAGATCGTAGTCCCACACAAAAACCGCCTGTGCGATGGCCCCTTGGTTCATGGAGTGACGATATCGAGCTTTGTATGTAGTGCCATCGCGCTTCTCAGCTGTGACAACATCTGTTCCGGTATCTAAGAGGTCCATATGAGTCGAAAGAGTGATGTAGTTGATTGCTTCGATGGTCCAGAGGTTGATCCAGTGGTTGAAGTCGATAGTGAGGTCCTCAGGACTCGGGATGGTGCCCTTGAGAGGGTCTGTGCATTTTCCGTCAAAAGCTTTGAAGAGTCTTTCAGCCGTGTAAGCAACCTTGTACTCCCACTTCTCCAGGTTTTTGATAGCAAATGCTGCAGAAAGCAGCTTGCGTTTGCCGGCATGTTCGGGCTTATCCACTACATCAAAGAGGTTACGATGCGTCCCACTCAAGACAACGTAATTGTTATCTTTGACGCACTTGGTGCTATGACCGTATATATCTTTGATGGCTCTAGTATCTCCAAAAGACAGCGCGTTGGGGCCTGTTCTCAAGATAGGAAAGCCGGTGTTCTTGTGTGTTTCGTACAGTTCCTTAGATCTGAACCCTTGGGCGCTGAGATAGCAGTGCCTGAGGTCCGTCAATGGTGACAAGGGCGAGTAGTTGGAGTATTTGCGAAGGCCCTTGGGGTCGTAAAAGTACAAGATGATAGGTCGAATGACGAGATAGGAAATGGCTGCAAAGGCAACACCTGCCAGCGCAAGAAGGCCGAGCATGGTGAAAATCAGACCAGGCGTGTACGTATAGGCTGTTACTCTGAAATCGCTGATGAGATGTTTGGTGGTTTCTGATCACCTCGAATAATCCTCGTGGGATATTAAGGAAGCGTTTTATATTCCACCTTTGATGACTTTGAGGTCAAGAATTGACCCAAATCGTCTGCAGTTGCTACACAGGCTCGCGGTTGTCACAAGACGGCCAAGTGGAGTATTTATTTCCGCGGGATATGCATGGCTCTAGATTAACGGCAGTAGCAAGACACTACTGAGGATGATGCAAAGGCAACTCAGTCCGCAATGACATATGTCAGAATACGAGGCGTGGAACGCGCGGAGGTTAGAGATATTCTGGAATGAGGGGTTGTGCCATCTCTCGAAGGAGAAAGATATCGCCGTAAACTCGGTGTTGCGGATTATCAAACCATCTCGAGATATCTTTCGGCGAAACATTTCCTAATCTAGGTGTGCAACGATCATATTTGAATACTGGCAGGGCCTAGTCAGTGTATCACCTTGCCACTAACCTCCCCGCATGCGGGGTTGCACTTTCACCCCGGGGGGGAGCACACATCATCTCAATATCTCCAGGGCTGGACGGGTGTCGGGGGCTCAGGGATGACAAGGGGTACGTGTGTAAACCAAAGAATCGGCGAAATTATCCCATTGTATCAGGAAGTACATGTTCGAAGCCAGTCAAGCAGAGTTTCTTGCGATGGTCACCTTAGCGTCAGTCTTCGGTATTCGGAAACACATGCTTATACTCCGTTTTCGACATTGGGCTACTGTTTGTTGGAAATCATCATCATCTAAAATGCAATAAGAAACTCGGTTTTTGGGCGCCAATCCACAACACCAGACATTTCCCCCTTCTTTTCACCCCAATTCATCCAGTTTCATTGCCAAGTATGGAGGCCTACTCTAGACTGAATACCCAGAATCGCCTTTTAACTGATGCTATCAACCTTGTCTCCAAGAGGAGTAGCTATGACGACATCTTTCTCTTACCTTTGGTTGTCTTGGGCTCCCTGTACGTCTTCAACAAAGGAAGCCTTCTGCCGAGAAGAGACCCATATCGCTACAAATGGTTTGAGAAACCACAACTGCAACAAACGCAAAATCTTCTTGTTGAGAAGAAGACACGCAACATCTCGAAAAAGATTGAAGAGCTCGAATCTGATATTGTCATCTTTTGGGGCTCCCAGTCCGGCACCGCAGAGGCCTTTGCTCACCGACTTGCTCGAGATTTCCACCAAAGATTCAAGCTCAACGCTCTAGTAGCGGACCTGTCCGACTATGACCCAGAGACCATTTCTCTTATTCCGGGGTCGAAGTTGGCTGTGTTTATCATGTCGACCTATGGTGAGGGCGACCCAAGCGACAATGCTCAAGATTTTGTCAGCTGGGCTGACGCAGCCACCGGTGTCTCCCTCGCCCACCTCAACTATGCCGCTTTCGGCTGCGGCAACAGCAACTACCGCTTCTACAACAAAGTCATAGATGATGTCGTCGTCGCCTTGTCCAAGTTCAGCGCCACTGCGGTTCTGCCCACTGGCAAGGGCAATGAAGCTACCCGGATGACAGAAGAAGACTTCAAGGACTGGAAAGAGAGTCTTTTTGAGTCACTGGTCTCCAATTTCGACTACAAGGAGCATGAAGTAGCATACGAGCCCAGCGTAGGCATTGTTCACTGCGACAGTAATGACTTGCACGAGGGCGAGCCGTTCTACAAACCTCACTCGAGAAAAGCAACTACACTCCACTCTCCTATTGCTTTCCTTCCCGTTAAGGCTAAGCGAGAAGTCGTGAGATACGACGAGAAAGGCCGTAGTTGCATCGATCTCGAAGTGGATCTCACTGCTCACCCCGAAATCAAGTACAAGACTGGAGATCACATCGCTATCTGGCCCGTGAATCCAGATGAGGAAATCGGCCTTCTTATTCGCAGTCTCGGACTCCAATCCCAGCAACTGAAAGCTATCTACGTTGTCCTCCAGTCGGCAGACGAGGAGCCAAAGGTTCCTAGCCCGACAACAGTGCAGGCTTTGTTCCGGCACTATCTGGACATCTGTTCCGCAGTTCCTCGCGAGACAGTTTTATCATTAGCTCAATTCGCACCGAGTCAAAAGGTCAAGACGGAGCTGATGACAATCGGCAAGGACAGGGAGGTTTACTCCAAGTTTCTCGAAGCAAACCATTTGACCATGGCCCGACTTCTCGAGCACACCGTTGCCGTCGACCCTGCGGTCACATGGACTGGTTTACCACTCTCATTCATTATCGACTTCCTGCCTGCCATGCAGCCACGTCTCTATTCTATCTCCACTTCACGTATCACGTCGCCGCGGAGTGTGGGTCTGACTGTGTCAGTCAAGCCGTCGCAATTACTCGGAAATCAAGATGTCACAATTCCTGGACTCACGAGCACATATTTATCTGGACTCCTACCTAGGAACCAATCTTCGTCAGAACCAGCATTGATGAACTCATGCCATGTTCATGCTCAGATTCGTGGCTCAACATTCAAGCTACCGTTCCTTTCCTCAGTGCCTCTGGTCATGGTAGCAGCCGGTACTGGAGTTGCCCCCTTCCGCGCATTCATCCAAGAGCGTGCTAGACTTGCTTCTGTAGGCAAAGATGTTGGCCGAATGATGCTGTTCTTTGGATGTCAGAATGAGAGCGACTACCTCTACCGTGGCGAGTTTGCGGAGTGGATGGCCGGGTCCCTCGCCAAGAAATTGGAGGTAGTGACAGCATTTTCAAGGGCAGGCAGTGACAAGTGCTACGTCCAGGACAAAGTGGAAATCAGAGGTGATGATGTTGGGAGAATGCTATTGGAAGACGATGCCGCTTTTTATATCTGCGGCGCGGCGAACATGGCGAAAGCTGTTGGCATGGCGGTGCAGGGCGTTGTGAAACAGACGAATAGCTGGGAAGACTATCAGGTCGAAAGCTGGAGACAGGACAGGAAGAAGTCAAAGAGATGGTTTGAGGATGTTTGGAGTTAAGACCGAGAAGTGGTTCGCAGATAGTTCCCTTCGCTCAAGGGTGTTGGCTATCCCTTGGTCAATATTAGGATGTCGAACTTCAGCCTGAGGGATCTTCAAGAATAGTGACTTGTCTTCTTATGCTCTCCCGTCTCGCAATGAAATTTTTACACTGGTGCTGTAGCATTCTGGTCTGTTGCACAATAATGACGGCTTGCAAGCTCGTCCTCTGTTACTCTGTGTCGTCCTGCTTAATTTCCTGACTTCTTGTCCCTAGCCCTCACGCCTTGTGGTATGCTGAGAAACACAGCTTGTAGTCCATGGTGGATGCTAATCAGGGCCTTTCTCATGATCAACCCGAGTAGATGCTGATTCACTCAGTGTCGATGTTGATGCATGTTTCGACCTTGATGAAACCAAGCCCACTCATTTTCGACAACTCTCCGTTAACATGAGTCATGTCGAACGAATCATCCTCAAAGAAGTCGTGAGGAAGATGAGATGACGGATCATATTCTTCCATGATCTTTATAGCCTCATTGACGACGTCATACCCAAAGTTGAAAGCCAAGTTTTCTTGGGGATTTTCTGCGAGATGTTAGCGGCGAAGTCCTTATTTCATCTTAACAGGTAACAGCAGTAACATACTCGGGATCTCATCTACTGGGACGAATTCCAAAAGGTCCTTCTCGACGAGACTTGACTGGTCGGTTCCGACATTGCTGAGAATTTGAATGGCACTGGCACGGTTTCGACGGATCTTCTCAAATAGCTCTAACCTCTTCTCGAGATCAGAGTTATCAGACACACCTGCAAACACGACACCCAGAGCCAAGCCATCTTCGAGACCCATGGCACCGCCTTGCCCTTGATCTAGGTACGCACAGACGATTTATCAGCGACTACGTCAACGAGGGTAAACCCGTCCATACGGTGTAGCACTCACGAGGTAGCATTGGATGCGCCGCATCGCCGGTTATGACCATCTTCCCTTTCCGCCAGGTCGGGAGCGGAGCACGGTACAACAGTGGCCATCGCTTGATCTCAGTTGCTTTGCTGATTGTAACGTTAACCACGGGTAATCGGCGCCTATCTTCGACGCGACCTACTTGATAATAGCCAGTAGGCTTGGATGGAACCCAGTGAACTTTTCAATTACTTGCGCTTTGTCGACATCGGCTTGGTAATCTAACGTCATGGTACGAGTAAGCTTCATCAATTCCGACACTGTTCCTTGAGTGTTATTTGCACAAACCTTCACTGGAAGCATCCTTCATGTCTTCATCGTAAAAGATACCCACAAAGTTGTGGATGGTGTTGCTAATAGGTCAGATAGAGTCCATCTCTCGAGGGCACAATGCACCTACTTGCGGCATGGGTACGATACTAGCCTCCTGTTGGTCTTGTTGTCGGGGAAAAGACGAATGAGTCCATCGGCGTCCTCGTTCCAAAACTTGGTTTCAGAGTCTGCCTCAAGAACTTCAGCGGGAATCAAGAACCGGTAGCAGCAGTTGTGGAGAAGAGGCGCCACGGCAGGATTCTTGCGGCCGAGGACAGTCTCAGCCGCAATAGAATGAATTCCATCTGCACCAACGACCAGGTCGCACTCAATCTCGTCACCATCTTGGAGGTGCACAGCTGGCAACTCAGGATTCTGTAGATTAATCAGTAAAAAAAGGCAACTATCGCGGTGGAAATGGTGACAGGGATCTTCCCCGCACTCACGTATCCCACAACCCACGAGTTGGGATGGATGGTGACGGGAACGCCCGGGCCGGCAGGATCGGTCGCTATCCTCTTGAGGCTATCGTGCAGATCCACGCGGTGGGCGTACCAGAGATCGGCGTCGTAGAACTCCTCGTTGTCGGCGTGTGATAGCGTCGACGTGATCCCCATCGTGACGGGATCCTGGAAATGAACAGGCCCAGCCTTGACGAAGCCGGAAGCCTTGGGGTCGAGACCCCATCGTGTGAGAAACCGCGTCGCATTGGGAGGGACATTGATGGCGGCGCCGACCTCGTTGTCCGTGTCAGATCCCTCGTAGATGCGCACAACGTGGCCCGCACGGCGCAGGGAGATGCCGGCCGAGAGGCCAGCGACGCCTGCTCCGACAATGACTACGTCCAGCATGGTACTAGTTGCTTTCAGACGAACAGGAAAGGCACGTTTTTGTGTTCGGTATCACGTCTCGCTGTAGAATCGTTGATATCGTCTGAAAGATGTCACGTTGACGGAGGAAGAAGCCAAGAAAGAAATCCGTCGGCTTCGGCCTCAGTAGGAGAACCAACACGGGGCCAGGAAGCCGTTGCGTTCGCCTGTATCTGACAGGGACCATGTAGGGTTACGACCGCCCTCACTCCGCCAAGAGGACCGCGATCTGCGGCGCAACCCGCTCTTTGATGGAGACATAACCCTGTGATCGGGACTCAACGGCGGCACTATGCGAAGCTATTGGACGGTGACCGAAAGAGAGGAGTCTTCGCCATCAACCTGAGGATACTGCCGGGGTCCGTGCCAAGGGGGAGCGAGACGATTGAGAAAACAACAGTTGTCTCGATTCGCATATCTTGATATGTAATCTTGTACATTTGGGGTTTTCGAAACGCACTTGGCAATTTGGAGAAGGTGGACAATAGTTGAGGACATGCCTGAACGCAACTCCAATTTCGTTGACCTCCTAGGTTGAACTTTACCTACCTACTAGTATCGGAGTATTCCAAGTCTTACCCCCTTCACTAAGTATGTATTTGTTCCGAAGGGGCGACATTCCGATACAGTTCGGCACAGTGACCCAAAACGAGACCGAATTTTCTATCCGTAATTCTATGATATTGAGAAACTCACAAGCTGTGGCAACTCGTTCTCGCTTGTCCGAATTTTTATACAGATAGAGCCAAACGGAGCGCTACCACAGGTGAGCTCCAACGTCGCGGAGAAGGACAGGGCCCGTCAAATGAGTCCCACCGTGGCAACGCGTCGGAGTCCGTCCCTTGGTCCGCTATTGGACCAGACTATCGCGAATGGAGTCCACCTGCAAGTGCCCTTGTCGAAAACCGTTGTGCCGAACCCATGTCGGAGAAAATTTGATTCACTGAGAGGGCCATGTGGGAGGCAGTTTCATATCCAATGAGTGAGCGGTTTTCAGTTTGATCTTTTCGGCAAAGCAATAGGCAGTTCGGGTATTATCTGACAGCGGCATTCTCGCCAGCGCCAAGACGTATCCAATTTGAGGTTCCTTGGTTGATTGACAAAACTAGGAAACTCAAATGGCAACCAGACACTTGATAAGATAGTGAGGCCGAGATTACAGGAAACACGAAATGGAGTGCAGCATCCGAGAAGCGTTGGAAGGAATGTTGCGTGCCGGTCGGCGGCCCGCACCCTAGTTCAGCCACCTGCAAGCACAAAGTGAATCTTTTTGTGGTAGCACAACTCATACGCAGTACACTACTGAGTGGCTGGGTATTATTACGAAGACCATCCCCTCGGCTCCCATTCATCCAGAGGCCGAGCCCGAGACACAACATGGATCAAGATCCGCCTTATAACGTTGTGGCCGTGCACCCTTGCCGTCTCGGCCGGGGACTTCCGGGCAGCCAAGGGATGGCGGGCCGATCCTTGCAAACGCGAGTTGGGTGAAAATTTCAGGAAGTCTGTGCTGTCTGATGAGTAGAGATCAACGGGAGAAGAGGTGTAAAAAACGAGCACCAAGCAAGGCTCTGAGACCAACTAACCACTCTTCTAACGTTTAGTGATCTGTAACCACCCATGTTGCCTGGCACTGTTGAGGGTTTTACCCAACTACTTACTTGAGGTAGTTCTCCCCCCAAAAAGAGCCGCATAGATGTGATTGTGAAAAAACAAGAAAATTGCTGATTCGTTGTATCGTACGACCACGAAGCAAGTACGATAGATCACCATTGTGGCATTCCTGATGTTCGTGGTTTTCTTCGTATGCATCGCGATCATGAACCGTGGCATCAGCAATCCAGTCTGGGGATTCTGGGCGTGATTCTGACGACTCTTGTCGCGGGAGCTCAGCTCAGCATTCAGCCTGAACTGGTATCAGTCGCCAGCGGTCTCACAACCAGCACGTAATCGCTTGGTGGGACTTGTGGAATCTCCACCTACGTTGTTCTCTTCAACAAGGGCATGAGCCACAGGTTCGCAAATATTGCCCAAGCAGTCTAACTATCAGGTTTTGAAGCTGATTATCTTCTGTCTATTTTCATGGCTCTCAATTCTCACAATCAGAGCGCAACCGCCAAGGTTCAAAGTGCTAGTCATGAGGTTTCCTCTCGGGCGGCTGATGCCCCTCTCGATACGTACGCTTGTGCCTTCAGAAATGTCTAGATCTCGGCGACTTGTTTCGTTGCTGTTACATCCGTCGGTGAATGTACTTCAAGCTCGAGATCAGGGCATGGGGAATTACCTACTGACTTATGATTACAAGCCTCTGCCTTTCTTTTCGATTCTAAGAAAGATTTCAACAATCATGTTGATGCTCCTTTTGAAAAGAAATGAATCCAGTGTCTGCGAACGAGTAACCTGGTTATGGGTTAGGGCTCACCACATGTAGGCCTGTCGTTGATGCATATTGCTGCCTCCTATCAATCGACGAATAACATCCGTTGCTCCTCAAGTCGTTCTCATTCCTACAAGAGATTGCAGTGTTGTTGAATTCAAGCATGGTGAACGAAGCTCTTCCCGGGTCAACTCACAATTACGGATGCCTCATGCAAAGTCCTCGAGCCTTAAAATCTTTGGAACCGTCTGAGAAGCTCTTCTCAACCCAGAAACTTATTTTTTCCAGGGTGAGTTCGCATCAAATGACCAAATTGCCTGCCCTTAGCCATAACATGTAGTGCCCTTTTGGCTCACCGGAACGCCGAAAGCGGAGTAGGGCTTCGGAAGAGAACGCCGACGGAGGAGGTGCGGGGATCGCCCACCAGCAGATGTCCGGCTTACCTCAACGGTTGACTCACTCTTGGCAAGTCA